ACTTAGAGGGGGGGCTGGGACTTTTGGACTCGAGGCCTTTTCTAGATCCGATCCCAGAACGATTGGGGGCTGGTTCATACTTTGTAACTTGTTCATACACAGATCCACCAAAACACAGGAGTAGGGTATTACGCTTCCCACCGGCCCGAACCTGTATACATCGCCTGTGTCTCGCGTTTCTTGCCGGCTCGCGATCTTTCCACATACCGAGAGAGCTTGAGATTTCACCCTAAGCCCCCGGCCGAACCGGCAAAGGGGGGCCTGCGCGGTCTCCCGGTGAGGAGCCACGAGCTCCGTCAGCTATAGATCTGAAAAAATTGAAAAAAAAAATGGAATCCCCGCTGTAGGCCATGCGCCGCCCGAGCGTCCTCTCCGCGCGTCAGCCGTCGCCTATCGCGCGCTGCCACTCATGCAACGCCCGTCGCGTCATCCCCGCTCGCGCCGCCCGCCCTCGTTGGAGCGCCGCCGCCGCCGCAGTGTGCTGTCCGCCATCCGCCGCCCGCCGCGCCCCTATCTGTTAGGGCCGAACTGACTCACACCGTCGGAGTGCTGTCATCGGTGCCGCCCATGCGCCGTTGCTGCTCGCATCGCGCGCCACTGCCGTGTGCCGTCCGCCTGTGACCAACAACTGTGCCCGCCCGTGTGAATTTTGGGAGAGAGAGGGATGAGGATTGAGGAGGTGACTTTGGGGTAATTCAATGGTATTTTTGTGTAAATATGTTAAAGAATTAAAGGATAGTGGGTCTTTTCGTTGGAGTGGAGCTATGAAGTAGCAATAACTCAGCTCCACCCCCGTAGTTCATTTTTTAGGAGTAGCTATGCTAACTCCACTTATAAAAGCATAGAATCTATATCATTTGACATAGCTTTAGCTATAGTTACGTTAGAGTTGGAAGCTAGAGCTATGTTAATTGTCAAATTGTCAAATAGGCGCGTGCTACTACTATGGTGGTACGCCCGTGTCCCTCGAGAGGTCCATAGACCGGGTTCACGTGCGATGCTTGAGGGTGCGGCTCACAGTTTGTTCTCTCCTTCCTCTCCCTTCTCCCATGCACGCTTTTCAGCGCGAAAGCAGGAAAAGGAGCGGGGGGCGGAGGGAGACAAAAGCGACGAGGGACAGCGGGGCCACGGGCCCACCCCCGACGCATCCGTTCCCCCCCCTCATGTCCCCACCTGTCATCCTCACCGCCCGCGCCCGCGTGTACCGCTGCTGCCGTAGGGAAAGAGGAATTCCAAGCGTCACGCCGCCCGCGAAGGACCGACCGGTGTGTGGGCCGCGGGCCCCACCCGGCTCGGCCTCCGTTGCCGCCTTGCGTACACCCCAAGCGTCCTTCGCGCACCGGAAAGCCTAACCGCACCACGCACCTGCGGGTGGGGCCCCGGTTCACGTGGCCCCACATGCAGTGAGAGAACGCGGTGCGGGTACGAACGGGGACAGCTCGCTTGGAGGTTGGAACCCGGGTCGTTGCCCCTTTCGCTTTATCCGAATCTAACAGTTGCTTGCGGGGGTTAATTTAGCAGACTTTGGATAAAAATAGCAACTGGTTTGTTCATAATTTGGCAAGGTGGTTGATTAGACCCGTGGTTTTTTCTGGCTTCGGAGGGGCATCCTCCAACCAGTACACGCCACGTGGATGCTTTCGGGCGCTGATGAAACGATCGTGAGAATGGAAGGCCCTCACTTCTTCAATTGGGCCGACAGTGCCATGTCACCGCATCTACGTGTCCTACCATCCACTCCTGTATCCACGTCACGCTTGACAGGATTTTACTACTACTCCAGTACAGAATCCTGCTCAATTGGCAGCTGGCACCATATCTTACGTGCAGATCAGTAACGCTAAGACATCGCAAGAACATTAGATGGCTAGTGCTTGTAAGCAAAGATTTGGGCTCTAGCGATGACACTACCTGCAGCCCCACATTACTACTACTAGGATAAGTAAGTATATAAATTTTGGAATATTTGCTAAACATGTACTCCATCCGTTTTACAATGTAAATCATTCTAGCATTTCTCATATTCATATTGATTATATCTATCTAGATTCATTAACATCAATATGAATGTGGGAAATGCTAAAATGACTTACATTTGAAACGGAGGAAGTACTGCACATTGAGTGTGTGCATTACACTACAAAAATAGTACTCCATACGTCCCAAAATATAAGGGATTTTGGGTGAATATCTATCCATATTTATATTATTAGGATGTGTTATATTTACCTAAAATTTCTTATATTTTAGGACGGATGGAGTATAAAATCCCTTATATTTCACATTTTCACCGTTCCGTAATATCTTACTGGAGAGGAGGAAGGGATTGCAATTGCTGGATGCCTGCAAAATGCGATTAATATATGGGAAAAAATATCCAAAATTATGTGGTGGTAGTATTGTGGACAAGCATGCCTGAAAGACAGCGAAAGCAGTTGGCCTGCTCAACTGCAGGGCCCCGTTTGTCCCACACCCGCAGTCTCTCTCACTGTCACGCACACAACACACCAATCGATCTCTCTTCTTCTCGCGATACATAGCTATCCCCGCACAAAATCACCGAAGTACCCTTTGGAAATCGCATCCCCAGTGTACTTTAGCCCACATAAAGTCTGTACCTGTGCGTTAGTTTTATGGCGTTATTACTGTAATGAATTCCATGATCTGCTAATTATCGACTGGGGCTTTGGGGTACAGTAGTTTCCTTTTATAAAGCTGTCGCATATGCAAGTCTATGTACATATTGGCAACTCCTAGTATTCATTTCAGCTAAGCTATTTGATATAATTTCTGTGGAGCAGTTAAGCTAGTGGTAAAAAGTATGGAGCAACATCTTTCACTAGACCAATTTTTATAATGAATAGTAAGCTTATTCAAAAGAGCATTCAAACACCCAATATTGCTTGGATTCGAGGGAGGTAAAAAGAAGAGAAAGTCAAAAAAAAAAATCACGGACAAGCGTCTTATTTCAAGTAATGTCATCGATAAATATGAGTTTTATAAAATACCATTATCTTTGTCCTAAAAATACCATTGTTATTAGGGTTCCATTAGCAGTCATTTGTTAAGTGCTATAGGATGAATATTGCATTTAACGGGTAGGATGGACGGAATCTTAACAACGATGATATTTCTAGGATAAAGTCACTTGTGCGATGATATTTTGTGAAACTCACACTTGTAAATGATACATTTCTTGGAACTAGAGTTTGTCAATGACTTTTCTTGTATTTTATCTAAAAAGAAATGAAATGAATTTTGCGAATATTAATAAGGCAAATTTTACGACAATATAGTTGTTATGTTCTTACAATGTTCATCAGTAAATTATATAAATTTAAATGTCATATGGAAAAAGTTTACTTAATAATAATAATACCATCCTGATATATAAAGACGTACATATCCCACCAAAATGTACAGTCCTGAACAAATCGAAAGAGAAACAACAAACACAGCCCACCTGTGCTAACAGTCCTCCAAAATTTACTCACATTGACAAAGTTGTTGGCTCAATCGTGCTTAGCATAATAACTACTCCAAAACACAACCATTCGTTTTATTTTGCAAATATAAAAAATAATAAGTCATAATTAAAGTACTTTTGATAATAAAAACAAATCACAAACAAAATAAACAACAATTCCAAAATTTTCTAAATAAGGCAAATAATCAAACATTGCAAACAAAAATTTAAAGCGACAAGTAATATGTGACAGAGGTAGCAGTAAAAAAAGCAAAATCTACCATAATCAACCCGCACCCATTTCATTATGTAAACAAACCCATTGAGTAAATTGCATCATCGGTACACGAACTTGTGAGGTGGGTGCAATCTAGTGCACAAACTTGTAAAATGCTCGTTCTAGTGCACGAACTTGTGTGGTACGTCGGGGTAGTAAAAAGGACACTACATTTTAGATAATGGGTTAAAAACCTGGCCTCTACATTCAACGGGATGTACACAGCCAAAAAAAAGGACACTACATGACTAATCTTATTGACTTAAGAGCTGATTAGGATACTATGTAAACATATTTATGAGAAGGTTGTCATTAGACATACACATATTCAATAAAGAATAGGATTTAGTGATAGTAAAAAAGATTAAAGAAATCGAGCACTGATATAAGGGTTAGAAACATATAAAATTCGTCATTTCAATGATGAAGGATAAAGTAGAGACCACATTTATAAAATGTTGCATGTATCTTATGCATACTCACTGCACGTATGCACGTCACATTCTAATCAACATCAACTTCATAAAATTAACATTGCCAAGTTACTTTGTTTCTAGTTCGCACGAAATAGACAAGTTCGTGTACTGAAACGAGCATTTTACAAGTTTATATACTAAATTACACCCACCTAACAAGTTTGTGTACCACCAATACAATTTACTACAAACCCATTTCATTAGCGTCAAGCAATCCACATGACAGAATCACACGAGAGAGACACTGAAGTGACACGCTGGCAGGTGAGGGGGCGGATCCGTCCAGCGAGCCCAGGAGGAAGCCCGATGCAGAAATCCAACCCCAGATTCTTCCCCCTCCTCCTCCTCCTCTGCCGCTACCACGACGAGATATCGCGGCGAGACGAGAGAGGGGCGAGACGAGACGAGACGAGAAGGCGCCGCGCGACGCAACGCAACGCAAGGCGACACTGCGCCTCGGGGAGTGGGTATAAAGCGGGGAGGGATAGGGACGAGCCGGGCGGACAAGAGGACGACAGCACGCGAGCCACAGAAGATCTCGTCTCCCTCCCTCCCTCCCTCCACCCTCTCCCCCCTCCCCTCCCCTTCTCGCCACCGCCACCGCCACCTTAGCCGCGCGAGGCATTGCCCTCCTCCTGCGCGGCCGCCCCCCACGACCGCGGCGGAGGCTGCTCCGGCTGGGGCGGGATCGACGACGACTGATTCGGTGCGCGCTCGCGGTCCCCTTTTGGATGAGTGGTGTTGTGTGCGTGTGTCAGTGTGTGTGTGTGTGTGGCAGTGTTGAGTGAGCGTGGGTGGAGTCGTCGCGGATGAGGTGATCTGCCGCTGCATTGGCTGTTCGGTCGATTTTTCTTTTTGGGGTGTTGTTTTTTTCCTTTCTCTTCTGCTGCGCCATTTGGGGGCGTGGGAATGGGTGTCTCGAGGTAATTTCAGGTGCCGAGTTTGCGAATGTGGGTGATCCGGTGATGCATTTGCGATTCCGTAGAGTTCCTCTGGGTTTTGCTCTAGTTGCTTGTTGAGAGTCTGAGTGGCGGCCTAAATTTCTAGAGGTTTTTCTATTTGGATTGGAACTGGAAAAGAAAAATTATAATCGTTGCTTCGCAGCGATTCTCCTTGTTTTGGGCGTTTGAAGTAGAGACTTCGATTCTCAACATTGTTTTGGACTGGATCGCGCATTGATTCGTGCAACGGGTTGGTAGTTTTGCGATGTGATGAAATATTCGTCAGTGGCAGTTGGGGCGAAAGGACTTCTTCTGCTAGATCATTTTACGGTAATTTTGATTGTTTGGTTGTTATGATATCAATGCGAATTTCACCTCTGCAAGTTGTGCTGCCAAAGTAACCGTGCAATAATGACTGATCTATGTCATTTCACATTTTTGGTAATGTGAAACGAGAAGATCCGTAGACTTCTAGTACTGTTCAACATCTTATTGTTCAGTACTTTTTGATTCAATCGGAATAATAAAATGCAAATATAATCTTATACAAGAAGACAAATCCATGAATATATCATTCATTTCATCATGAGCTGACAGCACTAGCCTGGGGTGTTTGAGTTGAGTTAACAAAAGAAAAATGCAATGATTTGTGGATTGCCGACATTTGGGGTAAACATTTCTTGTTTCTGATTTTCTTTTTGTGGCTTGATTTCTTTTAGGTTCATGATCCATCAGAAGGAATGAACGGGAGTCGGCAGATGGAGCTGCACTACATAAATACTGGATTTCCATACACCATCACCGAGAGCTTCATGGATTTCTTTGAGGGCCTCACATATGCTCATGCTGATTTTGCTATTGCAGATGCTTTCCATGATCAGGTGCCAATTACAGGGCTGTCATTATTCTTAATAGATCTTATCCAACTACTAGTTTATTCTACCACGATGTACCCTTTGTTTATCTTAAGATGTATATTTGCCATGGAATATTAAGTGACTTGTGTCCTGGGTAATGTCCCTCTTTACATATCTCCAGTTGCATTGCAAATCGTGTTTGTTTGTTTCAAAATTCTTTTGGTGAATTTCATGAAACCTCACTCTCCACATAACTCACAAAAGCACTCAAGCTAGGATATTAATCAGAATGAATATAATGGTTTCAATCATAACCTTAACCTCTGATCCACTATCATTATCCGTTTATTTACTCTTATTTGCTCATAATGTGCAGGCTAATCCATACTGGGCAATGATGCATACAAACTCGTACAAGTATGGATATTCCGGTGCAGGAAATTATTACAGTTATGGGCATGTTTATGATATGAATGATTACATGCATAGGGCAGATGGTGGACGCAGAATCTGGGATAATGCTACACCTGTAAACAACACTGAATCCCCAAATGTAGTCTTGCAGGGTGGAGAAACTCCTCATGCAAATACAAGCTCTACTACTGAGGAATGTAAGTGCAAGTTCACAATCCATTATCACTTCTAGTCATTTTAAGTCATAAAAAAGGAACACTGGTAGGCGTATCATTTTTTTTAATATTCATTACCAACACGAAATCAGCTACAGGACCATCTCTGGTTAGGGTGCTGAGAATCAATTACGACGTATTTCAAATGAGCACCTTCAACTTCTTGTGGTCTACAGTGGAAAATTATTTTGGGGTCTGAAATAATTCTACATGTTTCTCCTTTTAATTTCCAATAAACTCAAGTCTGCTCTTGTCAAGCTGATTCCTCTGATTTCACTGGTTTAATTCATTTGGATATCTTTTAGTTGTAAAGTTGTTCTTCTTTGCAAGTCGAAACACATTCAGTTAATGCGGCTATTCATGAGTTCCAGACTTCCAGTGTTTTATAGTATGGTTCGTTACATCTAAATCAAATCATAAAATATTACTCTTGTTAGCATTTCCTTACTAAGAGGACAACAAACACATACACATACTCATGGTTCTACAATAATGAAGAAAAGGCGACCTTTCTGTTGATGGAAGCAATGGCATCATTTCTACCTTTGCTCACTTACTGTCATATGGCAAGAAATATTTATTTGTGTATGATTGTGTTCAGCATTGTATAACTGAAAATTTTGTTTTAACATGGTAACACCTAAGTAGATGCTCACTAAAAAGGATAAGTGATGAGTTTCTTAATGCTTTTGCCATCGTTTTTTTTTTTTGCTCCTCAAGTGTTATTGACTTGTTTCATTGTACACCCATGAGTTGTTCTAACAGCTTGGTTATGATACCGAAAGATTATTTTGGCAAGCATACACGTGAAATAAGTCCTAAGAACTGTCTATGTTATGTGTTAAAACTGTATGCATTTACCTGGAACTTGAATTGTAACTGAACCTTTATAGAATTTGCACCTTGTCTTTCAAGTCAAGTAACTGAATTGAACTTTATTTTGGCTCACTGATTTTGCTTTCACTTGCAGGTATCCAACAACAAGTACACCAGAATTCGAGCAGTCCACAGGTACATGAGTATTTCAAGCATGTTTATCTTTTCCTAACTTTTATTTTCCATGCAAATGCATTTTTCCACTTATGATTTCAGGCTTTACGTGCAAAATGCCTTTTACATGGTTCCACCTATCTTAACGATTCCAAGTCAAATGATTTTATTTCTTTGACTATATTATATGCCATAAAAATTTAGCTAATAAAATTATTTGTTTTTCACCTATCAATTTGCATCCACATTCTATATGCTATAGAATTGTATTCTTTTGTTGCATGTATAAGATGCAAACTTTTGATCTCATTCATCCAGAGGGTGATGAGATATGATCGCTGTAATTTTTAGCATGTGTTATGTGATGTCACTTACCTGCTGTGTGTTGATATTTGTTCTGGGCTCATGCCTCCAATCAAATCACTGAAAATCATTACTGTTGTTAATATTTGCAGGTCATTTGGCAAGACAACATTGATCCTGACAATATGACATATGAGGTTAATGACTTAAGCTTGCATCATCTTCTGTCATCATGTTCTCATTCAGGCTTTTTCATGTAACATCAACACTTCAAACATGCATCTTCTTACTTTTTCATACGATCTACACGCACAACTTGGGCTAGATTGGTAAAAGACTGCAGAGATTATACCATGCATTTTGTTTGGTCAATGTGTATGATTTTCATTTGGATGCTAAGATACCTATTAAAATGGACGCTGTGAAAAACTGTGATACATACTAATTTCAATTTGCACTATCAGTAATCTATTGTCCTTTCCTAACTGCAAAACATTAATTACTTTTTCTTTGTGTGGCCTCACTTGGGGCACTTGGCACAAAAGGTTAACTGTCTCTGAGGCCACATATTAGCTGTTTCTTGAAGTCACCTGATTATAAAACTCAGTGTCACAGGTGGTAACCATTTGGACTGATTGATCCTATGTTTGGTTTGTGAACAAATGTTCTTCGTGAGAGTTTTTTGTCTTGTCGAATATATGATTCATGACTAAAAATGAACTCCCCTTATCTATGACGATCGTTGCTGATTTCTTCCTTTGTAACTCAAGATAAGAGTGCTATAAGCATTGTCATTTTCACAGCTAGATGTCATGTAAGGCAAATCATAAAATAAATGTAGAAGAGTCAAATCAGCCAGAATGGCAATTCTTCTTGTCTCCTCTAGATCTATGGACTTAGTTGCATATCTTGTTTGATGAAGACATTGTTGTTAATTGAATGATCAATTGCTGGTCTTTTTTAATATTATCTGAGAGTACTTCTTGGTTCCTGCTTGTCACAGATTGCCCTTTCTGAGACTAGTAATGCTTCGATGTTTAAATTGTATTTTCACTGATCATTGTTTAGGAAAAGTATCTCATTCATTTCATCTAGAGGTGGAATCCTGTATGTTCCTTTCTTATCTGATTATCCTTGGTTCTTGGTATACTAAATGCCTTTTCTTGGCAGGAATTGTTGGATTTGGGTGAGGCAGTTGGAACCCAAAGCCGTGGTCTCTCCCAAGAACGCATTTCATTACTTCCAGTCACCAAGTACAAATGTGGTTTCTTTTCAAGGAAGAAAACACGCCGTGAAAGGTTAGATCTTGATAAAATATTTATGTACCTCTTTTTGTCTATTTAATTGTCTTTACCCCTAGAAGCATGTAGAATTACTTCTAAGTTCTGTCTTCATGAATAATGTTATGGTACTGCATCTTTGGCGTGGAGCATGGAACTGGTTCAACGAAGTAATACATGTGAAGTTAACTTGTGGGACTTCCTTTTTCGGTAACAGGTGTGTAATTTGCCAAATGGAGTACAGGAGAGGGAATCTGCAGATGACGCTTCCCTGCAAGCATGTGTACCATGCCAGCTGTGTAACAAGATGGCTTAGCATAAACAAGGTCAGCAGTCTGGGACTGAAACGTGCATATCTTCTCATTTCACCACCTGCTTCTTTCGCTTAATGGAATATAAATTACTTCTGTAGGTTTGCCCTGTTTGCTTTGCTGAGGTTCCTGGTGACGAACCCAAGAGGCAATGAGTCAAGGCCGCCAAAATGTTCTTGCGCCCAGACTCAGCCCACACTGTACCCCAACGGATGCATGATTTCTGCTTGAAGGCAGCTTTCCCCTTTCTCTCTAGATTTGTGTATTAGAATCATATCGCAAATATAGGTTATAACCAGATGTAGTTGGATCTTGGAACCTGTTCTGAGAGGTTTGCCGTAGACTGTAGAGTTCGAATGTGAAGTGTAACCCTGTGCTAGATGAAGCATGCTGGATCACGCGCGCTTGCGAGGTGTTTTTGTCCACTGCAAAGAGCATTGCACTAGCCTGTGTTATTTGAATTCAATTAAGATTTTGTGGACAGAAAAAATTCATTTGTTACATCCCCTGCTTTTAGCCTGTCAATCACAGTATGTCCCCTGTTTTTCCCATGAAATGTTTCTCGATTGTAATCATGAGTTCACATTCCTTTTTATTATTTTTCATGCTAGTTGTGTGCGCTGTTTCCTTTTCAGCGTTGTGTGGGTAGAAATCTTTATTCTCTTCAGCAGTGTGATCTGCTGCAAGAAGCTCCTTTTCTGACTTGTGAGAACCCTTATTCCTTAGAGAAATTGATAAAGTTACAAGTGTTGTGCACAACTTGATGCGAGCAGCAGGCGTGGGTAACTTTTTTGATGGATCAGAACCTCCTCCCGTTTTCTTTTTGCAAGAAAAATTACAACGTTGATCATTTGAACTTTGATGATCAAAACAGTAAACTATAAATCTCTGTTCAGTTACGAAGAATTACTAGTAGAGTGTAATAGTAATTTTTCCAGCCATTTGGAAACGGATGTAGAAATACTATTCTATCTGTACGTACATACGTACCCTGGGGCGTCCTTAAAATGTAATAATATTTTTCATTTACCGGTTACATGTGCAATAGAATATATATACAATTTATTTAGTTGAAATTAGACATGCACTTTTTTTATTCATAAATTGAAAGGGGTAATCTCACCGTAGGATATAGAAGAAGGTAACCAAACTCATCTATCATGCGTCCAACCAAACAAAATCACCCGCATACAATGTCTCTTCGTATGGCCAACCAACCTCTATCTCATGTCGTCTAGGCTTAACAGATACGCTTAACCAAACAAGCGTGTTGTATTCGGCAATGTATCAGGTGCACTCAGGCTGTTCCGTGCATACATGCACTCGTGCAAACACATTCATCCGATCTCAATCTAATGGCTGGAAATCAGGGTGGGGAATTTTATGAAAAACCGCCCGCCTCTTGCCTTATACTTTTTCGAAAACCCCCCTGTCCCCTTGGCTTCCATCCCACAGTCTGAACAAAATTCTGGACAACATGAGTTCTTTGTTTCTTGTCAAAATACTGGCTCTTGCGCATCTGGTAGCAATGATTCATAACACCACCTAGAAGCAGCAATCTTGTTCTTGAACACCAGCTAGCAGAAGTTGCTTGGCACACTAGATGATAAATTCACGGGAAACAGAAGTTGATGCTGCCGCCGCTGCCGCTGTTGGCCGTTGTTGCAATGACGCTAGACCAAACAAGCTTGTCTTGATGACTGACCTGCATTATTTCTCGATGGTAGAGTAGAAGTGAGGGCCGGCAACGGAAAGCACGATGGTGCGCCAAGAGAGCCACGACGTGGGGGTCTCTGCGGGGGCGACGACGACGGGCGCCTGGTGTGGATGATGACGGTGACCGGCGCGAACGACAACGGGGAGCGAGGCAGGGGCGTCGCGCAGGGAGTCACCCTCACTTCCAGCCACGCAGGGAGAGGCATGGGCAAGTCCGCGCAGGGCGACCGCCGACGGCGATGGGGAGTAACGATGATTTTGGGGGCAATTACAGGAGACACTAGATGGAAGAAGAGGAAAGTTTGCTGGTGGGATGGAAGCCAAGGGGCAGGGGGGTTTTCGAAAAGTATACAGCAATGGGCGGGCGGTTTTTCATAAAATTCCCCACCCTGATTTCCAGCCATTAGATTGAGATCGGATGGATGTGTTTGCACGAGTGCATGTGTGCACGGAACAGCCTGAGTGCACCTGATACATTGCCCTTGTTATAGCTAGTTTCAAAAGCTAACAAATACAATAATGAGCTCTATGGTTATCTTTACCTACTTCTCATGTATAACTTTTATTTTTTAGTCTCAAGTAGTATCCTTTGATTGGCAACATATCCTATGCACACAGGCCCTCACGTGTACACACGTGCACACCAATTAAAAAATGTCACCAAAAAATCTAGAAAAAATCATACACATACTTTCAATTGTATTACACCTAGGGTTAAAATCTTAACGTCAAATTCATTATATTTTAGCCGTAACAAAAAAAAACAAAAAATCTGACAGTTTTAAGGTTGCAATTTTGTCAGAATTTTATCTTTTTTGTTATTCTCTATATAGAATGAATTTGAAGATGCGATTTTGCACGTAGATGTAATACTATTGAAAGTACATGTATGAATTTTCCTAGAATTTTTTGTGATAATTTTTAGTTGGTGTACACGGTGTGTACACGCGAGGGCCTGTGTGCATAGGATACGCTCCCCCTTTGATTAGCTACTCACAAAAGATGCAGAAAGTCACACGCATGCACGGAAAATGCAGCCTGGGGAGTAGCGTGCAGCCCATCGGCAAAATAGTCGCCGGCGCCTCTCTCTCCTGCCATTTTCTCTCTTTCAACTAGGCAAAAATCTGCTATATGGTAACTATAGCCTGCTATAATGTAGACTTATTATACCTGCTCTTAGCAGCACGGATCAAAACGCGATTGGAATAAGTGCACTTTGACACCATCAAAAGTTACCCGAATCTAATTCATAACCCTAAACTGCAAAACCGGATATTTTGACCCCCGAACTATTGAAACCGGTGTAATTTGACTCCTTGGGTGGTTTTAGAGGATGGTTTCGCTGACGTGGCTGTGTTGACCTAGTCTATGGATTGATGTGGCGCTTAGGTGGCATCTAAATTAAAAACATATAGGTGGGACCCGTTCATCATTCACACGCATAAAAAATTATGGGGCCCACTGGCATGTGGGCCCCATATGTCATCCTCTCTCTTTCTTCCTCCATTCTCTCTTTCGCTCTTTTTCCCCCTTCGGCCGGCGGCGGGCATGGACCGGAGTGGTGACGGCCGGCGGGACCTGAGGCGGCGGCGGTGGCGGGAGCTAACGCGGGAGCGGCGATCCCCGGAGTGGAGGAGTTGACGATGGCGAGGCAGCGCTCGGCGAGATGGGGTCGACGTTGTGGAGGAAGTCGACCTGCGGGGGTTGTCCTTGGCGTCGTCGATGGCCGACGACGGAGGCGGAGGTCTAAGGCGGCGGCCCACGCGGTGCCATCCATTGAAGCTCCCTCGCCGAGCTCTATCCCGCTGCTATCGCCGTCCACCACCGGTCACCGTCCCGCAATCCCTCACTGCCCCCTGTGAAGAAGAAAATGAGGAGACGGGGAGGCGGAGAGGCCAGCGAGCTGCTCCTCTCCTGCCGGCAGGCGCGTGCCGTTTCCTCACCTCCTCTCCCACCGGCTGTCGCGCGCTGCTCTCTCCTCACACGCCGACCGACGCGCGCCGCTGCCTCGCCTTCTCTCCCGGCGGTCGGCGCGCTCCGCCTCCTCTCCCGCCAGCCGCCGCGCGCCGTTTGCTCTTCCGCTGGCCGCCGTGCACCGTTGTCTCCTTCCTCACTGGCGAACGACGTCTGGCGCGCGCCGGCGGACCGCGTGGTCACCTCACGGCGCCGGAGCTCCTCCGCTACCGCCAGATCTGACTGAGGCTCGAGAGCTAAGCTCGGCAGCAGCACCTCCTTCTCAAGCGACGATCGCTCTCCCGCCGCTGCCGCCACTCCGGCCCCCGCTCGCCGTCGTTGCCGCCGCCGCCGGCGGTCCCCGCTTGCCGAATGGGGAGGGAGAGAGAGATAAGAGAGAAGGGAGGGAGAGGGATAGACTGACTTGTGGGCCCCACAAATTCTTCAGTGCGAATGACTAATGGGTCCCACATATAGGTTTTTAATTCAAATGCCACCTAAGCGCCACGTCAACTCATAAACTAGGTCAACACCGCCACGTTAGCGAAACCGCCCTCCAAAACCACAAAAGGAGTCAAATTGCACCGGTTTCAATAGTTCGGGGGTCGAGATATCCGGTTTTGCGGTTTAGGGTCATGGATTAGATTTTGGTCACTTTTGAGGGAGTCAAAGTACACTTATTCCTAACGCGATTCATGTCCACACGTGGGCCAAAAGAGGACGAAATTACAGCTGGTATTTGGGCCCAGGAGGCCCAAAATCAGATAAGAAGAGACAGGGGCCAGACTCCAATCGACCTCGACCCTGACCGACCTTCTCACCGCCGCGCCTCCGCCTCCGCCTCCGCCTCAAGCCGCCGCCCGCCGCCGCCAGGAGCGGCCTCTCCATGGCGGCAGCGCCGTACCACCAGCCGACCAGCCTGGAGGAGGTCAGGACGCTCTGGATCGGCGACCTCCAGTACTGGGCCGACGAGAACTACCTCTACAACTGCTTCGCCCACACCGGCGAGGTAGGTTTACACGCTGCGCTCCCATGCCGCGCGCCCCCGATGAACTAATTCCATGGTTCTATCTTAGTTCATTCGTTAAGCTAGGGTTCCTATTTAGGCGTTGGATTGACGCTTTGTCCCCCCCCCCCTCTCGGTGGTAAGGGTTGGATGGGTTTAGGGAGCTAGGGTTGTGGAGTGGCCGTCACGTTTTGAGATCGCTAATTAAGAAGGTTACATGTTTCCCTTTACTAGAATTAGCTACGCAGTTGTCAATGTGAATTGGGAAAAATAGGCTGTTTGTGTTACAAGCCTGAAAAGCCTCATTTGCTCAAGTGAAGTACCGAAGTGATTTTTTGCTTGTCATGTTTGTTGAATCATGTCATTGCAACAGTAGTGATTTACTTCATATAAAATCCAGTAAAAGTTACTCGTTTTGCTGGCAATCTGGCAGCAGTACTGTTCTAGAGTTATGCACAAATATAATTATCTTTTTGTTATATACTTATGTCAGAAGCAATGGAGGTTTTATATTTTGTAATAGGCAACAAGAAGTTAGATGCTCTATGGACTTTCATAGCTCAGATTTGCTACCGGATGCATGAGTAACATGGTGCTAAGATTTTAATTAATTGTTGTGATACAGTAAAATTTTCCTCGAAATTTTATACCTTGACATCCTATATGAATTATGAAACTCGCTAATAGTTGGATTTATGATTCATCCTCTTCCTTTGTTTTATTTGGCCTAGAGTAGAAAATATATGCACATTAACTTTTATATCATATATATATGCAAATTTATTGCAATATTAAACCTTATCATGTTGATTTCAAACCACTCTTGAGGATTACCAGCTGCCATTTTGTCCTATTGAATATATAAGAGTACCATTTGCAATCAACAGTACTAAGAATTGTTTATTTGGAACCGCAGTTACAATCTGTAAAAATAATACGTAACAAGCTAACAAGCCTTCCAGAAGGTTATGGATTCATAGAGTTCATTTCTCATGAAGTTGCCGAGAAAGTTCTACAGACTTACAATGGCACACAAATGCCTGGAACTGAGCATACATTCAGATTGAACTGGGCCTCTTTCAGCTCTGGTGAGAGGCGTCCTGATGCAGGACCTGATCATTCGATTTTTGTGGGAGACTTGGCGCCTGATGTCACAGATTACTTGCTACAGGAGACATTCCGTGTGAGCTATCCTTCTGTCAAAGGGGCTAAGGTTGTCACGGATCCAAATACTGGGAGGTCCAAAGGGTATGGATTTGTAAAGTTTGCAGATGAAAATGAAAAGAATCGTGCAATGACAGAAATGAATGGTATGTATTGCTCAACAAGACCTATGCGGATAAGTGCTGCAATACCTAAAAAAACCACTGGATCTCAGCTTCAGTATGGAGCTGCTAAAGGTAATTCTTGTCTTATAATATACTACTATTCTGTTAGTTCTGATGCAACTCACGATCTCACTACTACATGTTATTTTTAGTTGCTCTGTTAATATGTACTCCTGCTTATGAGGCATTTATGACAGATCACGTTCTTGTGAGCTCGTATTATTTCTCCTATTAGCAGTAATAAGATAGAGATTCATCTGTAAGTGGATTTCTGCAGTGATTCATTTATATTGGCAGACAATGCAGCATATATCACAATTCACAAGTGTATAATTCATTTCCATAGACAGGTGCTTTTCTTGAATTTGTTTTAACCACCTGTGTTATTTTGATATGTAGCCATGTATCCAGCAGCAGGTTATGCAGTTCCGCAAGTCCAACCAGTTCTACCAGATAGTGATCCGACAAACACCACTGTAAGAACCCTTATCATTTAGCCTGCTGTTTGCACTGTTGAGTATGCAATTTACCCTGAGACACATTTGCAGATATTTATAGGTAACTTGGATCAGAATGTGACAGAAGATGAACTCAGGCAGATCTGTGTCCAATTTGGGGAGCTTATATATGTAAAAATTCCAGCCAATAAAGCTTGTGGATTTGTACAATATGCATCTCGGTGGGTAATCTTGCTTTAATTTAATAAATGGACATTCTGTGCTGTATGTTCTTTCAAGTTTCAACTTTTACAGAATCAAGCTTTCACAGAATTAGTTAGGAGGCTTAACTTATAATGGCATCATAGGTGGCTGGTTACTTTAAATTAATAAATGAAGCATACAGAGAAGGGTATCATTCGCGGTCTACCTTGTATAATTTTCATAAATACACCCAATAATGAATTATATCGAAGGAAAACCTTTGAAACTCATAGAACTATATCGAAGGAGAACCTTTGAAACTCGTAGATTCATATGCCACTCGGTGAACTGAATACTTAAATAAATTTTATACCTAGGAAAAGATGTATAAAAAATTAGTAACAGACTGAATGATTTATGCCTGTAGCAGGGACTCATTGAATCAGTTTGTTTTTCTAGGTATCTGCATACATTGTAGGCAAAACTTTGATACCTCAGACACTCAGGTGCAAATGTTGCTCTGCATTTATAACTTAATAGAAAGGAACAAAATGTTACCTTTGGTCTGATGTGTTCTTTTTCCACTTAAATATTGGACGATTAGGCAATGCATTTCTTGGCCTCTTTGCGAGCATGGGAATTTGTTTGGATGATGTGAACGATGTGTAACTGTTTCAGGGCATCAGCTGAAGAGGCAGTACAACGTCTTCATGGCACAACGATCGGCCAACAAGTAGTCAGGCTTTCATGGGGCAGGAGTCCTGCGAGCAAGCAGGTAATCTCATTAAGTTTCTATATCACAAACCTAATGCTCAATAAATCTCTTTAACCTCAGACGCCTTGAAATCCACTTAAACCAATATACTAATTGACAATGCAAATTATACTATATAAGCATGCAAAAGAAGAATATATTAATTGTAGAAGAACGCTTGTATCCCCAGTATATTGTTCTTGTTTAGTCTAACTGATTAAGGGCATACTTGTTTGACCTTTCTTCTTTGGTATTTTCTCTTCATGTTCTTTTCTGATTTTGATATCTGTTCTATTTTGCTTTATCTCTTGGCATTTCATCAAATTTTGTATGCAGGATCAATCAGCTGTCTGGAGTCAACAAGCTGATCCTAATCAATGGGCAAGTGCTTATTATGGCTATGGATATGATGCATATGGATATGCCCAGGACCCATCATATGCATACAATTCTTATGCAGGATATACCCAGTACCCCCAGCAGGCAAGGATTTCAATTAATTTCACATTCATTCACACCTGAAGATTTTTTTTTCTAGTAGTACAGAAATTTTGCCTTAAGCTAAAGATGTTGGGTCCAGAAAGTGTATATGTTGAATTATTTGACTTGTTCCTGCCAGTATGCTATCACCATTAGTATGCTATCACATTGATTCATCTTGAGAATAATGGCTGTTTTATCTGCCATCTTCTGATATCGACAAACTTAGGATGTTTCACCTGCTTGACAATGAGACATGATAAGAATCGGCTAACATAATATCTACTGCACTCGATTTCCTTTTGAACTTCTGATTGAATTAGCAATCTTGCAATTTTCCAGGTTGAGGGAGCGACCGATATGGCATCAGCAGCTGGAAGCCATGCCCCAGGAATGGAAAAGGAGGAGGTGTATGATCCAATGAACTTACCTGATGTTGACAAGTACAGTTCCACTTATCTCACTTCCCCCTTTATTTTATATATTACTACATTGATGATGTGTCCTAATCCACGCACTGCTCTGTTTAAATCTAGGTTGAATGCGTCGTACATCGCTGTTCATGGTAGAGCCATGCTTGGGCGATCCCTGTGGTTGAGAACTTCATCATTGCCTCAGTCAGCTTGAGCGCCTATTTATCACTCCTCGTTGCCTTTTTTACTGAAGACTGCAATGCCAGTAGAGCCAGTTGGTAGTTTGCAAAAACGGAGAAACTGTGACAGGCTGACTGACAGCTTAATGTATGTTGATTTGTCATCACATGTATGATTAGGGAACCCCTTTTGCTGAGCCTCTTCTAAGTGAACAGATTACTGCCAATGATGCGGCTACTTTATGATGCCAAGTTACTGGATGAAAATCATCAGAAAAAAAAATTCTGTCTCGATCTCATGTTCAGAATTTTTCCGCAGTTCTTTCCTGGTTCTCCGTTCTTGCTGTATCTTTCCTCCCTTTTTACCATCAATTGACGTTTTTTTTTACCATGGTAAAATCAGATTACCATAGTAGTAATAAAATTGATCCTATCGGACGGATGAAAAGAAACGGTCGCCATCACTGTCCTGAGATCTCATCAGTCATCGGGTGTGAGATCTGCGACGCTAATCATCTCCTCGGATTCTGTCCACTCTCACTCGGAACGTTCTATTAACAGGGCGTCAGGGCCCCTCCTCTCCTTTAATAACCCTCCACGTGTTCCAGTGCGCCACCCATCAAGTGGGTCCCACATGTCAGTGTCTCACCAGAGCTGGCCATCCCCCCAACGGTCGAAAAGATGGACCGCGAGCCAACGGCTGGTCATAACATCGTAACGGCTCGACGCCGCGCAGCGCTCCACAACTCACGAGACGAGGCAGAGGCGCTCGCCGCGGAGGAGCCACCACCACCCACCGCCGCCGCCGCCACCGCAAACTCTCTTTCTTCTCTCGCCTGGACGAGCCGCCGGAGAGCTCGGGGGAGAGCTCTGCTGCTTGGGGAGGGGAGGCGGAGGCGATGGAGTCGATGGAGCCCAAGGACATCGACTGGAGCAGGGTGGTGTCGCGGTACGTGCGCGACGAGACCTACGAGGGCATCGAGGCCCCGCACTGGGCCGACCTCACCGATCCCGAGGCCGGCGTCGCCGCCGTCGACGACGAGGCCTGGTTCTGCCGCCCCGGTACGCTCGCCTCCCGGATTTTCAAGAATCGGTTCGGTTCTTGATCACCGAAGCCGTCTTCCCTTGGGGGATGGATGGATTCCGCTCTCGTTTTCGCTCGATTTGTTCTCTGATCTTGACACAAAAGAAAGAAGCTCTGCTTCTTGATGGCACACGCTCTTGATTTGATTTGCTACTGTTGTCGCTGCAGATTGCCGGCATCCAAAGACGGTCGAGGACTTCCTCAAGATGAGCCCCAGCCCCAAGGTATGTGCTGATTTCTCGCCTGTGTTTCTCCTTCTCTGAACTTCGATTGTTCGGTTTTCTCACTTTCTTCCTCGGATCAGGGCAAGCTACTGCGATCAGTGTCGGCCATGATGATGCCGTTCGGCGAGAGGGACACCAACCTTAGGTGAGCAGAGTTCTCCGGTTAAATTCAGCTGCTCGTCACTCACCTACCTCGATGCGACCATGTTCTGACCCCAATTTGTTTGATCCATTTTGCTCAGAGACGGCAACAACAATCTCAAGAGGCGGGGAGCCGTCGCCGGCAGCGGCATCGCCGCCACCTTCACGCCGCCCAAGCCCAAGGCTGCGGCCAAGAAGAGGTTCCAGGACGACAGCGAGAACCAGGACCCGGCATTGGCCACTCCACCTCCGCCGCCACCGGCGGCGAGTAGGCCACCGTTCGGCGCGGCACGGTGGGCCAAGAACGCCAAGGACGCCATCAAGTCCAGCGCGGAGAAGCGGCCGGGCAATGCAGAGAAGGAGGCCCTGCTCAGCAAGAACGCCGCGCCGAGGCAGCTCAAGAGCACCCTCTCGGCGAGGAACCTCTTCTCCGGGAAGGACATACTTGGCCAGATATCAGACTTCTACAATGAGCTCAAGCGGATGGCCGGCGGCAATGGCAGCCGGCCTGGGTCGGAGGCCATGGAGGAATTAAGCTCAAACCCAATGTAATTAATTCTCTTCTCACTGAACTACTGAAGCGACGCAGGAATCTGGTTCTTGCATCCGTACTTTTATGTTCTTGACATACTGATCTCTGCAGAAATGAGGGCGATGTGGCCGAGAAGAAGGTCGATTGTGGCTGTGGCACTGGTGATCAGGTTCCCTCTGAAGAAGCCATCAAGGAGAAATCAAGGCAAGAAACAGCAGAAAAGAGTCCAAGCACAATGTAATTTCCTTGTCACTAGAATGCAAAACAACATTTCAGATCATCAGATGAATGCTTCCATGGTTGCTGGCGGTGCTGACAATTGGTTGGTTTTGTGCAGGAAGGGGAAGAAGATGGGATTGAAAGTGGAAGCTGCGAAGCCCACCAGGTCCTCTGTGTTGAAGGAGGTGAAGGCCACACCACCGACTCCGCAGCGGTTCCCATCTCCCTCGACGAACCGTGTCAAGAACGTGAAAGCAGGAGGCATGTCGATGGCAAGCTCACCACTCAAGAAGCCACTGAAGGTGACTACAGCATTCTTACTGTGCTAATTTAGTTGTTTTACTCTATTTATGTTGCTAAGTTGTTTCATTGTGGCCTTCCATATAGGTCTTCAGTTCAGGCACTTTTGTGTAATTACTTGACATCTGCATGCGACATTAATCACTGTCTTATCACTGTGGCAACTTGACATCTGCATGCTTCTAGTTTACTAATGCTGTGGTTCCCACTTGTATACTTCTCATTTCAAGTTGATTGTGCAGTGATCTAATTACTGTGAGAAATGCCTTTTTCTATAGGAGAAGGGGACACCTAGTAAGGATCTGGAGAACAGCAAAGATGCTAAGAGGCAACCTTTTGGTGTCAAGGACATGAACAACACCAAGGCTTGTGATGCAGAAGGCTCTAGTAGCATGTTTTGGTTCTTGAAGCCCTGCACCTTCCTAGTGGAGTAGCAGCAAAATAACGGGAAGCTTTAAAGAACTGCATTTTATGTAGTTAGAATACATTATTTCATTCTATTTGAGATACCTGTTTGGTTGATTCATTTGATGGACATTTTTGTCAGGGAAATAAACAGCAAGCTATGTATAGTTACTAGCAAAGTCATTCAAGTTTGAGAGATTCTTTCCATATGTGGGGTTCGAGATATAGCAAAATGTTGTTGTTCTTTATGCTGCCTAACTGTTTGGCCGGAGATCTGCCATTTTCCTGAAGTGATTTCGTCCCATCGCCCGAGATGTTGAAACTCTATCCACCTGTTAAGTTGAGTAGATTTTTCAGTCCAGGTCCACTAATTTGGATCAAACATATTTTCTTCTTCATTAAACTGATGATGATGGTGATATATCTACTTTACGTTTGTCTAGTTTCAGAAGTTTGACTTGCAACTATTTAACCCGTAACTTCTAAATATCAGATAAAAGAACTTTTACAATCTTTTAGAGGTACCAAGAGATAACGAAATTCCGAGAGGTACAGGTACCAAATCTTCAGCTACAGGTACCTCAGTTGGACTGGAAATTTATCATTACTCAATGGACGCAATTTTATCATTATAAAAACTAGAAATTGTGTGTAATTCAATGTCATTGCCCCTTCCGTTCCGTTTAGTGTTATACTCCATCCATTCCAAAATATAACAATTTTTAACTATTTAGATGACTATATTCATAGTTAAAAGTTAATATATATTTAGGACATATGCAGTAACAGTATTTTGGATCAGGTGTTCTATAAACTGTTAAGTACTGTAGGAGTACTTGGTACAGGTGTTATATAAACTGAGCTGTATAAACGTTAGATTAAACCAGTAGCACGAGGAGTTATTTCAATCACAGGGAAGTAGACCATTTCAGGAACGCAACGATTTTTAACTTTCTCTTGTTACAAACCAAACATTTCCCACAAATTAATGCATGCCAACTCCAAAGTCAAATATGTTCTACTCTTAGGGCCGGTTTGGTACAGCTCCAACTCCTAAATTTAGCTTCAGGAGTTGGGTCTGAAGTGGACTTGTGGAGCTGCCTAAACTCAGCTCCACAACTCTAGTTCATTTTGTGAGAAAGCTCCACCCAGCTCCACTCCCAATTTTGGTGGAGCTGAAACTGTTTAGCTGAGCTCCAGTTCCAAGAGGGGTGGAGCTGAAGCTGGAGCTGTGTCAAACAGACTCTTATAATACGCCAACCAAAATGGATTTGCTATTACACTTGTCAATTCTCCCTTGTGGCACGGCTTAAAAAAATACCACCATTTCCTGCCCAATACCACTTTGTCAACAAAAGGAGAAGGAGAAGAAGTTCTTGAACATTAACGGGTATTGGGTTATCAAATTCCCGGAGCCCCGGTCAAACTCCGAACATTCCCCCCATAAACAGTGTTCCAATACAAATTTTTTGGGCTCCTGTCGGATCCGAAATCCGTAGACACCACTTCACCTGGATCCGCTCCGACCGCTGCGCTTCGTGCTCCTCCGCGATTTCGAGATTCTCTCGCGTTTGCTCGATAGCTTCCGCCTCCCCCATTTCCTTCTTCTCCATCGAATTTTTCGGAGACCTCCAGTAGCGCAATTTCTCTTTGCCGCGGCGGCAGCGGCAGGGCACGGGCGGGAGCGGCAGCGGCAGCGGCGGCGAATCGAGGGGCCGGCGAGGACCGGGTGATTGGGGCCGGGGCGCAGCCGGTGCGGCACGGCGGAGCTAGGGCGGAGGGGGGAAGCCCGGCGGGCGGAAAGCAGGTTGGGAATCTGTCTCGATTTTGCTGCGGTTTGTTGCGAACTCATTTTTAGCTTGTCTGATGTGGTGAAGTTGTGCGTGGTTTTTAGGCATAGCTCGTTGTGTCCAGGCTCCGGGAATTTGTTGGCTCCGCCGCCACAGCGCCACTGCTTGGGGGTAAAGCTCTTGGGTCTCTGATCCAACTCGCGTCGATTTGGTTGTATTTTCGGTTGATATATGGCAAGAACTGTGGCTTTCAGATGATGGTTTGACCATGCGCACAATGCGTTCGACGAAATGTCCATGGGCATTCCTGGGCGTGGCTGGCGCCCTGGTGATGCTCGTCGCCGCGGTCCATGTCTTCATGGTGCCAATCCTCCCTTCCTCGCTCGATTTCTTTGGTGCTGGTCACGGCATTGGCAAGCCAAGGAATGTGCTGCCAGGCGTTGGAGTGGTGGACTCACGTCTCAGTGGGCAGTTCCCTTCTGATTCGTATGGTGCAGTGACATACCGTGGTGCGCCGTGGAAAGCTGAGATTGGCAGATGGCTTGCTGGATGCGATGCCGGCTTGTCGGTTGTCAATATTACTGAAGTAAGCACTTATCTTTGTCACTGACCATTGCGCACTGCTTTAGCTTTCCTCGGATTAATTTGGCTGTTCTTCTGGAACAGTTTATAGGTACAAAGCGGTGCGAGCAAGACTGCAATGGGCAAGGTGTGTGCAACTATGAGCTGGGAGAATGCAGATGCTTTCATGGATATGCTGGTCAGTCCTACTTTGTCAGCTCAATTAATGTGTTAATCTTGTTAATAATTGATCAATGAAATTGCAATTTCACAAGGGATTTCGATCACTAGAAAGATTTAATGGTTAGAACATCAACTTGCAGTTTAACAAGGTTGGGTTTTAATCACATACCATTTTGATAAGATTGGCTTCTTGTTAGATCATTCCCTTGCCTATCTACTTATGTTAACTGCCATCGGTTATGGCATATTAGTTTCATTTTTACCAGTTTCTGTTTCTTCTTTTCTTTTCCTGAAAAGAAAAAAGAATCATATGTACTGCATGCTATGCATGGTGGAGGCATCTGTACCATTCTTTGCTCTTTTTTTTTGTTATTTCTTAAGCTTCTCGTTGTAACAATTTAAATTGTATCACTGTGTTGCTAATCTCTACAAAAGGTTATCATATACAGGAAAACGATGTGAGGAGGTTCAGAAGGTGGAATGCAACTTACCAAGTTCTCAAGAATGGCCTGTGGGACGGTGGATAGTTTCCATATGTCCAGCCCATTGTGATACAACAAGGGCAATGTGCTTTTGTGGACCAGGAACAAAATATCCAGATCGCCCTGTTGCTGAAGCTTGTGGCTTTAAAACAATGTAAGGAAGAATATCATTGATGCTTATGTCTTTTCGATAAAACAACATAAGAATATTATTTATACTTCAGTAATCAGTATCATTGAACTTCTCTAGCTCATATTTTTAGCTTGCCTAAAAAACCTGATGACTCGAAGCTCACTGACTGGAAAACACCTGATCCGGATGTATTCACGACAAACAAGAGTAAGCCAGGATGGTGCAACGTGAATCCTGAGGATGCTTATTCTTCCAAGGTGAAGTTTAAAGAAGAATGTGATTGCAAATATGACGGACTCTGGGGGCGATTCTGTGAGACACGTGTTGAATGCAGCTGTATTAACCAGTGCTCAGGGCATGGACATTGCCGTGGTGGTTTCTGTCAGGTATCTCTCAAACAAGTTGATCGGATAAAAGTCATGAAAATGTGTTGACAGACTGATTTGTGTTTGCTACCTTCTTAAGCTATAATCTAATTGAGTATAAATTTCTTTCAGTGTGACGGTGGATATTTTGGAATTGATTGCAGCATGCCATCAAATTATTCAGTTGCATATGGCATGCCCTCATGGCTCCAACCACCAATGAATTTACCAGACTTGAAAAATATAAGCTCCAGCTCCATCAATGTTAAGGTTGTTGCTAAGAAAAAAAGACCACTTATTTATGTATATGATTTGCCAGCAGAATTTGACAGTCATCTTCTTGAAGTAAGTACATATAGTAAGCTTAATTCATTAAATTCTTAAAGCTTTACTGCTGATTGAGATAAAAAGACGTGTTCTATTGTAGGGACGGCATTACAAGTTTCAGTGTGTGAACAGAATATATGATGACAAGAACAGAACCATATGGACCCAGCAACTGTATGGTGCTCAGGTTTGTTAAGCTAATTACTATCAGAGTGGCACTTATGATATATGTTCGTTGTTCCGTGTTGATAGTAAACATAAATCTTGTTCAGTAGGGCACATTCGGATCTAGATCTGACCAATGTATGATGCAATTTTTTCTTTTCCATGTAGATAGCACTCTATGAGAGCATCCTTGCTAGCCCTCATCGCACACTAAATGGTGATGAAGCTGATTATTTCTATGTGCCAGCTCTTGACTCGTGTCTAATAACTAGATCTGATGATGCCCCGCATCTGCAGATGCCGGTAACATCGATCATCCATTTGTTGTCTCGAATTGTTTTTGTTCTCCTTCAATAATTTGATTCTTGATTTTAGAGGGACTTGCGCCTCAGGAGCTACCATACTCTGGAGTACTACAGAATGACTTATGATCACATAGCTCAGCGGTATCCTTACTGGAACCGCACTTCTGGAAGAGATCATATCTGGGTGGGTATTGTGTTTATATGTAATTAATATTATGATGATTCTTGAATCATTATTGCATAGTCACTAATTGATAGTTTTTCAACATACGAATGAGCAGTTCTTCTCATGGGATGAAGGTGCCTGCTATGCTCCTAAAGAGATCTGGAACAGCATGATGCTCGTCCACTGGGGAAACACTAACACAAAACATAAGAATTCAACGACAGCTTATTGGGCAGACAACTGGAATTATATTCCTATTGACAGAAGAGGCAACCATCCCTGTTTTGATCCAAGAAAGGATCTTGTGCTTCCAGCATGGAAGCAACCTAACCCAGCAGCCATCTGGTTAAAACTATGGGCGAGGTGTGTTTGAGTACTTTTGAATATTTTTGAACCAATATCATTTAGAGCATTAAAATATATTTTTCGCAGGACAAGGAACAACCGTACAACACTATTCTATTTCAATGGTAATCTAGGACCAGCCTATAAGGATGGCCGTCATGAAGACACGTATGCATCTCTTCATATGTTTGTACAAAAATATATGGCCAACTTGTATCTAAATCTTCTACTGCATAATGCAGCTATAGCATGGGGATTCGGCAAAAGCTGGCCGCTGAATTTGGTTCCACACCAGATAAGCAGGGGAAGCTTGGAAGGCAGCACACAGCCAATGTTACAGTTACCTATTTGCGAACTGAGAAGTACTATGAGGAACTAGCAAGCTCTATTTTCTGTGGTGTCTTGCCAGGGGATGGCTGGAGTGGGCGTATGGAGGATAGCATGCTTCAAGGATGCATTCCTGTAATAATTCAGGTGCCACAATATCATTTTCTCCATTTCTATTATTGTGGATCAAGGGAGGTTATAATGTGCAATTGTGCATCTCTGAGAATCATTTGACCTACTACTCATAATTATCTTCTATGTTGGCTTAAATTGTAGGATGGAATTTTGCTTCCCTATGAGAATATGCTTAATTACAACAGTTTTGCAGTCCGCATACAAGAAGATGATATCCCAAACCTCATCAGAATACTTCGAGTATGTGTTTGCATTAACTCCCCTTTCGTTCGGTTATAACTTTTGACACATACTTGGTGTTTCCATCTCACCAGGGGATAAACGAAACACAAGTAGAGTTCATGTTGAGAAATGTGCGCCAGATATGGCAGAGGTTCTTCTACCGTGACTCTATATTGCTAGAGGCTCAAAGGCAGAAAAGATTATTCTCTGAGGAGGCACCGTGGTCTGTTGAGGTGTCAAAACTAGACAAGGTTGATGATGTCTTCGCTACTTTCATACAGGTAATTACTGGAAAAGCTTGCCAGATTGATCTGTATTTAGGGACTTAACATAGTTTGCTCTGACCATACTTACATAGTTACATTTGCCATAGCAAAGCTTTAACAGACCCATACTTACTATACCACAAAAGAATAAATGCTTGCTCATGTCTCTCGCCTTTTACCTTCACCTTAGAATTGTGGTTCTGTTGACATTTCCTATTTGCTGAGTACGATGTTTTTGCAGGTATTGCATTACAAATTATACATTGACCCTTGGCGGCAAGGTGTCCTCCAAAGAAAGGAAACCGGGTTGCCTGACATCTGCTCGAAAGCTTCCTGAAATGTCTGGCAGACACTACAAATGTAAAGCTAAGATAGGCATATATGTAGTTCTAGATTCCTAGAAAGTGACCTATTACCTATAAATTCTGTTACATTCAGGAAGATTCAAACGTTACCTTTGGTAGTTCATTTCTTCCAGAGTTTTGTCAGATTGACCCCCAGGCCATTTTCTGTAAGGATAATAGCAATAGTACCTTGCTTTCTTGATTCGGAATTGATGTATAGGGCACATTCTTTATACACACACACACACACACACACACACATACTGAGAATCCAATACGTATACTATAATTTTGTCTTTTGTGAGGAATTGAAGTGGTTTGGATTCTGTGTTGATTGATTCAATAGTTAGTAGTACTGAAAAAAGGTATCATCGATGCAACCATTTATGTATTTAGCAGTGTTAGTTGAGAAGTGAATTCAGCAGTGTTGGGAGTTCCTTACATACTCCCAAGTCCCAACACTGCTAAATACATAAATCACAGAAGTACACTACATGATCACACAGAAGCATATACAGTACAGTACATTTTTCATAGATTTGTGGTGGTATCCTATCCTGAATTGCTCACCGTTGGTCAGAGAGACAAGGAGACCGATAAGCTCAGATTGCAGGAGGCAAGAGGGCTAGAGAGCCGAGAATCATGCGTTCATGGAAACATGGGCACATGCACCCTGTCCGACGTGGACGAGAAGCATGTGAAGTGGACGCGCTCGTGAGAGCCAAAAATGCTGTGAGGTGGATCTTTATACCTCGCATTGATACCATGGTAATATGGTAGTAAACTGTGTACATGGAGCATCAACATGCACGCCATGCTATCCGCCTATCCGTACGTACGTTCTCTCGGTGCATGCACAGATCGGTAGTGCCCAGTATGCTAATACTACAGATACCATCTGTAGTATATTATATATCAAGTATGCAAAGAGCAAAGTAGTTCTCTAGGATTAGTGCCCAATATGCTAATTAATTCTGCAGATACAATCTGATGTAAACTTGTTCAAGTTTACAAGGATTTTTTTAGAGATAACGAAGATTATGACTAGCGAGATATATCTACTACTCAAATTCCAATTTCCAAACGTTGAACCTACAAAATCCATAGGTTATCTTGTTATTAAATTTGCCATCGAAGCCTCTTATAATTACAATAACCTAAACCAGAAAGAATCGTTTGCAACAATGCACTGCAGAGACTGCAGCACATCATCCATCCTAGAGATGCCCCCAACGGTCACATGCGCGCTAAGCTCACAGGTCCTCAGAAAGCGCGACACCACCGTGCCAACACAACGCCACCACCATGCATTCTCCCCTTCCGGCCCGGCCGTGACAACATTTAACACCCAACCCCATCGGATCACACTACTTATCCCGCGCCGCGCTCCCCCTCTCCCGTCTCCTCCTACTCAGTCACACTCCCCTCACTCCCACTTCACTCCACCCCTCGCGCTCCCACTTCAAAAACCTCGCGCCTCCCCCCATCTTTCGACGACGAGTCGTTCAAACTCCAAACTCCAACCCAAAAACACCGCCCGCGCCTAGCTAGCTATATGTGTTTGCGTACGTGCGAAACCAGGTGAGATTACGTGCGTTTCGCTGTGATTTCACGTACGCCGGCTGCGTCTCGCGCGCGCGCGCGATCGATCGCCGTATGGAGAGCTACGGGAGGAAGCGGGCGTGGAAGAAGGGGCCGACGAGGGGGAAGGGCGGGCCGCAGAACGCGGCGTGCGAGTACCGCGGCGTGCGGCAGCGGACGTGGGGGAAGTGGGTAGCCGAGATCCGCGAGCCCAACAAGCGGACGCGCCTCTGGCTCGGCTCCTTCGCCACCGCCGAGGAGGCGGCGCTCGCCTACGACGAGGCCGCGCGGAGGCTCTACGGCCCCGACGCCTTCCTCAACCTGCCCCACCTCCGCGCCGCCTCCGCCGCCGCCGCGCACCAGCGCCTCAGGTGGCTCCCGGCCTCCGCCGCCGCCGCCGCCGCAAGGGGGGGCGCCGCCGCCGTCCCCGCCTACGGCCTCCTCAACCTCAACGCGCAGCACAACGTCCACGTCATACACCAGAGGCTGCAGGAGCTCAAGAACTCGTCGTCGTCGCCGACCAAGCCGCCGCCGCGTACGCCGACGCGCGCCAACCCGCCTCCGCCGCCTCTCCCCACCTCGTCGCCCTGCTCCACCGTCACCAACAGCGTCGGCTCCGCGGCTCTGCCTCCGCCCATGTCGTGCTTCCAGGCGCTGGAGCAAGCGATGGCGGCCACGGCGGCGATGGAGAGCGCGCCGTGCGACGACGACGCCGCCGTCGTGGGCTTCGGCGCCGACAAGCCCCAGCTCGACCTCAAGGAGTTCTTGCAGCAGATAGGCGTGCTCAAGGCCGACGACGACGGCGCGACAGGCAAGAACGGCGCCGTCCACGGGGACGACGGCGAGCTGGCGGACGCGTTTGGCTTCGGCGGCAGCGGCGAGTTCGACTGGGACGCGCTGGCTGCCGACATGAGCGACATCGCAGGAGGCCACGGCGGCGCGCTGGGCGCCAATGGCGGGTTCCAGATGGACGATCTGCATGAGGTCGAACAGTTTGGCGGGTGCATGCCCATCCCTATTTGGGACATTTGAAATCTCATCGGTAGTCATGCACAAGCTTTGAGCAAATTTCTAGCCTATCTGCATGCAGATGGGTCATTTCAGTGATGCAAAAGCTTTAATTCTTCCAAGTTCATGTAGTCTGATCATCTGATGGGTAACGAGTTTTTTGTTTAAGAATGATGGGTAATGAATCTGCATGCGTTTCATGAATCTGCAACAAAGTCTTGATCTGTTAAGTGCAAAAAACTATTCTAGAAGTAGGGGAGATCAGAGCTTGTTTTTGCATACCATTTAAAACCTTGTTTGGATTAAGAAAAAACAAAACGCAGAAATATAGATATAGAACAATAAACATAGAAATGCACGTGTAAAATAGAAGAATTTTTAAAAAAAACATGTATAGGTGTTTGGAACGCATGAATTTTATGAAATAAGACTCTTGTTGCTTAACTAACAAGGTAATAAATTCCCTTTTTATGGTTAAAAATCACCTCATTGTTGCTCACTTCACAGGGAAAGTTTCCCTTAGCTTTGGCCTTATTTTTCCCTTGATTTCGACTGAAGGAGTAAAGAATAGAGAAACTCAGGAAAAGTTTCCGAAAGAATTTTTATGCCATTCATATATTCCGAACACCACGGTAGGAAAGAAAAAAAAACTATAGTTTTCAATTCTTTGATTTGAAAATCCTCCATCCAAAACAGGCCCTAAAAGGTCGTTAAAAATTTGACAAAAAATCCACCTCCTAGAAGTATCATATTGCGTGGGGTCGCTTATCTCGAACACAGTCTATGTGGGCTGTGGTTACCATATCACAATCATGAAACGCAAGGCCCTAAAATAACTCTTCTCAAGACGGAATCAACACACAGTTCGTAGAAAAGATGTGATGCAATATTTGTCAGGCTTCCAAGCAAGAAATTTTTCGTGATTATTAGCGCAGAATATAGGGGGTCTATAGCACCAAACAAGTAAAGTCAAAAGATAAATACTATAAAGCAACCCAAAATTATTGCATCATTGTTGACGTCTTGGAAGATTCTTAGAATTATTGCAGGCAATTGCATCACATTACCAGTCAGTAGCTTTTCCCATGTATTACAGGTACCAACGAAATAGCGGTAAATACTGATGAGCGTCGCTCAAGGCCAAGTTAGGGCTGAAATATTTTGGTTCAATTGATGACCAAATGGAGTTGCTTTTACTTGTATATTAGAGCATCCCTCCCAGGTCCAACACCAATGTAGTGGACTGGAACACCAACAAGCTCTTCTATCCTCTCGACATAGCGTTGGGCAGCTAGGGGAAGTTCACTGTAACTCCGGACAGACGAAATGTCACTTTGCCACCCAGGCAACACCTCATATTTGACCTGAAATATAAGATTCAGCGAATGAGAGATGAAAGATATAAACCTTACATAAGCCCTAGTACAGAACAGCAAATACCATAGGTTTAACAGAAGACCTGATGCCAAGACATTCATGGAAATAATCATATTGCATCTTACAACAAGATAAAAAAAATTCAGCAAGAAACAGTTACATTACACAAATACCTTACTATTCAACAAACAGAAAACAATGGCATCCCAAATGCTTACCTGTACTTGCTCCAGAGTATCAAGATCCCCTGGGAAGGATTGTAGCTTCTGCCCATCAGGTTGGTTATAAGAAACCCCCAGCTTAACTTCTGGTAATCCAGACAGAACATCAAGTTTGGTCAGATTAAGAGATGAAAACCCATTTATCTCGCAGCAGTACTTTAGTGCAACAATGTCAAGCCAGCCACAACGCCTTGGGCGGCCTGTTGTCGTCCCAAATTCCATTCCTGATTTCCTAAGGAGATCACCTTCCTCTCCAAACAGTTCAGTTGGAAAAGGCCCAGAACCAACCCTTGTTGTATAAGCTTTTACCTGCATGTGAAATATTGGAGTGACTCAGCGCTATATGATAGAAAGAAGAGAGGTCTTAGTTACAATAGTTCTAACTTACCACTCCAATCAGGTCACCAATACACCTTGGGGCAATCCCAAGGCCAGTGCATATCCCACCAGCTGAAGGGCTAGAAGAAGTCACAAATGGGTAAGTTCCAAAATCAATATCCAACATTGTTGCTTGACCACCTTCAACCAGAATTTTCTTCTTCTGTTGGATAGATTCATTCAACAGATGAACAGTATCAGCAATGAACGGCTCCAAGCGCTCTGCAAATCTTTTGTACCTCTCAACCTCTTCCCTGAGCATGCTTTTGCTGTACTCAAAGCCTTCAAACCTTGAAGTGGCATCTTTAAACAAGACATCAAGCTTATCCCCAAAAGTGTCCATGTGCCTTAGATCACAGACTCGCAGTCCGTTTCGAGTGACCTTGCTGGAATAACATGGTCCAATGCCTCTCTTAGTCGTCCCTATAAAGGAATTAGCAAGCTCTGCTTCCCTAAGTCCATCTACAGCCTGATGCAGATCAAAGAGTAAATGTGCCCGGTCAGAGACCAATATTCTTCCATTGCAATTGACTCCATTGGATTCAAGACCATCAATTTCATTAAAAAATCCTGGAACATGGATCACCGCTCCATTGCCAACAACACACAGCGTTCCTTCATGGAGAATACCAGATGGAACAAGATGAAGAGCAAATTTCTTTCCTTCAGAATTGTAAATGGTGTGTCCAGCATTTGCTCCGCCCTGATGATAAACAAAATAGAAATTAAGATTAAGGCTTCCATGCTTAAGACCAACAGACAACTGGTACCGTCGAGCATACTATATGGTCTCCCAGGGAAACCATAAGGAAACCATAAGACAATAACAATAACTTTTGGTTATCAATAAACTGACAGTAATTAGATCACTATTGGGCCTGTTCAGCTGCAAGGGCTGCTGCAGCCTGCAGGAACAGTTAAGCAAGCAAAAATAATAAAAAAAAACAGTGGGCTGGCTGCAGCTGGCTGCTGCACCTGCCTGCCGAACAGGCCCGCTACTTTGAGATCTTTGGCTGTGCATCTATTGTGCTGACTGCTGAGACTGAAGATATAATATCATCTTCAGTTACCTAAAAGATGACCACTAGTCCATATGCTGAAAAAGAATAAGTAAATCCAGCAATTAAATTAAACTACCCAAGAGGTTGATCTCTTGACTGAGTTAAGCAACTCAAATACTTTACCCAACAGAAACTACAACGCTGCACGCTTGCAGTCTTGCACATAGTATCACCACACATGTACTTCTTATGCAATGAAATAATTGCATGCTTTTCTGCTAGATTCAGAAGCTACAGCAAGGAAGGATGTTAACATTTGCTCCAGCGTGTACATGCATGATTATGACAAGCTGTTTGACATCCATATGAAGGGAATTATCATCGATAGTCAATCCTGCTGGTGATCCAAAAGGAGTCGTGTTTTAACAGTTCAATTTTTGCTGTCATAATCAAACGTCCAGGCCTCTTTTGCCACCACTACCACAAAGCCCCAGCCAACTTACAAGAAATGTAAAAATTCATCGTCTACAAGACTACAACCCACAAACAAAGGGGGAGATAAGAGGTTGCAAATTTATTCTTCTGCACACACACTTCAGAGATAAACCCAGGCTATCTGCGGTGATTTCTAAACCATAGTAACCACAACTAAACAAGCTGAATTTCTAGGAACGGATGATTCTACCACAGATGAGCCTACCATCCGGATCAAACATCAATCAACCAAAACAGCCTCGATTCCAAGGATTCCTTCCGATTAACATGCAAGATCAATTTCTATCACCCAGTAGTAGTGCAAGCAAACAAGCCATCAAGCATGGATTAGAGCAATAGTAAGCATTCCACGGAAAGGGAATCGTATTCGTCTCTCGTCACCTGGCAACGCGCGACGATGTCGAAGCGAGGGGCGAGCACGTCGACGAGCTTCCCCTTCCCCTCGTCGCCCCACTGCGACCCCAGCACCCCGGAGACCTGGCTCAGCGCCGACACCCTGTCCGCCGCGCGGTCCGCCCCCACAGCCGCCGCGGACACCGCGGCGGCAGCAGGAGCCCGTGTCCTTGGCAGGCGCACCGATGGCGCCGCAGGCGCAGCCGCGGAGAAGGATTTCCCCGGCCCCGCTGCGGCGGCGGCGGCGGCGGCGGCGTGGTTGACAGTGGAGAGCGACATGGCTCGAGGGTTTTAGGTGCTCAGAGACAGTGGGGGCGCTGTTTGCTTAAGTACACAGATTGCACGTGTTGGAAAGGAACAAAATGCGCCAACGACTGTACGAATACGTATTTTGTGGGGGCGCCAACGAAATTGAGAAGAGAACACAAACCCAATCCAGAGGAGGGAGGAGCGCCGCCGCCGCCGCCGCCGCTCAGGCGAGAGGTTGCCGGAGCCGCCGCCACCGATGCTGCGCGTGGTCTCCACCCTCCCCGCGCTCCGCCCGCTCCTCGCCGGGAGCACGCTCCTCCTGAACGCTAGACCTCTGCTCCGCTCCCGCCTGACTCGGCGGCCGTTTCGCGCCGTCTCGTCCTCCACGGCGTCCCCGTCGAGCTCCAGCTCCGGCGCCAGGGACTTCGGGGGTGTGGATTTCGGCGATGAGCGCCTTCTGCGGTGCGCGGCGGCGGGGAGAGCGCCGCTGCGGGTGGCGGTGCTGGTGAGCGGCGGGGTGGACAGCAGCGTCGCGCTCCGCCTCCTCCACGCCGCCGGCCACCGCTGCACCGCTTTCTACCTCAAAATCTGGTTCCAGGTACATACGCGTTGCTCATTATGTTCTCTGCTACCACCGCTGATCTGAATGATCGATTGCATAGCTGAGTGCTCTATCTGTAGGAAGATTTCAGGAACTTTTGGTCTGAATGCCCGTGGGACGACGATTTGAAGTACGCGCAAGCTGTGTGTGACAAGGTATCATCGGTCAAATATTAGCTGAAGCATGGAGTTTCGTTAATTGCTGATGGGCATCATATATTTATAAACTAGTTTTTTCGACATGAACTCAGTGTTCCAATGGTTGGTTCTGTAGATTGATGTACCGTTGGAGGTAGTCCATCTATCTGATGAGTATTGGAACCATGTGGTAAGACTCGTTGGAGTATTTTGTCACCTTGTACAATGTAGTGGTCGCGTTAATCATTCTAAGAAAAACTGTGAATGTTTGCTAGGTATCTCACATAATTAACGAGTATCGCAGTGGCCGTACTCCGAACCCTGATGTTCTTTGCAACACAAGAATAAAGTTTGGTACAAACACTGTACTGTGATAGGTTTCCGCTATGCAAATCTGGCTGTAAATTGAAGTATGTTTTTTAACTTTCGTCTTGTTGGTTATTCTTTTGTTGCAGGAGCTTTCTTAGAAGCTATTGAAAATTTGGGATTTGATTACATAGCATCTGGACATTATGCACATGTAGTTCATCCATCACCTGACGATGTTGAAGGGCCATCAGTCCTCCAACTTTCAAAAGACAAGGTATTTGTACTTCACACCAAATAGCTGGGTTTGGCTTATAACAACAAAGAAACAAAACCAGATAGTTCGCTTAACAACATTTTTCATAAGAAATCGCCTTATTGACTCTCCTTGTTTTTTCAGGTGAAGGATCAAACTTATTTCCTTTCACATCTATCTCAGACCCAGCTTAGAAGGCTTCTTTTTCCACTGGGATGTATAACAAAGGTTGGATGATTTATCAATAAAGGATATTTAATTCTGGTTAGATGCTGCAAGTGGCATTCCTAATTGTACTAATAATTTTCAGGATGAAGTGCGCAGGCTGGCTGCTCAGATGGACTTGCCTAACCAAGATAGAAAGGATTCCCAGGGGATATGTTTTCTTGGCAAGGTAATTGCTTTGCCATTGTTAATATAAATTGTAGTCAATTCTATTTCCTTGAGTTATCTCATTATAACTATGAAAACTCTCACTTTCTAGGTCAAATTTAGTGAGTTTGTTGAAAGACAGATAGGAGAGATGGAAGGAGTACTGTTGGAAGCTGAAACTGGAGACTACCTAGGGACACACCGTGGATTTTGGTTTTATACAATTGGTCAGCGACAAGGATTGCGCCTTCCTGGCGGACCCTGGTAAGGACTATCACTTTGGAGATACTAAACTAAGTTAAATATTGATTTACCACAATATCCAATGGATACTATCGTTTTGCCATGTAGCACACATCTATTCATCTAATGCCCATCAAATTGCATCTATTTATCTTTTTCAGGTATGTGGTTGAGAAAGGTGTTCAAAACAATGTGGTTTTTGTCTCAAGGAATTACTACTCGCTGGATAAGAGAAGGCGGACATTTCGTGTTGGATCGCTGAACTGGTTTAGCAATTCTGGACCAACAAACAATGAGCAACTTAAATGCAAGGTACCAGATCTATGCACTAGCCTCTGTGGTACTGTAGCATATGGTTGATACCCTTTAGCCTTTTCTTTCCAGTTATTTTTTGAACTTATCGGCTCTCAACAGTCAACACCAGCAGTTATTATGGTGCTTTTGAAAGATGGGAATCCGATGTGCTAATCTGAGGCCGATCATCCTTTTAAGCTATCAATCATATTGCATGCCTTTTTCTTGGATTTAGCATTCAGACGTCAGATAGAGGGGGTGTGTACTTGTGGGAAAAGAATTCTATGGCACCAAGTGCTACAAAACATCTATAGCACCTCTTATCAGATGAAAACTTGTGTTGGATACAAATCTCAAAGCATCATCTTCCTCTCTCCCTTCTTTGTCCTTCTCCTTAAGCTAACTCAGTATCATTAATGCTGCACCTGGCATGCATGGTCGGCCATGGTCTGTCCATGTTAGAGCAGATCAATAGACAACTGTAGATCATGCACCTCATGTCAACACCCCCAATTTAAGTAGCAGCACGGTGAGACCAAGAGTGACAACGCCTGTCATCAACTAGGGTTACTGTATGGTAATGGCGAATCAAGGTTGCCAGAGAGATTAGTGACAAAGGTCGTGGGAGCGACGGTGGGCCACAGGCGGTCTCGTCAACGTACCCTATAGGTTGCATTTTGTTGGTGAATGTCTTGAAGTATCAGGAAGATTTGCCTGTTGATTTTGTTCCAGGGTGATGCTACGAAGATAGTTGATCTAGATGATCCAGGGGCCTTAGATCTTGATTTTAGAGTTGATACATCTGTGAGAAGAGATAGAATGGAAGATACTGATGCTGCTCGTAGATCTGTTTTCGATACGTGTTTCTACAGGGGTGCCACGGATGTTTTTATAGCACCTTGTGCCATAGAATTTTTTTCCCATACTGGTGTGTCCCAGGACTTCTTTTTACAAGCAGTTCCTATGTTACTCTCTTTTTTTTTTATCAAATATGACCAAATTGTCTCCTAGTTGCATTGGTTAGGATAGCATGCCCATGCTGGCAACTTTATCTTGAACTATTTGGTGCTGGGGTAGATGAGTGGCTTACAAATCCTGTTGATTTCTCCTTTTAGCTAAGCCATCCTGAAACAGATTAACTCTACAGTAATCCTTATTCTTGAACTTTGGGAAAATGGGAAACCTCTGCAGCTTCAAACCAATGCCAAAGATTCAACAAGCTTATGACTCCCTCTGTTTCATATTACTTGTCGTTCTAGCATTCAAAATGTGTATCAAAAAACTTGTCGTTCTCATGTTCCAAAGCACTTTTAGAGGTGATCTTCCCTCTCTACCTGTTTGATGAATTTTTGTGCCAAAATTCATAGAAAAATAATAAACCATTGGGCATTAATTTGCAACCCAATTTTACAAAATATACGAGAAGCGTGTCTCTATGACGTGTGGGACCAAAAAATTCAAATATCATACGATATCCAAATATAATCAACATTGGACTCGTTTTGTTGTATGTTTTGATTGGAAAATAATGGTTCCGACAGAATTCATATTTGATATATGATTAGAGAGATATAAACATTTGAAGGAGAAGATCAACTAGTGTTAACCGTATATCCTTGATTGGTTTGCTGATCCTCACCGGTTGGTAATTATCCTTATGAGGTGTGGCGTCCACCGTCAATTAGCCAAGTTAATCCTCGTGATTATCTCCAGCACACACACGTTCTTTTTATCTGGAGCACAAAATTCTTTTTATCATGCGCAGGTCGTTGGATTAACAGACGCGCTGGCTTATCCAGAGAATTAACGCGTGATTTCGCTGGCTTGCGCTGGAATCTCGGAAGGGATTAGGCGAGGACGCCGGCTGTCACCTCTACCCTTATATAAGGCGTTGTCCCTCACGACGCACGGAGAGGGTGGGAGAAAAAACCCCCGGCGCAGAGGCGGCTGGCAGAGGAGACGTAGCAGGGCAAGCCTGCTGCGTGCTCTGATCTGATCAATCACCCATACATCCAGAAGCCTATATCAATAGATACACAATCACACGCCGTCGCCGGCGCCGGGCGCTTCACAGCACGCAAGCCTGAACCGGCGATGAACCTTATACCACACATACACGCACCCACAAATATTTGATTAGGAGCTTGATTTCGATTAGGCAAAAGGAGATTAAATTCCATCGGCGGCAATTCGCGAGGAGATTAATCATTGCCGGCGACGATTGTGCCGGTGTTCGTCATCAAGCTAATCTGCATGTGCTGCACACCTGATAAAACATCAGGGGAGCAAAAAGATCAGATGCACGCCGTAGTGCTGCGCGGTTGCGCGGCCCGGCTGACAGAAAAGTAAAGTGGAGTACCGATGAACATGTCGTGGATGTGTTGTGAACTTGTAGCCATGGATATAAGTATTCCCAGCGGCGCATGCACACGCACACGTCATCTTTGTCAAGCGATTAATGTGGGCTGCAAATAAATACAAGGCGAGCCTAACCCTCGTGGGGGGTTGGACCGTCGAAATTATCAATATCAAGTATTGGATGTGATATTTATTTGTATAAACTTGGGATGAGTTTGAGTCTTATTGGCATCAGACCAACCATGATCTGTACATATTTATATTCATGCCGGATGAGTCACGTATTGCCTCGTGCATATCATGTACGGGAGCATTTCATTCCCTCTCCAAATTCTACCGAATGGACAGGAGCAATTCTCACAATTCCTGAAGACAAGCATTATTCACTAAATAAAACAATGCTAGCCAGGAGGGCGAGGACATGCAGATTTAAAACACACGTCGATATCATGGCCGAGTGTCGACGAGATGAAATGGCCGATTTATCAATATTTGTGCTACGTCTGAGACCGATGAGGCCAGACAAAGCTATTCATTCATTTCATTTGTCTATGACCGACGAGGCTAGACGATACCATGGCCGAGTGCCGACAAGGCCATGTCACTATACTATTAACACGTCTAAAACGAACGGGAGCCGGATACACCATTGCTGGGCACCGACGAGGCAAAAGCAACCACAAAATCTATGTTTGATGAAGGCCGGGGTACATGACTGGGCACCGACGAGGCAAAAGTCACCCGCTTCACCAAATTCCCTCCGCACACCGACGTGATGGTAGTGTATTGTGATTGGGTTTTGGCGAAACAAAGCCATCCGTTCCACATTCACTATATTCATCGTTAAATCTGCACGAACCTCAACCTTCGGCGAGCAATTAATTTTGAAGACGACGATCACAAAGCGCAGCTTAATCGGAGGTGTTCCATAGGCTCGCTCCTGTGGATGTAATTAACCGGTAGCCTCATTGCTAGGCGCCGAGAATCAGCGGACTGCACGCAATCTCCAGTCAGCATACCTTTTCGCAAAATCTATTTCGAGAGGCTTCTCGATTTAGACTTAACGAGCGACGCGGACAATTACGTGAGAAGTACTAGTAGCGTTACAGACATGCATGCGAGTAGTTTTTGCTATTAGGTTGTGCATATCTTTTTTCTTCTTATGAAATTTTCTATTAAATTACTTATCTGATCTATAATCCGATTACACCGTTGTGTTCGTAACGATTAAATCTTTACAACAAGATCTCACATGATTATATTTTGATGAAAAATCACAAATTACTTTTATGATATGTCTAAATTACTTTTAGATTTCACTAAGTTACTTCTTAGACATATAAAAGTAAATTCAGTAAAGCCTAAAAGTAATTTACATATATTATAGAAGTAACTTAGAACAAAATGAATGTAATTTTGGCATGTCATTTAAAGTAAATCCGTTGTAGAGATAAAAATATGACTCTATCTAGAAATTAAATTAATCAGCACAAATTATGGAATTAACTAAAAACAATAATAAAAGTAATCACCTCAGAGCATTATGAATGTATAGGAAGTATTTTAATCAAATCTAAAAAAGTAACTTATATATATGATAATTTGTTCAATGAAAAAAGGTATTAATTAAAGTTACTTTCTTTTTGTTATAAGTTACTTCTATAATATATGTAAATTACTTTTAAGCTTTACTGAATTTACTTTTATATGTCTAAGAAGTAACTTAGTGAAATCTAAAAGTAATTTAGACATATCATAAAAGTAATTTGTGATTTTTCATCAAAATAAAATCATGTGAGATCTTGATGTAAAGATTTAATTGTTACGAACATAACGGTGTAATCGGATCGTAGATTGAATGAGTAGTTTAAGAGAAAATTGTATTTGAAGTATAGGTGGATGGTGTCTCTTATAGATGGAGTGGTAGCTGGTTTAGACAAACTAGCTACCACTAGTTGTGTAGTCACGTCCATACCTTTTCATTAAGCATTTCTCACGAAGGCAAAAGGCGAACTTTTGCGGGAGCCCTCATGTATTTGTAAACATTCATGATAATGAATCATGATTAATAAAATACAAGGTTTCCCTATTTTCTGTGTGTTCGTTGTTTTGTTTTCATCAAACACTACCTTTCATCAATGTAGTCATACACTAATGCAGTAACAACTCTTATTGGCTCATGCTTTGGAAAAATAATTGAGATGTATTTAATGAGGGTAACCATGTAATCTTCCACATCTTGGTTTGTGTGAGATTTGTTAGAACGACAAGTAATTTGGAACATAGGGGTATCTAATATGTGTGTATTTATTTTCCTTGACATTTTTTAATCAGTTGTGGCTTTGCACTGTGCATTCATTAAGACCAGTCATATGCACCTACTCCTATATCAAATTACCAATTACTTTATGCACATGCTAATATGGATCATTGCATTATCAGGTACGTCATAGTCCTGAATTTCATGATTGCACCGTGACACAAGAGCAAACATCAGAACATGGAGTTATTTTGGTGGTGCGTCTGTCTGAAGATGATCAAGGTTTAGCAGCTGGTCAGTTTGCGGCCTTCTACCGTGACAATTTATGCCTTGGGTCAGGCATAATTCTGGATTCTTGGGACGAAATGAATTTTCCAGTCTGTGCAAGGGCTTTAGAAATTGCTAGAATGGAGGATAAGTCCAGACTGGGGAAGCCAGTAAAGATAATGAACTTAGAACATATCGTGAAATCAGAAAAGGAGGCTATTGAAGTGGCATGATAGGCACAGTCCCTGCAGCCTTCTCTTGAGTCTTGACTACTCCGTACATTCGTGGTTCTGCAAAGTTGCACGTTAACCCTGCAAAAGCAAGAATCGTGTTGTCCCCAGGAACTCCAGCTGGTTCTTCAAAGGAGGTATGGTTGGCGAGCTTGCATTTCTGAAGAGGGTTCTCTGGATAAAAGAGGCGGATGAACATCATTATCCATGCAAGAATTGACCTGGCATAAATTTTCAGCGGTAAGCTGCCGATCTGGCAGGAAATCACACGAAGGGTCTCGGAATTCCACTCATGAGCCAAAGCGTCTAGAACTCTAGATCCGATCGTCAGTTAAGCATTACAGTATCCTCTTATAGCAGTGTATCAGGAGATGCTCCTTTCATGCTACTACTAGTACCGGTTTTATTTACGTTGTACAAATGTTAAGGTTATTGTAGGCGAACATCGAATGGTAGAATTTCTACCATTCTGATCATATGTTTTATCACTTTCTCGTCTCGGTTCGGTTGGTTGGTTCTGTGCCAAATCGAGATGTTTTTTCACGAAGTTTGTTTGACGATTGATATTGTTCACGAGCCATCGGTGCGACTTGCGACACGATATCTGTCGCTACCGAAAATGAAAAGTACAGGTCGCCTGTTCAGGTTGGCCTCAATCATGCTCCCTCATGTCTTAATAATTATTAAGCTCACTTAAGAACCTTCTTAGGGATTTCGTCTTCGGATGTACTTTTCGCGCGAAGATGGTACAATGTTCTGGAGAGTTCCGAGCGATTGGCCATGCAGCATCTGATTCACTGATTGGCATCACAACCATTTTGGATTTCGCCGTTTCTGCTTCTGCCACAATAGTGCATGCAGAGCCTCATCACCTGAATTCCAGTAAGAGTCAACGGTGTCTATAGTAGCGAGGGTTATTCGCTTAGACTTTAAGTCAGCTTATTGGCTTATATGATTTATAAGCCGGTGAATTAATTGTCCTAAGTTTAGTGGTAGAGTCATACATCTACCTCACATAAACCTAAAAAAGCTTATCTAACCTAGCTTTAGGCTTAATAGTGTTAGAGTGACTTATGGCTTAAAAAAGCTAAAAAAAAAAGCTGCTTTTTTGTTTAGGTTTAGACTTTTTGACATATAAATTAGCTTATAAGCCTAAACAAAGAGGGTCATAGATTCTCAACACGCCGGGCATCTGGCAGCTGTTGAGATTTGAGATCGAATAGCAAAATGATTAGTTGACGAGTCCATTCTAGAAGCTTACATGTTTCACTTTCATCCTATATTTTTAGGTGCATAGAAACAAACTAGTTGATGCCACTAGTACAGAGTTTTTTACATGTAAAATACCAAGCAAATCGGAAGTTCTCGCCTCTTGCTTATCTGGACGCAGTAAAAAATATCTACAGTCTATTCATCCAAAGGCCAAATCAAATCTCTGTGACGCCATTTTGGCTTATCATTGAACGGGCACATTGGCACGCCCGGAGTAGGCAGGGAAAGACGAGAAAACAATGGGGCCTCTCAGTCTCCCTGACACTGCCGCTGAAACGTGCGCAGCGGCCAGCGATGCCAAATGGCTACAGAAAATTGCTGTTGAAATCGCCGGCTCAGCGCGCGTGTCGGCGAAAAGTCTCCGTCGTTTGCATTAGAGAATACCTAATGCCGTGACTGATCCGTCAGGAGGGCTGTTTGGTTCTTGCTTTTTTCTTTCATCTGCCAATTGCTTCCTAGGAGTTGTTATTTGGGGGGAAATTTTCAGGAGTTCTTGACATTTCCTCTTCAGATTGCACATACAGAAATGGAGCGGTTGGATCAAATTATCAGACCAAAGAGTCAAATGCTTCTATTCATTTCAGTTCTCAACTACAGCTTCTGATCAAGAACGCAAACTTTCCCAATTATACACAGCACATCCCCATACACGCACACAAACACGCTAATTTTCTCACAAAATCTCGATCCCCTCTGAACAGATTACTAAGCTTGATTATTCCCTTCTCTACATGCTACATCCAATCCCCAACCCAAAAAAAAAGGGAAAAGAAACTAGGCAAAAACTACAAGTGAAGGGGGCAAATTGAGGAGAAAACAAGATGCAAGAGAGATTCACAATCGCACAAGCTGATGACGTGCGGGCCGCGGGCGATTGTAGCCGACATACATGTATCCGATCAATAGGAAGAAGAGAGGTGTCACCGGGCCGGGCGTCTAGCGGAGGGCGCGGGCGAGGCCGGAGAGGATGCGGGAGAGGCCGAGGCGGAAGCGGAAGATGGCGCCCTGGGAGTACGGCGCGCAGTCGCGGAAGACGGCCTCGATCGCCTCGACGAAGAGGCTGAGGCTCCGCACCGGCGGCACGTACAGCGTCAGCGGCGCCGCCGAGAAGGCCAGCGCCATCAGCAGCTGCAGCATCGCCACACCTCCAAGACCAAAATCACCACCAGCTTAGCTCCCTCCCCACGACCAGATCCAGGGAGGCAGCCGGCCGGAGACACGGTGTGTCTAGCCAGATGGAGGAGTGGACGCCGCGGCCGCGCACGGTGCTTTGCTAATTGCTAGTAGTAGCCGTGGTGATGGTGGTGGACTTGATGGCGTGGTGGTGGGGTTTTTTTTTTCCTTTTTTTGGTCTCGCGCGACGCGCGGTGCGGTGGTGCGTGTGGTGGACTGGTTGGTTTTGGCCTGTGCGTCGGGGGCGGAAACGCGATACGGTGGCGAGGGCGAGGTGAGCGGCCGTGCGGCGCGTCGCGTATCGTTTTCGGCGAGCCGGGTGGTGTTTGATGGGCTCCGGGCTTTATAACTTCGGGGTGTGTCCAAGTGGAGATAAGACCGGGGACAGGATAGGAGGCGGCAGCGTTTTCTGGAGGGAGCGACTGCGAGTTCGTACGTGATTCGTGATAGATACTAGTAGCTCAGTGGTTGACGATAGAGCATGTACAATAGCAAATAGCAGCTATAAGTTAGCTATAAACATATTATAAAAAGATAAAAGAAGAGAGAAGAGTAGCGGGCTACATATATGTGGTTAGCTGTAGTACGGACTCTAAGACGTAATATATATATGACAGGTAGGACCGGGTATTAATAGTATAGTAAGCAACTATTGTATGAATTGACTATTAAATTAGTTATAGATGAATTGAATCTAATAGTGGGTTGTACTATTAAACTTGCTCTTACACAATCGGGCTCGGCACGGCGGCGGGGAATTACTAATCCGGTGTGCCAGGAGCCCGGGACATGGAGTACTAATGTATGTCGTCGGTGTAGACCGCGTCCCGATCCCCAAGGGAAAACGAGTGCAAAGTTACGCAACCAAGTCGCTTAATTACAGTCTAAGAACGCGAAGAAAACGATTAGGCGCATCACCACTTCACCAGCGACCGGTATTTCGTCAGTTGCACTTCCATCTCTAGTTTCTATGGGCGATGTGTTTGATGCGACTCACCGTTTGTTTTCTTACCTTACATGAAGAACAATTTCGGATTTTTCTGGTGCGCGAGAGCCTCGTGCCTTCGTGAGAGCGGAAGAGGGGAATCAATCATGTGGTTCATGTACCGGCCGGAGCTTATACCTCCCTTTTCGTTCCTACGAAGACACGTAACGACGCGTGATTGGTTTCCGTCTCTCTGCAAAAAGCTTTCCGATTTGGCGCAATCTAAGCATACGCGGAAAAGGCATGCACGGTGTACCAGAAAAAGGCTTTCCGATTTGGCGCAATCTGTCGCTGCATGCTGGTACCTGAAAGTTGGGCTTCTTGTTTTTCTGTAGCAGGAGTGTAGTTATATTTATGGCGCCATATTTTTCATCAAAAAATAGTCGGCAAGTATTTACATTATAAGTCCCTAAATTTCATATGTAATTTTAGTGTATTTACAATGTAAGTCTTAGAATTACATATGTAAATTTGAAAATTACATACTAATTACATATGTAAGTGGGGTGTAAATGAGGTGTAACTACTGTGTAAGTGGCTAAAAAAAAATCGACTGTAGCATATAGCGCCATATCTCTAGCAACTCTGCTGTAGCAGTAAGATCTCGATAGACGACGATACGATGGTTGGTTGACGCGCACACGCACATCACCACCAAACAGTATTTTCCTCCTGGCCTATTCGACCTATACGTCGCACAAAATCGCTGAGCCTTGATCCAAAGCTTCTGGACGTCTCGCGTCGCGCGCTGCCAGTTCCACGTTATCCCGGTTTGGGCTGCCCGCGGAAACGAGACGCAAACCGGTGGGTGCTGGTCTTTTGCCGTGCCGTGCGGCGCGGAGCGTACCGTAAGGATGGCGCGGTCACGCGAGGCGCTCGACGACTCACCGCTCACGGGCCTCACGGGTGAGCTGCTTCTGCCCATCAGCCACAGCCAGGGAAGCCCGCCAGGCCGCCATGTGTGCACCGCGGTGGCAGCCGTGGAGGCCGTTTGGTGGTGTCGAGCCGCCTCGCGATGGCCCGCGGAGCACGGGTACTCACTCAGGTAGGCCAGCCGTTTGGTCGCGTAGTGATGGGCCGCATTGCGGCAGCCGGCGGCCATGCTGCTGGACGTTTGACCAACGAAACGAAGCGGGCTACCGGCCTATATAGTGGAGGAAGAACGGGCAATATGGGCCGTATAGGGAGGTCCAGGGGTGAAACAAAAAAGAACTTTCTATGATTTGCTGCATTTTTCTCTAACATCTGAGACTTTTTTTTTTGTTAACAAGCTAACAACAAGCCGAGCCAAGGTGAAACCAACCTTTGTTCAAAATTAAATAAGTTTATCGCGAAAGAACTAGATCAATCGAAGCAACCCCCTCCCGCTGACGTCGAGTGCTTGCTTACTGAATGACCACCAAATTCAGAAGCCAGGAAACATAACGGGGTGCTAGTTTTGTCCTTGTCACAAGTCTAGCATGATCAGATTACTGGTACCAGCTGCAGCTGCACCGTCTCCAAACTAAGGAGGCAGAGGAACAACAGACACAGATGTCAAGCACCCTAGTTACAGTTGCACAAAACCCACCCATACCCATCAGTTTACACACAGGTTCAGTCAGATTTTTTTTTGCTGGGCACCACACATAAGCCAAGGATGATTTGCCATGACAGAAACGGCGAGGATCTCAAGCGCCCTCTTTCGCACGACGATGATGGAGATCACTGGACGACAAGCTGTGCTCGTGCTTTGAGAACACAACGCCGTTTGCAGAGACGAGCCTTGGGGTGCCACCATCTGAAGCTTCAGGCTGCTGCTTTGTGTTGAGGAATCTCCCCCCTGTTCCCCGAGCTCTCTTCATCGCGTGTTGATGCCGGGATTCATGGAGGTACGGCTGAACACAAATATAAACGTTATGCCGCTTTTAGTGAAACCGTGAGCTAGAATTCATGAAGGGAAAGTGAAAGGAAGAGAGGAAATTTTCCGCACATTCTGAGCAAAAAGGGCCAATGGCTAGTCTCTCAAGAATTTCTCCTAATAAAACTTCAGTCAGAAAGAGCGACGAAATACCTTGCGGTTTTTCACCAGCTTGTTTTCAGCCTCTAACTTTGCACGGAGCTGTCTCCTTCGGAGAATCGCATGGTATTGCTTTGCATTTACATAAATAGGCTCTTCGGTGGCTGGTTCTATTGGTAGCGGGACTCGGGAGGATGACATCACGCCCACAATCTGGGGATGCATCTGTTTGAATTATTGATATTAGATGAGGATGACTTTGTGATATTGAATAGAAACATATTGGGCCGAGCATATGCAAGAAAATTAAACTATTCTCATCAGGAGGATGATAATGAGAAAAGATAAAGAATAACACACTGCCTTTGTACAGTAAAAAAATGATTGGAATTTTGCTTAGTTTAGTCAAAACAGTCAGAGATTATCCCACAAAAACGAAATCCCATTCTTAACAACCCATGAATATACCTAAAGCACATAAGCGCGCACACAAGAACATTAGGCTGGAAGTTTGGAACCAAAAAGGTAAATGAGAATGAGATAAAACGAAATCCCATTCTTAATTTGATTGGAATTTCGCCGAGTTTGGATGAATTCCATTTATAACTGCCAGATCAAGAAAGTAAATGGAATTAATAAAGGAAACCTTGGATAGCACAAAGGTCACTTACAATAGCATGTGTGCCATAAGTCGCTACAGCACCACCATAGAACGAATCAGCATATGGATATGATATGCCCTGAAAAGGTAAAGCATCTTTCTTGACTCACAGACTTGCCAATGAAGAAATTCAAGTTACCAAGATTTATGCCACGTAAAGACACTTACAAAGGGTTGGCTACGGTCAGGTTCCGAATGTGCATACACAGTTTCTGATTTGCCCAGAGATAAAGCTGACATCATCTTACCTTCATCACTCTTCGTGTAACCATCAAGATTACCTAGCATTAGTACAAGAAGAAAAGAAATGTCACATAACTTCAGTAGTGTAGATGCAAACAAACTTTGCATCCATCAATATTCCTTTTACCCTGGAGGTGCTGTATTGCAATATTATTTACTGATACAAAAAATGCATATGGTGTGTCTAGTCCAAACCAGATTGATCATTCTGCTCATTGAGGCTTCCTTCGCTCATTCCAGACACTTCACGAGGAGATCCACTAGTTGATTGGGTAGCTGATGACTCGTAGTCAGGCATTTTATGACCAAACTGAATCATTACTGTGCCATTTTCTGCAAGAATAATGAAGTAGATGTTTTAAATTTAGTTGCATGAAAGCTAGAGATGCAAGAAAATAGACATCTAGTTAGGAGAGCGGTATTTGCAATATTAGGCCCTATTTAGAATGCAAGAATTTTACAAGCAGTTCAGATCATACAAAAATTGGAAATTCTCGTGTTCCAAATGGTGCCTTAGAATTGAACAATATGTTTTCTCTTTTCCTAATGCCTCTTCTCATGGGCTTTCTCATCTCTTGCTTTTCAGTTCTACTGTCTGAGTTTTTTAAGGAGAAGATCAGTCAATCGCAAGGACAAATGAAATATTAATGAATAATATTATTTTCCATATTCTGTTACTGAAAATAACTTGTATATCTATCAATTGTGTAGACAGATTCACTTAAAACTGATCAATCTAGACATGTTGAATGTTGCCCTGATCCATGTATTTGCCAGAACATGACTAAAAATGTTCACAGAGCTGTTATAAATAAACTTGTTAACTCCTTTCAAAAATTCGATCGTTCATGTCAGATGTAAAAGCTACTAGCCTACTACTATCAAACTATGTGATGAGACAAATCCCTTCAATAACTCACTTCAGCACTAGCCAGTTCCAAATCGCTGTGACACAAAGCCAGCGGTTCTCCCCACTCCCAATAATCATATTACTCAATACTCATGTGGAAAAGTAAATTTATTTGTAAAGAAAGCAATATTAATTCAGAAGCTCACAACTAACCCCTAAAATAAATTCACAGCTGACATGCCATCTGGATCCTACTACCTCTCCACCAAGCGAATTTGTGTGCAAACAAGTAATTAATACAGAAAAGGTTTAAACTAATTAAGTTCTACTCGGATCCAATATTCCAATCATCCAATACCGTTCCAATCATCCAATTCCCCTCACTTGCCCCCTTGTCACGGACCTAAACAAACCGAACTAACAAAAGTGATGAATTCATAGGAACTAAGCAGCCCACCCAACCATGGTCAATTAGAAACAGATAGTTGAACTATCAAACTGAACAACAGAACAAGTTACAAGCATCGTCTTATGGTCTTAGGTTGCTACCACGGAGAGTCAGAGACAACGCAGTTGCAACCACCCTCACCTCCACCCAAGAATGCATCTACAAATCACGGCGCCTCATCAACTAAAAACCAAGCCAACAACGAAGAAACCGGCCAGATCCACCAAGAAATCAAAACCACCACAAACCCAGCCGGGTCCAAGATACGGTCAGCAATGGCAAGAATCGGCTTGCGTTGGAACAGAGTCCACAAAGTGGAGGAGAAAGAAACAAGCCACGGATTACAAGTCTACGGAGAAGCGAGTCAGAGAAGCGGATGAGGAGGAGGAGAGAGGGGATACCTGTGAGATGAGGAGGGAGCATGTCCCCTCTCCGGCAAACCTCCTCCCTTGCTGCCTCCTCACTTCTCACCTTGCTTCTCTCCTCTGCAAGTGCAAAGCCCCTCTCCTTCTCTCTCTCCTCTGCCTGGTATTCTGTTGGCTTTATCTAACACTCTCCCTCTCTCCGTCTACTGCTCACCAACTAGACTAAAGTACTAAAATAAAGCAGATAATTAGTACTCCCATCGTCCAAAGTATAAGTATTTTTAGCCTGACACAGTCTACGATATACTATTTTAACCAATAATATCTATAAAAATAAGATGTTTTAAATAAAAAGAGTTACATAATATGATTGTTTGTTTAATGATAAATCTAGTAACATCAATTTTACATGATTGATCTTTTTTTTCTATTATTGGTCAAATATAAAAATATTTGATCTGTCACTATGCTAAAATTGATTATATTTTGGAACGGAGGGAGTAACTCGAGGTCACCGGTGACAGGAAAAGTAGAAAAAAAAACATAAATATTGAACAGGGTGCAAATTTGCTAGTACTAGTATTAGTAGGACTGCAATTTACTGAATTTACAAAACGAGCTGCCAATACAAATTGTACTTCTTTAGCTATAAACGAACTGCAATTTGTTCTGCTTGATGTACTAATTGCATTGTTATTTAACTTGATTGGTTGTGTACTCCAGAGTCAGTGAGGCAATTAACGACTTTAACGTGGCACTTCTGGAGTTACCGTTAAGATTAAGAAATGTTGTGAAGCTGAATGAAGGATGATTATAATCAGCTCAGATAAGAAAGTAAATGAAGAAGTACTACTAGCTAATTCTATATTTTAGAGAGAGGACATTGCACCCTCCATCAAATATAGCAGTCATCGTGCGCCCATTTATTCCAAAATCACTATGCCGTATTCTCTAATTAAAAATGGAAGGTGAACTAGGAGTACGAACTGCAGTGACGCCAATTTGACAAAAAACAAATGAAGTCGATTCGAAGACTTTAAGGCTTTTAAAATACATCCCCAAGAACCCAAATGGCACAAGTTGAGCAGACTTGGATGCTCGCCTTTGCCATATTTTAACAGAGATCTTTTTCTCGCAAAACCCATCCTATCACGCACTCAAGATGAACTGGTCATCCTTGTCGTGATCCCGCGCTTTAATTTATGCTCGTGTTGCTTTCAGTTCACAGCCATCGCGGCGTGTCGCTTGCCGCGCGCGGGCCGCCACTTGTGACGGACCCCGGTGACTCATCTCATCGCCTTGCTGCAGAAAAATAAAAAAAAAACTTTTTTTTTCGCTTGTTTTCATTCCATGGTGGATGATCCATGCATCTCTCTTTACTTCCCCATTTATTCATTTTAGTATATATATTATTTTTTTGTCTCTAGCGAAGGCGTTAGTTCTTCACATGACACGTTGATAAGTGTTTCTGAGCTTGTTTTCTGTAGTAATCTTTAATGATTTTGCGTCCTGGAGATAACAAAGCACACATCGCCGAACAAAACTTTGAACAAGATGCCCCTAAAACATCTTTTGCAATAGACTGCATAAAAATAAACACTCGGAGAGCAACAGGTTTCTAGAACCTTCTTGTGCACAATTTAAGGGATCATCATTTGTTCCGGAAGTAAAAAAGGGTTGTTCAGATTATAACTAAAATAAATCTTACTAAATTCTGGCAATACCCAAATTTTAGTAAATTAGCAATGTTATTAAGTTTTGGTGGGATTTCTTATGTATTTAATAAAGTTTGGTAAAACAAACTAAATACATGCACATCTTAAACAATTTCTTTTTAAGAAAATGATATGGTTTAAAATGATATCAATCTGAACAATCCACTTGCAATGTACTGTGGCGTACACACGCTTACACAGTTTCTCACATCCTAGATACCCTGCTACTTGTAAGAAAGACCTACATAAGGAGTCAAGAGCACAAGCGATTGCGATAAGCACATCACTAATTATATACTGATTTAAGTCGTAATCGCGCATTACAATAAGTTAACTACGATCTCAAACCATGGTACACGTGATGCCACGACGATAGAGGGAAAAAAGCAAACTGGTTTGAACTTTCAAAAGCTAGTGCTCAGTTAGAATATTCTAGAAGGCAGACACCTTTGCCAGCTTCTTCAAGTGCTTTTGGGATTCTTATCCATTGTAACAACAAAGCCAAGGAGCATTACATTGTACTAGAGGATTAGGTATTTTATTGGTACATCTAAAAAAAGAAAAAAATTATTGGTACGACAAAATATCATGTCGCCACCTTCAAACTGGACGGTGGACACCACTGCTGCCAAAGATTAATCTTATCCAAGTTCTCAACTGACAATCCCACCAATATACTACACTAAAATTTGTCCTGATGTCAAGTGAATAAATTAGCTGAAAAATGCTATGAAGAAAGCTAAATGCATAATGTAAGATGATGCAAATAGGATGAGAATATCTGGGGGAGGCAAGGGCCAAGGAGGAATCAGATTAAGCAGGAATCAAAGTCAAAGAAATGCAACTCCTTGCTTAGATTGAAAGCAGATCAAATAATCTTTAATACATTACACATGTGCTGGCCAACCGACATTAAAAAAACTCCAGTTGACAATAGGATGTATGTGATACCATAATGATACACTTGCATGACAAAAGCCACAAATGCTGAGATGCTTAAAATGCTGGGGAAACGTGGGAACAGTCATCTTCTTATTGCAAGAAGAGCCTAGAACATTAGCCTGATTGTGGAACCAAAACATTATATAGCTTTCTGTTTAATGTATCTATACCAATCAAGACTAGTAGTATAGTCATCAGTTATGTGGTGCCTGCCAATTTTCAGGAGATGAAGAACAAAGGTGATAGATAGTAATACTACTAGTAGCATGGTAATCATGGGCTATGCCGGCATTCTTTTTCATGAGATGAAGAACAAGGTGGTTGATAGAAGACCAAATGCTCAAAACCAGCACCAATAACGGTGCTAGGTGACAGAACCTGGGGACTATATGGAAGTTCTTTTCATTCTTTTGCTTCTCGTCCTTGTTGGCGCAACGGTGTTCACTCCTTAGTGTTCAGAGAAAAAAAGTTCTGAGATGAAGTTATATATCTAAGAGTACTCTTAGTTGGGAACATAGGGCCACTTTGTCCAACCTGCTCGATATTTTTGTAGTACATGTTTGGCATAAAGTATTCGCCCAGTATTGCAAGTTTGTAAAGCTTTGTAGAGTACCTGAGATTAGTTCCAATGAGTTGAATTCCCTCACGTTATGTAGATCCCTGCGTCTTCGTCTTCAGAACAGATTCAATTGCATTTGCTTTGTCTCTGCTTTGTAGTTTTCAGAAACACACATCCCTTCAACACGGTCTTATCAGACTCGATTTTCAATTGTTTTTTTTCTGAATATTCATGAACTATCTTCTGGATAGGTTTAGTCATTTCAACTCCTCCCACACCTATGATTGGCAATGAAACTGAAACTTCCCTTGCAAATCATCCCTCCCTTTTACCACCTTGACTATATGGCAAGTATTTTATGGATGTTCCAAAACTTATTCATCAAACGGTGATCTATTGAGACTTCAGCGGTTAATTTCCTCAGTCAACAAATAGGGCTATTTAAGTATATACACTCAGATCAACATAGACTTTTACCTAGTTACCTAGAGATAGAGCGTAGCTTCAAGTTGTTCTATTTAATTCTAATGTCAACCTCGTGTGCAAAATAGATTTACTGAATCAAGTGAAACAAAGAGCAAATAGAGCCAGGAAGGCAGCAAGAGGAGACATGGAAGCAACACCGGAACAGTATAGTATTCCTGTGCCTTTAGTCCAAGTCCCACTCATGTTGATTGTGCAGAATGTCATCTAATTAAGATGGTACTGACATTCCTGGTATGATCACTTGATCAGTGATGTTCTTAATGGACGATTGAACAATTGGAAAGACATGTTTGAAAGAAGAGACATATCACGGCAGGTAACCGTCGAATGTAGAGGGGTGAAATACGTCATATATCTAGTGAAATTCAGACAGGTCATTCTCACAAAGAAAAGGTAAAAGTTCAGAAAAGTCAGTGAGCGCGTGCACAATTTTATTCGATAATTGACTTCAGTGAGATTTTGTTCTTTTTAACGATTGTTCTAGGTCTATGACAAAATCAAGGGTCTGTTCACTTTGATGTCATTTTCAACCTTACCAAATTTTAGTAAAGTTACCAAAAAAGTGTTGCTGCCAAATTTTGGTAACTATATAAGAAATTCTGTTAAAATTTTGGCAAGATGCCAAAATTTGGTAAGGTTTTTTTTGCACCAAAGTGAACAGGCCCCAAATATGTACTCCAACCTATAACTTCGGCCTAAGTTCCATTGACATTGGAGGAATGTTGGAGAAGCAAGCACCATTTTGTCATGGGAGAACTAAAGCTATGATGTCAAGAGGCTAGGCAAATACCAATCGGGAATCAGGAATGGATACTGAACTTCAAAGCACGAACGCAGCAAGCAAGATCTAAGGATTGACTGCGGAGCATGACGCGTCATGGAAACATGTTTTTTTTTTTAACTGGAAAACAACATGTTGGGCTAAATTAAGTCGACTTCTTCATATAGAAGGACATCACTAAGATAGTAAGATCCAGATTCAATTCTCCAGTCTATATATAAGTTATAAGTTGTGTACATGCAAATATATTAATAAGGCAACATATCCTATGCACACAGGCCCTCACGTGTACACGTGCACACCAACTAAAAAATATCACCAAAAAATCTAGAAAAAATCATACACATACTTTCAATTGTATTACACCTAGGGTTAAAATCTTAACGTCAAATTCATTATATTTTAGCCGTACCAAAAAAACAAAAAATCTGATAGTTTTAAGGTTGCAATTTTGTCAGAATTTTATCTTTTTTGTTATTCTCTATATAGAATAAATTTGAATATGCGACTTTGCACGTAGATGTAATACTATTGAAAGTATATGTATGAATTTTCCTAGAATTTTTTGTGATAATTTTTAGTTGGTGTACATGGTGTGTACACGCGAGGGCCTGTGTGCATAGGATACGCTCCCCGAGAATCTGCATATTCCTTGCAAAAAAACGAACAAGGACAAGTCCAGATGAACGCAAATGAAATAAAATAGTTTCATAACACTACATATAACTTTTCCTGGTAACTCCTCTTCAAGTTGAAGCACTCGTAACAAAGGGACTTCACTGATAATTACCGTATGGACAGTTTGATAATCAGAGCAGGGTTACCTCCGGTCGCGATGGGCGCTCAACTGCTGCACGCGGCGGCGCGGCCGCAGCTCACCCCTCCTCGCCTGCGCCGCCCTGAGAACTGAGGTAGCCATGGCATTTGGGCCTGGTCAGTGCTGGATCCTGATCAAAATTCCAGCACGGGCCGCGCAACGCGAAGTCAACGAAACAGCCGTTCTGGCGTTCTTTCCTGGGCCTTGACCTCTCCTTCTGTTTCGGCCCAACTCTAGTATACAGGTCACCGCAAAGGCCCATCAGCCCAGTTCACGAAGCAAAATAAGCCCAGTTCAACGCCGAATCGGTGGTCGCGACTCGTACGAGAAGCAAACGTCGTTCGTATCCTCGTCGTCGACGTCGTCTACTTGTCCTACGTGTTCGGTGTTCCTCTCCATGTACTACTACTCGCTCCTTTGTGTCTGTCCGTACATGCTACGCGTCACGTCTACGATTTCGCGGCTCCACGGTTTGAGGAAGGTCAAAAACCCAATCACATTTACTCGTACTCGTGTAGTCGCGTGCATGGGGCCGAGGTAGGAAACGAGCAGCCTTTCGATTGGAACAGGGTGGTGTCAGTTAAGTCCGGCCCTTTGGTCAGGGAAAGAGCTGGATTAGCTAGCAGCTTCTCGCAACTAGCATCTCTTCATGACTTCATCCACATTTTTTTGTGCTCGTGCTTTTTTCATGAAATCGAACAGTAGAACGTATTGTGCGATCATTAATTAGTAACCACTACTGTCCATTCGATCTCCCGGTTAGATCTTCCCGTCCGTGGACGACGACGGCCGGTGTTCGTGTGCTAGCTGACGCAAACGGGGTCTCTCTCTCTCTCTAACCCTTGACTACGTACACAGACTGAATTTTCGAGCTGAATTTTCGAGCTGTGGTACCGTTTTCTTCAGATTCTGGCTGTTGCCTATTTGCCCCTGTTTCACTGCTGACCACTCACTTCTTCCAAAGCTCCAACTGGTGGCACCACACCTATAGGTAGCCAATTTTAGGAATCTTCGGCAACGGTTCAACGGCTTTACTACCTCCCATTGTCTTCGTTTTGGTCCATAGCATTGGACCGCTCGCCAAATCAAATAATCTATGTGCTTTGGCGATTTGTTTTTCTGCATACATTTTTCCAGCATTGTACCACCTCATGCTGCAATATTAAAAAAAGCAACACATGCAGATAAGCAATCTCCACTATGTATCAGTACAAACAGAGTACCGGGCAATGGCTGATTTGTGCCTTGGCTTGACCATCAGGTGCAAATTACTCAGACCGATTGAGACTTGAGGCCGACTTGGGCATCAACGTCACTCAATTCACGATCCAATGAATTATTCCGAGTCTGTCCTCAAAAATATACTTGGGCTCATACAATAGTACTCCTAGATTTGAGTTGATCCAGTGACGTAATCAACAATGATAGAATAGTAAACTCATCACCTACTATATCCAGCAAGCTATAGCCCACAATTTGATAGAGCCGTGATAAACTGCCGTAGTAATCTTCAGGAGGATCACCAATTCGCCATGTGAGGCCTAGTTTACGGTCAGGAGACTCAGGATAGAACAGAGAGGGGCGAGCATGTGTCTCCATCTGGGCAACAGAAGTACTAGCCGACTATGGCTCCGTTTCACTCTAAAATTTTTCACCCCATCATATCGAATATTTAGACACCTATATAAAGTATTAAATATAGGCTAAAAAAAGTAATTATACATATTGCTACTAATTTACGAGATGAATCCTTTAAAACTAATTGCTTCATAATTTGACAAGTGTTAATGACGGATTAATTAGGTTTAATAAATTTGTCTTCTGGTTTACTGATGGATTATGTAATTAGTTTTTTAATTAGTGTCTGAATACCTTATACGACACCTTATATAATACCTAATATGACACGCCAAAATTTTACACCCCAAAATATAAACACCACCTATACATTGGAAACTGTACACGAACGCGAGCGTAGAGCGAGCCTAGCCTCGCGGCGCACCGGCCGCCTCAAGTTTCGTCTCGGCCTCCGGCCGGCCGTGCAGCGCGCGTGCAGGCGTCCCCTCGAGAATCCAACGGCCACGTTTGTCGCATCCCGCCCACTAGATTCGGCCCACCATAGCCCACCGATCCTCCCAACTCTACGGGCGCCCAACAACCCGCATCGTCGCCGGCCACACGTACGCCGCCGCGCACCCACGCGACTAAACAAAGCCGGCAGCAAAGGGGCAGGCCCACCTGTCGGTGAACGTGATTCGGGGTGCGTGTAGTATCATGATGCATCAGGCATGGGGGGACCTGTGTGCAAAAACCACGCGGGATTGGTAGTTGCATGCTTTTGGATGATCCTCGTTCCTTTCGAATTGACATGGAGTGCAACCACCACGTCCACTGTCCACACGTCTTACTTTTACTTACCTAGAAATTTCACTTCAAAATAAAAGTTATATGTATGCATTGTACTCCCTCCGTTTTAAAATATTTGACACCGTTGAATTTTTAGTACGTGTTTGACCATTTATCTTATTAAAAAAATTAAGTAATTATTTATTCTTTTCATATCATTTGATTCATTGTTAAATATACTTTCATGTACATATATAGTTTTACAAATTTCATAATTTTTTTTAATAAGACGAACGGTCAAACATGTGCTAAAAAGTCAACGGTGTCAAACATTTTGAAACGGAGGGAGTATAATATTAGCAAGTGTTCTTGGTAAGTACAATGGGAGATTGAAGCATTGACCATTGTTGATCTGGGCGTTTGTTTTTTTTTTTTTGAGTTATGGGTCAGTGTTTTCGTAGAAAAATATTTACAAAGTGCCATATATGTAATGAAGTGATTATCTTAATAAAATAAAAATGTTTATTAGCTAGTTAGCTAGACTTAGAGAAAAAGCATAATGTGCACAATATAAATTAATTGTGCATTATAGCTATTGGTGCCTGTGGATAAATATAGCAATCACACTTTATGCGTGACACTCTTGATACTTTGGTTTGCCACTCTTAATATTATGATAACATGTATCCTTTCACGAGTGACACAACAATATGTATGGACCGATCATTCTAACATAACTTGTAAGATTTTCACGCTCGAATTGTTTGGTTGGGTTAGCTCAAATGCCTTACTAAATAAATTTTGTCCATATCATGTTATCACGGGACACGTCCTTTACATAAATAGATAAGGAAGACCCACAGATATATCAGAAACAACTCACGAAAGCTTATCATGTTGTTCTGTACCTGACAATCTTCTTAATTATTTCTTTCACACAAAGAATAATATACGTGCTTACAAAACATTTCACTCTTTCACCACAAGTATCATCATCATCATGGATGCTTATAAAGATCAATTATACTTATATCTCATCAATCCAATATTGTAACATCCGAGAGTGTACACGTAAGAACCATCAAAGTTTCAAGTAAAAAACTGACGAATGGATTGACTCTCTGACTCTCTGTGTAAACCCAGGTAGAAATCATGATCTGGCCACGTCATGCACAGCACACAGAAAACCCATGGGCCCACACGTCGGCGACTCAGCTCGCCATTTATTGCGATTATTATCGTGGGCGCGCGCGAGGTGTCTCTGTGTGCGCAACACTCCGACTCGCGCCCATTATAAAAAGTGCGCCTCTGAAACGGTGGCCTGCTTTCCCGCGATCCAGCCAATGGGCGAGCACCCACCGTCTCACCGGCGATCCCCGGTCACCGTGCCCAACAGTAACCGATAAGACGAGCTCCCCGACAAGCACCGCCACCGTCACGTGGCAGTGGCCGTCCGGACATCTCGCTCCAGGGCGCGGGATAAGGCACAGCTCGGCCACGCCACCAGCATTTCGTATAAATATTCGCTTACCCCCTCGGGATCCCGAGAAATCGCTCGCTCTTCGCAGCTTCTCACTTTCCCCGTTTCAGGAATCCCTAGCGTTGATCTTCCTTTTTCCTTTTTGTTTTCTTGCGATCGCCGGAGTTGGTGCCGTCGGTGACCGGGGTTTTTTGGTTGTTCGCCGGAGATGGTTCATCTGGTCGTGGCTTGAGTTGTTTGGATCTGGATTTGGTAGGTGAGTAGTAGTACTAAGGTGTTTGGAAGGCGAGGGTGGAAGGATGAGCTTTGGTGTTGTGGATATGGATGAGGAGGGCGGGGCGGCGGCGGCGGCCGATGAGATCCGGCGGCTGCCGGCGGAGGTGAACTGGGAGATGCTGGACAAGTCGCGGTTCTTCGTCCTCGGCGCGGCGCTCTTCTCGGGCGTCTCCGCGGCGCTGTACCCGGCCGTCGTGGTCAAGACGCACCTGCAGGTGGCGCCGCCGCCACAGGCGGCCACCGCGACCGCCGCCGCCATCCTCCGGCGGGACGGTCTCCGGGGGTTCTACCGCGGGTTCGGCGCGTCGCTGGCCGGCACGGTGCCGGCGCGCGCTCTGTACATGGCGGCGCTCGAGGCAACCAAGAGCTCGGTCGGATCCGCCGCCGTCCGGCTCGGCGTCTCGGAGCCCGCGGCAACGGCCGCCGCCTCCGCCGCGGGGGGCGTCTCCGCCGCCATCGCCGCGCAGGTCGTGTGGACACCCGTCGACGTCATCAGCCAGCGGCTCATGGTCCAGACCTCCTCCACCTGCCGCTACCGCGGCGGCGTGGACGCCTTCAAGAAGATCCTCCTCGCCGACGGCGTCCGTGGCCTGTACCGCGGCTTCGGCCTCTCCATCGTGACCTACGCTCCATCCAACGCCGTGTGGTGGGCGTCCTACGCCATGGCACAGCGCTTCATCTGGCGCGTCGTCGGCGCCGAGCGCTCGGAGAGCTACCCGTCGCTGATGGCCGTGCAGGGCGCGAGCGCCGCCCTGGCCGGGGGCGCGTCGGCGCTCGTGACCATGCCGCTGGACACCGTCAAGACGCGCATCCAGGTAATGGAAACCGACGGCGCGGCGGCGGCGCGGCCGACGCTCAAGAGCACGGTGCGCGGCCTGCTCAAGGAAGGCGGGTGGGCGGCGTGCTACCGAGGGCTCGGGCCGAGGTGGGGATCCATGTCGCTCTCGGCGGCCACCATGGTCACCACCTACGAGTTCTTGAAGCGGCTCTCGGCCAAGGAAGGGTCTCTCGATTAGAGGTGTCCTTGATCTAGTGATCATCAAGTGACCCAACCAAATTAGCCTCGAATCGATCGAACCTCGAAGGGTGGTTAATTAGGATTCGTGTATATAGGCCTAAGATCTTTGATTTAATTTCTTTTTTTTCTTTCTCATTTGGTTTCTCGATCTGCCGCTATAGAGGAAGGGCAAGGAGAAGCGCTAGAAGGGGTTTTAGGATGCAAAATTTTGCTGGTTTTGCTGTCATGTTAGTGATGATGATGATGATGAAAAATCTCGGTGGTTTTTGCTGTGCCGATGAGCCGGCAGCGATGATGAAGAAAAATTTGGTTAACTGAAGAATTTCCAGTCAAAAACTTCTTGCTTGTGATGTTCTGGGTTATCATTGTCTTGCTAGATCTTCATCCTGTGCGCCTAACTTGCCAGTGTTAAAAGTCTCTGCTTAGCTGCATCACTGCCATGGCTTTTCTTCTTGGAACGGGAGGCTGTGGGTGCTCATCTGTGGTCGCATCTTGTTACTAGTTTCTTCGATTTGTTCTCTACTGGAATTGGGAGCTGGAGCTCGAGACAACGAGTGGACAGCACTACCAATTGATCAAGAACATGTTCCTGATTCCCACAGCTTGGAGACGAGGAAGAAGGAACCGTCTCATCCAGTTACAGTTAACCTCTGCTCCGAGATGGTCTCTGAACAAGCATTGAGATTGGAGCTTGGCAACAGTTGCACGCTTGGAAAAATTGGTCATGACGGCGATGGAAATATAGAATTTAACACCTGTAAAAATCATATGGGTGGTGCTGATGTCCGCTAAGATACATGTTAGTATAACTTATAAGCAGGTAAACTAAAAAAATTGTGCTCCCGTAACCCTTGTCCTGAAACACCAAATTCTTTGACTCGTCAAGCTGAAGAATTATCACGAAACTACTCCAACACCAGAACATAAACGGAAGGAAACGACCCAAGGGAGCAAGCAGGTGCACATCAATGTGTCGTTGGCGCATTATTAATTTCTTTAAGCTCTAATAATTCGCATGTCAGATCAGAGCATGAAGACGATAGGCGAGTCGCTTTATATCGCCGTGGGCCGTGGCCCTGGCCCCGTGCTGCTGTCCGCGTCGTGACGTGCAACCATCCGTTCCGGATCGGGTTTGGTGGTGGTGGTGGTGAGAGGGACCCGGCGAGCAGCGAGTGGCACCCGCTCCGCTCCACGACGACGCTGTGGCTCGGTTGTTTTGGCGTCGCCTCTGACCAGATCCGGCTCCGACACCTGCCGCTGCCTGCCTCGCCATGCGCTCGGTCACTTGTACCGTTCTGAAGTGGGTGAATAGGTGGCAGGGTGATTGATTGATTCGCATTGACTCTGCCCCCCTCGCCGTAGGATCGGATACTCTGTCCTTCCGATTCTATCTGCTGCTTACAATCAGATGAATGCACGTAGTACTCCGTAGTAGTGGAGTAAGTGTACAGTATTACTGCTCCTGGAGGAGTATAAAGTTGGTTTGGCATTTGTTTCATCGTGTCTCAACTCCCAAGTGTCCAGAGACAGCGGAATGTGAGAAATATCTCACGCTCTTTGGCCATTCACGGCACATATGCGTGTCGTCTAACTTAGATCAAAACGCAGCGAATAGTTTTCGTCCATTAAAGAGAAACGAATACATATATCTTTTCAAATAGCTAATTTTTGGATAGTTCAGATACAAATACGAATGCATATATTTTCTCCCAGATACGAATACGATATCGAGGTTCCTGATGGATAATAATACGGATATCCATTAAACAGTTCTATTCGGATATTCGCTGAACCCATGAGATATATCTCATTTCTTTATAACTCTACGATCTTCAATATACCCTTAAAGGTTGTAATCGTAGCACATCTCTTAACACTAATCCATACTATTAGTATTATGTAAACTTTAAACATTTTTATAAGTTATACTATATTTTATATAAAATGAGTTAATTATATATGATGACGATTGTTTCTTTCTAGTAGAAGTTGAGATGGTTTTCGTGTTCCGAGAAAAAAAATATTTTCGTATTCGTGTCCGATCATATTCGATCATTATTTGTATTCGAGATAATTCGTATTTGTTTCTGTATCCAAGCTATTTGTATTAGTTTTCACATCCGGTAAAAAATATGATAACAAATATAATATGAGCATTATGTGTCCATATCTACTTTGTTTTCATCCCTAAACTTAAGTTACCACATTGGAGACGTTCCTTCACATAATCTTTGGCCATCCCTTGCGAAGGAACTTGTCTCACGGCAAGGACATTTGTGCCCTGAGTGACGTGGTGCTCGTAGTCCCTTTGCCCTCCCCACAACCCGACCACTTTCGGCACGGAGCCCTGAGTGGCGGTGAAAAGGATTGCAAAGGGAGAACGAGCGTTGTGGAAGGAAAAGAAGGGCCTATCGATGACGATGCCCTTAACCATGGATACACTCTAGGGCACTCCTATTACTTGTTGCGCCATCGAGTTGATCCACCATTGTCAAGCTCAATTCCCGCTGTCGGACGGAGGGGCAGATGGAGGTGAGGAGATGACGAGGAGAGGCCGACTCCAGCAAAAAGGGTGATGGGAGAAGCTTCACCGGTGGAAAACATGGTTTCAAGAGGGGAGTGCATACATTGCTGTGGAGATGGAGAGAGAAGAGGTAGGCAAGTGGAACTGTTGCGGTTAAGATGGAGAAGCGTATTGGCTGGGGTGTACAGAGAGGGGGGCAAGGGGAGGGAGAGGCTGACAGGTGGGTATGTGAGGTAGATCGTGGTACATGTGTTGGTTTTTCTTAAAAAAATGATATAAGGGCTGCCACGACAATAAATAAAGACTGAAATGCAAACGGCAGTATAGAATGGCTTGCATTGCCCCCATCCTTTTTCTCTATACATCATTAGTCATTAAAAAATGAATTTTAAAACTTAAATTGGATGTTGATTTCAAAGTTTATTTTTCATATTAGCATTTAAGTTGCTAACAACACATATAAAAAATTTACTCATAATTTATTTTTTTTTCTAATACGCCGACCAAATGGGAGCCGTAGAGATAATATCTCTAGAGTGCCTCATCTCACACGGCACACAACCTTTTGGTACGGAGGAGTAGTCTCATTGCGCGTGCCCTAATTAACTCCCTTGTTGAATTCTCTTACCTTTTTTTTAGAACAGAATTATCTTTCCATGGTTAATTAGTATACAGTTCATACAGTTGATTATTTTTCTGACGGTAAGAGCTCCCAATCCTTTTTAGATAATGAAATGAAACATCCCGGCCTTTACTCCGAAGAGATACAACCAATTATTAAAAAAGTAACACACTTATAAAATCTTAATCCAAGATAAAACAATCAAACCAACCAAAATTAAAAGAAAGACCTAACATGACAAGGAAAACATTATTCCAGCCTATTAGAGAATCTCCATCCATGGTTGGCAAAAAGTTGCATAAATGTTAACTCAAGAGTACGACATGCAACATTCAGTAAAACTCCATCTTCCTCACACTTTTGTAGTTGAGCCCACAGCCGAAGCCAATATGTTGCCCTGAAAATTACCTGCATATAGGAAATAGATGGTGATTTATCAAAAAACCCTATCATTTCTACACAACCACAGAGCCCAATATAAAGCAGAGGCACAAACATGGTATGGTGTTGGCGTGTTGCATTAGGAAAGAAACATGCAAAATGAGTAACAGGAGCCATGGCATCTGGCTTCCACAATCCACACAGTTGTCCATGCAGCGGCGTCGAGGAAGTATCTGATGGTTTTGACAAGAGTGGTCTAAAAAGGTGAAAAGCGAAGCAAAGAGGATGTAGAAAGGGGGCGAAAATGTGACCGAGAGCGAGTCAGCCATCACCATTGGTGGCCAGCTTGGACAAGATGTTGAGCCTTTGGGGAGCCATTACTTCGGTGCCATCATCTTGGAGCCAAGGGCAAGACCATAACGAGAAGCAAACCGAAAATAACATGTACGCATTGGCACCTATCGCTGTCCCGCCCCGCCATTACATTACATGCTCCGTGCTGATCGTGTCAACAGTCTAAACGATATCATATCGCCTTTAAATTCCACGATGCACTTTTGAACTTTTTGATCTGGACTTAATGCCTTAGCCATCACTAACTGACTAATAACTCCGTATATTTGGTTTGATGGATCTTACCGTCCAATCCAACAACCCGAGCTAAACCTCTCGTTTGGTTTGGGTCGCAAGACCAAGGTCGCCACCGACCTGTCCTTCGTGGCCATCCTCACAAGGTCACAAGTCATACGCGCGGACCCGTGATCAAGTCGTTTTTGTACGAAGGACGTATAGTACTCCTCAACCAAACACGTAATAACCGCATGGTTTAAGTGCCGGAGATTTGCTGACTGTTTTCTACTGCCTTATCCACACGGAAGTTGACTTGAGGTGGTTTTGGCTGCCTTGCAGGGCATAATTTGCGTGAAACTTTTTCTCTGCTTCCGAATCGTCGACGTGTGAAATGAGCTGAAATTTCCCGTGTGACCCTGACTTGAGTTAATTCGCTAAATACATTTTCAGAAACTTGATGCATCAACATGATGTCGAAAGGCAGGCCGCGTGCCAGCTCTCCGTAACATATGAACAGCGTAACACATGAACAGCAGCACTGACTGGAACAATTCAAGATTTTAGGGTTATAATTAGGAATAAGGCTGTGTTCTTTTGGTTGCTTTCTCGTCGTCCTCTTTTTTTTCATTCGCATGCTTGACAAACTGTTAAACGATACGTCTTTTATAAAAACGCCAACAAAGATGAGGGAAACCAGAAAGAAGAGACTTAAGTGGAGGTTCACTTGGAGAGGGGCTGCCGCCGGTGGCGGCAGCGTGGTGGTCGTCCACGAGCCCAATGTGGCTGGTAGAACTAGAAGAGAAAGGGGAACGAACTGACGCCGCAACAAAGGAGAGGTGAGAAAGAAAGAGAAAAGACAGGAAAAGGAGTGGACACTGTCATGTGGGCTCTCCAGATGCTGACTCAGTCCATTGAACTAGTCAACGAGCCATGTCAACGAAAACCGCTTTCAAAACCACTGAGAGAGTCAAATTGCACCAGTTTTAATAGTTAGGGAAAGGGGGGGGGCAAGATATGTGGTATTGTGGTTGAGGGATACGAATTAGATTAAACGTATATTCCGAGGGAGTGAAAGTGGACTTTCCTTATAAGAAAAATAATACCAGTATACATTGGCCCAAATTTCTTTTCGTACTGATCAGCCCACAAATACCAAGCAGACCATAAATTTGTACCAAATTTGTTTGGAAAAAGTACACCGAAGGTCCCTCAACTTGTCATCGAGTTACAAAATCGTCCCCTAACCGCAAAACCAAATATATGACACCCCTCAACTTATAAAACCGCTCACTTTAGATCCTTAGGTAGTTTTGACCCCGGTTTTGTCCGACGTAGCGGCTGAGACAGCGTGGGACCCATGTGGGCCCCACATGTCAGCGTGGACACATTAGCTCCTCTTTCTTTTCCCCTCTTCTCTCCCTTCCGCATCACTCTCTCTCCATCCTCCGACTCAGCCGGCGGCCGGCGAAGGGCGACGCGGCGGCGGTGCTGGCGGCGACGGGCGACGCGGCGTCGGTGGGGGGAGGAGCTGCGGGCGGGCGGCAGGGAGGGGCGGCGCGCCCGACGCTGACACACCCGTGGTGGTGGTCGTCGGGAAGGGGCCCCCTTCGTCGTCGTCACACGCCGCCGGCTTCGTCGGTGGCAGCGGCGTCGCCATGGACATGGAGGAGGTCCGCGCGTGCATGGACCTCGGCCTCGAGCTCCCCTCCGACTACACTGTCGAGATACAATGCTACGGCCTCTTCGCCACCAGCAACCCCACCCACACCAACTCCGGCAGCAGTAGCAACGACGAGGAGGGCGCGAGGCGGGAGGGGAGGGCATCGGCGATTGGCGACGGGTGACGCGGCGGCGGTGACGGCGGCGGCAGGGCGAGAAGGCGACATCAGCGGCGGGGTGGCGGCGGCGAGGGGTGTGTGGTTGGACAGGGCGTGGGAGATGAAGAGGAGCTGGCACGAGCGGAACGGCGGTACGCCCGTTGACACGCCCGTGGTGGTGGTCGTCGGGATCCCTCTCCGCTCGGCCGCGCGGGACGCTCCTCCCCCCACCTCCCGCGCGTTGATCCTCACCGCCCGCGCGCTGCCCCTCCCCGCCGCCCGCCCATGCGCTGCTCCTCTGCCTTGTGGGCCTCGTGGGCGGCGGCCGGCTGGGTAGCCACTCGCTCGGCTCAGTCGCGCGCGCCGTTCCTCCCCCTTCCGCCTGCGCTCCATCCCTTCCCGCCACCCGCCCGTAGCTCCTCCCTCCACCGCTGCCGCGTCGCCCGTCGCCGCCACATCGCCCGTCGCCGGCCGCCGGCTGAGTCAGAAGAGGGAGAGAGAGTGATGAGGAAGGGAGAGAAGAGGGGAATAGAGAAAGGGGGCTGATGTGTTCATGCTGACATGTGGGGTCCACATGTGTCTCAGTCGTCACGAAGGATAAAACCGGGGTCAAAACCACTGAAGGAACTATTGTGACCGGTTTTGATTAATTAAGGGACATCGGATATCTGATTTTGTGGTTGGAGGACGATTTTGTATCTTGATGACAAGTGAGGGACCTTCGGTGTACTTTTTCCAATTTGTTTTAGTACTAGCCCAGTATTGCGGCGGATTTGTGGCTGACCGGGCCGACAAGGATGGAACATCCAAGCGGCAAGCACTGGGCCTCGCAGGCTCGCACTAGGCAAGTATTGCAGCCCATTCACGCTGGCAACTAGTGTTAGGAAAAAGTACACCGAAGGTCCCTCAACTTGTCACCGGGATAAAAAACGTCCTCAAACCGCAAAACCAGATATGCAGGGTCCCTTAACTATACAAAACCAGTCACCCGAGATCCTTGAGTGGTTTTAACCCCAGTTTTAGCCTACGTGGCGCGTGGGACCCACGTGGGCTCCACATGTCAGCGTGCCTCGTCCATTCCCCTTTCCCCTCTTCTTCTCTCCCTTCCTCCCCTCTCTCTCTCGCACTCTTCTCAGGCCGGCCGACGGGTAGGGAGCAGACGACCGGGCAGCGAGGGGGGTTGAGCGGCGAACGGCGGAGGCAGCGTGTGAGCGCGCGGCAGCTGGCTAAGCGGAGGCGCGGAGCTGCGGTGGCTGGCGGATGGAGAGCGGCGCCGGGACATCGTCGACAGGAGGGATCGGCGGGGAGAAGGGGTGCCGGGACGGGCGGTGGCCGATGGGGAGGACAACCGACGAGCACTGGCCGACGGGGAGACGGGGCGGCGTGCGTGCCGACCCGGGCTGCCAAATATTTGAAGCAATGGTACCTGCGGCAGATGAGATCGGCAATCAACCATTAATTCATCGCACCGAACACTGTTGTTTCCACCGACAAAACTCGCATGGCCCGGAGATCACTGATGACAGAACCGTGGCTTCCCTAGCATGAATTTCCATGTAACTTGGGACAGGATGATTGTTGTTAGCTTGCTTGACACCGGAGTTGGCTAATGGATGCCCGGTTTCGGTCTGGCAATAGTTGTTGCGCTATCGAAATCTCCTACTCCATGCAGTGGCTGGTGTGGCACATGTGAGTGACTTCAGGAGAGGAGGACATGGACGGAGGCGATCTTGGTGGCGGCGCAGATGGGGCAAGCGTCAACGGCGGCCTCGCAGGCGCCGCACAGGCACAGGCGGCGGCACGGGAGCAGCGGCACAGACGCCTCCGTGACACGGCAGGCCTTGCACGACGTCGCCCCGGACACCGCGTCAGCGGCAGTGGCGGCGGCGGCGCCGCCTGGGGTCTCGAAGCAGCACGATTGCGCGTCCTCGGCGTCGCCCTCCCTCGCGATGGCGGCGACGGCACAGGGAGACTGGAGGAGCTAGTCAAGCGTGGCGCGGAGGCCGACGGCGACGGCCTCGTGGCTCTTGGCAACGCCCATCCACGCCTACCCCTCCGCGCTCATCTGGCGGAGCTTCTCCTCTAGCTCCGCGTTGCGGCAGCGTGCGCGATCCAGCTTGGCCTCCGCCGCACGCACCCTCCCCATCGTGGCGCGCGCCACGGCCGCCACCAGCGCCCGGACGTGCCGTCGCTGCGCTTCCTCCAGCCCCGCGCGCATCCGCTCAGCTTGCTCGGCATCCACCAAACACCGATGCCGATCAAACACCACTCACCAAACACAAACAATGGATGCCAGCGGCATGAGCGGGTGCGTGGCCTCGTCGTAGGTGAAGAAGAGCGAGGCGTTGGCTGTCCGGATGGGAGGCCTGTTCCCGCGTCGCCGCCACCACCACGTCGTCTGTCGCTAGCCTAGAGAGAGGAAAAGTGAGAGAGAGAGGACAAAGGGAAAGAGAGAGATGGTGATGACGTGGCACGCTGACATGTGGGGTCCCACGTGCCACATAGGCCAAAACCGGGGTCAAAACCACCGAAGGACCTCGGGTGAACGGTTTTATATAGTTAAGGGACCCCGCATATCTGGTTTTGCGGTTAAAAGACGTTTTTTATCCCGATGACAAGTTGAGGGACCTTCGGTGTACTTTTTCCACTAGTGTTACGCTGACGTTGGGCCCCACTGGAAAGCCCAAGACCCCTCCCATCTCCAACCACCTCTCCGGTCGCCGTCAATCCTCGCCACACCCCACGCCGCCTTCCTCTCCTCGGCTACTCCCAAATGAGAGCCACAGCCGCAGCCGCCTTCTCACTCCTCACCTGCTCCTGTCTCCGGAGCACCAGCCCGACCAGGCTCCCCTCCTCCTCGCTCCGCCTCCCGCTCCGCCGCGGCCCGCTCGCCGCGATGGCCACGGCCGCCTCCTTCCGCCCGGAGGCCGCGCGGTCGCCTCCCGCCGTCCAGCCCCCGGCGCCGCCGCTCTCCAAGGTCGTACTCCGCTTTCCCTGGTTTTCGAGTGGAGTCCGGGTGATTCTGAGTTGGGTTCGTTCGTTTTGATGATCTGAGTTTTGTGGGGTTCGATCTTCTGTGGACTGTGGGCGCGCAGTTCAAGGTGGCGCTGTGCCAGCTGTCGGTCACGGCGGACAAGGCTCGCAACATCGCGCGGGCGCGCGAGGCCATCGAGGCTGCCGCGGCGGGCGGCGCCAAGCTCGTGCTTCTCCCGGTGAGCGCTCGGTTGATCATAACGACCTCTCGTTTTGTCTGCTCGTCCGATTTAAATGGGAGGCGGAGAGGTGAGGATTGAGTGTGATGGAGTCATAGCTCGGCAAGGGTTCGCGGATAGGATCATAGGACCACACGATCTTAGCGTGGTTACGTACATTGAACTGTGAATAGCACTAGCACTGTTATGCACAGTGACAGAAGACACCTCTCACTTCACATCTTAGAACCATGAATGTGCCTCTTGGATTGTGTTTCCGCATGATTTGGTGACCAGATGGAATAGTTTGTACTGTTGCTTGATCGGGTTATCTCCTAGCTGTGACAATTTGGTCTTGCTCTTATGGGTGGACTCTGTATATTTCCAAGAAAAGTGCACCATAAGCTGAATGCAGAGAATTCAGCTCCTCGAAGCTGAATCAGGAGCAGATTAAAATTAGAACCAAAAACAATGTCAGAACGAGTGCAACACTAACATGCAGTAAACTGTAGCGTGCATACATATATATATGGGACATTTAACTTCTTGCCACTATAGTACAGCACTTTTGGTTTCTCTTTTTTCTGAAGATCTTTTGACTTGGACATAATATACTTTTACACTACCTATACTACATGACTTAACATGTATCCACTTGTTCAAATCTATGATCTGAGTTGATAATGACTTGGCAAGGTCATGTTGAGGAATGCTATTTGTACAATTGTACTTATGCTTCTTGATTACTTTTCGTCTGTAGCAGTTCTTGTGTTTATTCTTTTAGGAGATATGGAATGGTCCATATTCAAATGACAGCTTTCCAGAATATGCCGAAGACATCGAAGCCGGTGGTGATGCAGCTCCTTCATTTTCAATGATGTCAGAGGTTGCTCGCAGCTTGCAAATTACTCTTGTTGGTGGATCCATATCAGAACGTTCTGGTAACAAGTTGTACAATACATGCTGTGTCTTTGGTTCAGATGGCGAGCTTAAGGGCAAGCACAGAAAGGTACAGATAGAAATCCATGTTCATATATTGTATTAATATATTTATATAGAGCACTCGACATAGTTTATCCAGGACATATAATTCTATCTTACTATTGTTGTGTCATGATTCTTGCGAGCTACATCATCATTTCCATATAGTTAGGTGCATTTAGAAGATGTCATTTACTTATTTGAATGTTAAAATCAAAACCATTATCATTTCATATAGTAAGACCAGATTTAAATATGAATTCAGATAGAGAAGATAGTGTTATCCGAATGGCAAAAAACAAAACCAATTTGGATCCAATAATGAGACCAACTTGCATCCCTAATCATCAGTAGCTCAATCATGCAAACTTCAGGTGTTACCACCGTGATCTTCTGACCACTATAACATGGTCAGTTTAAAATATTTGCAGATTGATCACTTCATCTCACTGTCACATTCTGATTTACTTCATTTTGCTTTATTTGCGGTGTCCCGTTTTTTCTCATTCTCCATAATGTGCATGCTATAATACTGAAATCACATTAGTGCAGATCCATCTTTTTGACATTGACATTCCTGGAAAGATTACATTCAAGGAATCGAAGACTCTTACTGCTGGGCAGGATCTTACTGTTGTAGACACAGGTTTGTCTTATTAGTCTGGAGTACTGAAGAATGCTAGGATTAAGATGGTTCCTGAACCATAGGGTGCCTCTGTGCATCTCCAAATTTTGGTTTGGACAGTCTTAGTCAATTTGAAGCTGTACCTTTAAATGTATTCTTCTAGTGTAGCTTGGTTTTAAGAATCTCTTTTGGATGTGTTGTTTAAGATTTTGCTTCTGATTGTTCACCCCTTTGCTGTAGTGAAGCATATTTTGTTACACATACTTCTCACAGCCATCTAGTGCTATTATCTAAGCTTTATTTGCATGTTTCTTCTAATTAGCCAGTTATCTCTGTTTTGTGTTTTCTCAGTACAACACTACCATTTCGTTTATGCTCTTATTCATTGTTGATTGTTTTCAGATGTAGGCCGGATTGGTATAGGTATTTGTTATGACATTCGTTTCCAGGAATTGGCAATGTTGTATGCTGCGAGAGGTAAAAAATCGTCATTCCTTTTCTGTACAGTTTCCATATGAATCATTTATCTGTTGTAGTATTATTCTGTTTAGCGGTGTCATCATCTTCTATTTTTTTAAATAACTGGTTTCATACCTGCGAGATGTATAACATTTCACTGTATTAGATCATGGCAACTAGTCAAGTACTGAACTATCGTGTACATGTAATGAATACAAATCCAGGTTTCTAAAACTGCTAGTACAATATAATTGATTCTGTTATGCTTTCTTACATTTTCTTGTTCCTAGTTACTATTGGCATGTGTGAATGCATAAAAGAAAGAGCTTGCTGTTGTTTGTTGTTCATGTGAAAAAGGATGGAAGTGTAAAAATATACTGAAGCTCTTCTGTTCATTGCAGGTGCTCATTTGTTATGCTATCCCGGTGCATTTAACATGACTACAGGGCCATTGCACTGGGAGTTGCTGCAAAGGGCAAGGTATTGCCTTTTATAAATCATTTGCACCTAAAAATATTACGATTATTCAACGAATAAATATAAGCTTAAGGGACAAAATAAGAAACAATGAATTGGACTGGTAATGAATTTCTAATGCAGTCGACAACTTAAGCTCTTCACCATATTTTCTCTATAACAATAATGGCGATAAGCATGAGTAGTAATCTTTCCTTCTTGTTTCACTGTACTTCATTCCTATTTTTTGCATCTGTACTGATGATAGTATCTTCTCCTTGCCAGGGCTGCAGACAATCAGGTATTCCGCACACTAGTCTGTTGGATTTTATGTTTTACAGAAACTCATTATTCATGTTGCCAATTTAGTGGTTTCAAATAGTAACCGGACATTTTGTTATCAGCTGTTTGTGGCAACCTGTGCACCAGCTCGAGACACCAGTGCAGGTTATATTGCTTGGGGACATTCCACTCTTGTTGGACCTGTAAGTTGATTTGAGACTTTAGGATGCAATACCTTCTGGAACTTGTAGCTCTGTCTGGGACCTCCATCATGCTCCAGACTTAAAATTCAGCTCTAACACAAGGAATATTATCTTACTGCTGTAGAAATCCTTGTAACGCAACCTTTTGCCGGTTGATTTTATATGCTTAATCTGAAAAAGGTGCACATTGGCAAATATATGGTCATCTCATATGGAACTTTTGAATTTTATTGCTAGTTTGGGGAAGTGATTGCTACCGCTGAGCATGAGGAGACCACTATAATGGCAGAAATTGATTATTCATTGATTGATCAGAGGAGGTAAACAGAGCGAATATTTGTTTTAACCGGGTTACAGTGAATATTTTGCCTGTCCATATCACTGCATTTTCTTCTTGCTCTAACATCCTGACCAAAATTACCTGCAGGCAATTTCTTCCTCTGCAATATCAACGCCGGGGCGATCTCTATCAGTTGGTAGATGTCCAGAGATCCGGCTCTGATGAGTAGCCAGCCTGGATGCATTGCGCCACTAGGCGTGATCCGTGAAAATATTATTCGTCCGCGAGATGCATGTGCCCACCCTTATCCGCAGCAGTTCACCCAGGAACATTGACTTCGTGTGTGAAGAGGTGACCTGTAACACGTACCTTGCCAAATTGATTTACTATAAACATTATCATGGTAATAATAAAAGGTCGAAATTAAATGCTCTTTTCTCTGCTGTCAAAATTATCTAATGTTCTGCTGCCATGGTTCATGTGGACAGACATGGCAGCTATACTCGCTAGAGTATGGCCTGTCTAGGTTCCAACTTTTTTCTTTAAACTTCTAACTTTTCCGTCATATCGAACTTTTCTATACACACAAACTTTTAACTTTTTCGTCATATTGTTTTAATTTTTTAAAACTTTCAATTTTAGCGTGGAACTAAATACAGTCTATGTAGAATATTTCTTCTTATCTGTTTTCAGCTTACACCCGACATAGAGGGCGAGAAACAATTAAGGCTGTGTTTGAGAGTGAGCGGATTGAGAAGATTAGAAAGATACGCAAAACGAGGTGAGCCATTAGCGCATGATTAATTGAATATTAATTATTTTAAATTTTAAAAATGAACTAATATGAATTTTTAAAGCAACTTTCATATAGAATTTTTTTGCAAAAAATACACCGCTTAATAGTTTGGTAAGCGTGTGCGCGGAAAACGAGGGACAATCTCCCCAATCTCCTTTGAAAGAACACAGTCTAAGCAGCCAAAAAAAAAAACCGTAGTGTGGCATTATAACAGCTCCATAAATGAGTATCCTGTGTAGTGCAACCTGCGAACTGTGAGAACCATAAATGGCGGGGCAGGGGCCCTGGCCTGGCCACGACGCTGCAGCCTCCACTGGTGCTGCACAGCAGCAGGAGCAGGGTTTCTGGAGGCAGCACTGGTCGTGCAGGTGCTAGCTACACGCAGAGCTCACGAGCCAAGAGCCAGCCTTTCTTCTGCCCTGAGCTGTGAGCTCATTTACACCTATAGTGAGCGCGGGTTCGGGGGTTCGAATCAGTTCTCTTCAATGCGGCCGTGGAGAACGCTTTTAAGCCCGGACGATCAATAACGTTTTTCAATAACCGACCATTCTTTTAGATGTCTGCAATGGTCAATGGCCTACTCCCTCCGTCTAAAAAAACGAATCTAGAACATGATGAGATATATTATAGTACAATGAATCTAGGGTTGTGTTTAGTTCACGCCAAAATTAGAAGTTTGGTTGAAATTGAAACGATGTGACGGAAAAGTTGAAAGTTTATGCGTATAGAAAAGTTTTGATGTGATGATAAAGTTGAAAGTTTGAAGAAAAACTTTGAAGCTGAACACGGCCTAGACAGAGATATGTCCATATTCGTAGTATTAGATGTGTCACGTTCAGTACTATTTTGATTTTTTATGGCACGACCATCTTAAGTACTTATGAATCAGAATAAGTATTGTACTTAAGTAGCACTTCACACAAGGTTGTTAAAATTGTAATTATGAATTGGAATAAGAAGTTATAAGTAGAATCGCAATCATAGAATCATATAACGTAAAATCGTGTATATTTTATACCTATATAGAATCGTAGAATCGGACACGTAAAGTTGACAGTCAAAATTTTGACAACCTTGACTACATAACATGGCAATGGCGAGGGCCCAAATGGATAGACAACTCCATGAATGATTCTATCCGATATGGTGAGTGACCTCACCGTGTCTTATTGTCTTACCTCTCCATGTTAGAGTTGTTGCTCAAGCTTGGGCATTCAAGTGGCCACATAGCAATACCACTCTGGGCACGACACCATAGTTTTACGCGGTGTGCTGGGCGAGGCCATCGTCCTGTGTGCTCTCCTTCTTCCTCATCTAAGCGGTAGCCGTGATATCCGAAAAAAAGGTGATAGTAGTGGTCGAATAGGGAAGAAGGACCTGCGATGCTGGGCTGAGTAGGAGCTCGAGCAAATACAACGAGCTTGTCCCTAAGACGACCCTAACTCGCATTGCCACAAACCTCGTCAACCCGAGCTATCGTTGCTTGATCTACTTCGGGCTTCAGAGGCGATAACAAAAGTTGACAAACTGAGCACATATCCTCCTCAGCATTATCCTGCTCGACCACCTCACTGCTCCGTTCGTGCACACCGCTATGACTCGGGACTTCTACCTCCTCCTTTACTGCAACGGGAGCACCCTCAGTGCCTGTTCACTTTGATGTTATTTTCAACCTTACCATTTATTAGCAAAGTTGGCAAAAAAATATTTATATTTAGTTTGTTGCTAAATTTGGTCAATACATAAGAAATTCTGCCAAAATTGATATCTTGTCAAAATTTTGGCATTGCTAAAACTTGGTAAGTTTTTTTTAAGCTACAATCTGAACAGACCCTTAATTATCACCTTCCTTTGCTAAGCTGTTAGTTCGACACCCTCATTGTCTGTCTCGAGACAGATGAGTTGTTGGTACTGGGTGGTGAGGAGAAGATGGAGGAGAGGAGTTGTGACTTGTGAGCACTAGGTGGTAGTAAAGCTGTGTTGATATACTTCTTGGGGAGATGGAAAAGATGAGTGAATTTATATTTTTTTGTCTATTTATAAGGTCTTTGTTGAAGCTACCACTCGAAGTAATTTGAATTTGTGGGAGACGAATTTTTGAACATGTGGCATCAGTCTATTTGACACCTCAAGGACACTCTTAGAGCACCCACAATGGTAAAGTTAGGTGCTATCTATAAAATATGTACATCTCAATAATAAACTAAATTAATAGTAAACAATCTCAATAGTATGTCTACATGGGTATCTATAGCTCTCTAATACATTGTCTCGTTTTTCTCTATAGACTATCTCCAGGTTAGTAGATAGCTTTGCTCTCTCTCTTCATTTAATCTCTTCCAAGTAGAAAAATATGCTGACATGGATCCTTTATATAGAGCCTATAAATAACCATTGTGGGTGCCCCTATGAGAATGCCCTATTACCCTTTGAATCACTCATGTTTTAACACGTCTGGGTCGGCCAGCTTGGCTCCTTGTTTGGCCTTCTCCATCAATGAATGCTCAAACATTCATTCCTCCCTCGTGAATCAATGTTATAACACGATCCCCGCAGATCTCACGCAGCATCCGTTGGGTTGCCCTACTCCTACTTCTGCCAGCCGGGCTCTCTGCCACTTTGTCCTGCCCTGCTCCCGGCGATGAGGCAACGTATCTCTCGCCGAATGTAGCAGCAATAGCAGTGTACTGTAGGTCACATTACGTACTCCCTATTTTCTCCGTTAAAAAAAACCAACCTAAAAGAAGATGTGGTGATATAATCCCTTCTAGTGCAGCGAATCTGAACAGATCTAGATTGTTTTTTATAAAACGAAAGGAGTAGTGTGCAGAACAGCACATGCTCTCCATCGTAGGATCGGCACGTCGTACGGTTCGGCAAGAGCAAAATCGTGTGATCCACCACAGGGCCCCCTCTCCGCGTGCAGCGTTGCTGCTGCTCATCTAGCGTGGGAGCACTCCTACTCCGCTGCTGCTCTGACGTCGCCCAAGATTGTCAGAAACTTCGGCTGGCCAGTGGCCACCACCACCACCCGCACCGCAGGAAGGGATACGTGCACATTGTCAGCAGCGGCTGGATTTTTCCCGGTGCACGCGCGCGGTTAAAAGCGAGAGGGGCCCAACGGCGGGGCACACAGCGCGTCAAGCCGTTTTCCTCTGGCGCTCTCGCCGGCTCGCACCTTCCAAGAAGAATAAAGCGGGAGGGGCGATGGGGGAATCGAACCGGATCCGATCCGATCGGCCCGATCCCACCACGAGCCAGCTGAGCCGCGAGCCGCGAGACGAGTCGCGCGTGCGTGCGTGCAGCGGGGGGCGCCGCTTTTGATCAAAGCGAAAGTTGCCGAGAGGAGAGAGGAGAGGAGAGGGAGAGCTTCGGCCTCACGCTGTCACGCCTGGCTTGGCTTCTCCCTGGGATCGGTGCCACTTTGATCGTCCGTGGGCGTGGGGGACCTGGCCGCCCTGTGGCTTGATGTTCTTTTGCCACTGCACCTTTTGACCTCCTCTGCTTCTCAAGATTTGGTGGTTTGTTGTATACTTGTATCCCAGCATTGCGAGCTGTGTTCACAAATCACAATGGAATTGACGTTCTCTCACCAATTGCTCCCATGACTATTTCAAATCGCGTTTCCGTTCTCTCTTTTCAACGTTGCTGCTACTACCTCTGTTACAGAATAATATAATATAGCAACTTATAACTAGATTAGATATATCCTAATATTACGAATCTGAACATGATACATCTTATCCGGTGCTATGTTGTTTATATTCTCAAACGGAGGAAATACTTGTCTGGTATTGGTACAAATTGTAGCACAGTGGCACATGCTGGTATTATTTGGTGCTGATACTCCATATTAATTGAAAATTGTCCAGATCCTGCTACCAATATTTGACAAGAATGTGGCAGGCGCGCAATTGTCAAACGGTCCATGTGCATACAGCATTCGTGACGTCAAAACTTGCACCCATGTAAGCTGTGTGTATGCACATGCACCCGGGATTCTCGTGTAATTTAATTTTTACACGGGTGCATAGATTTGCTTGGAAATTAGTTTTGAAACTGTTGATGCGACAGTCGGATTATGATCTTGTTGTTTGTATTTGTTTGATTTTTTAGAAGGGAAATTAGTTTTGAAATTGTTGATGCGACAGTTGGATTATGATTTTGTTGGTTGTATTTGATTTTTGAGAAAGCAAAGCATGTTGGGGTGAGTGAGTTGGTGTCAAATGCATGCCCACGTAAAGGCTACTCCATAATGTTTATAATTTTTATACGGGTGCATATAGTACTCCAATAGCAATTAATCTCATATTTAGGCTTCTTAGGTCTGTAGGCTTGTAGCTCTATATGCTGTTTAGATGCTACCTACCTCACAAGCACGTACAACCACACTAGCAATTACTCCAATACCATTTTATAATTATACTCCAATACCATTTTATAATTGAGGATTAAGGATAGGGCAAACAGTAGCCAAGTATGTCAGCCTTCCACTTTTGAACAAACCACCCTTTCGCATCAATAACATGGCTGCTGAAAAGTTAACATAGGACTGATTAATTATGCTTAATCAGTGGTTGAGAAACTAACTGCAAGGGTCAACTGCTAATGGGCAAGTAAAACCTCTCTTTTAGTTAATTAATTAATGGATCACGCAATAACTTTTAAGGGTTCTATATCTTGTCCTAAACACCTATATGTTCTCCACCAAGTGGCTGAAATTTGTTACCACTAAAACCATGGTACACCAGACTTGCCTGAAGACACAAAAGGAAAGACATGCCTTCAGAATTTCATCAGCTAACATAGAGCAGCGCTACAGTGCTACACGTTCTAAAATTTTCTTACAGAATTCATACTAACAAAGTTCTCAACCATTGATTTGAATTAGCTCGAAGATGTAGAAAATCAAGATTCAATCGTAATTTGGCACATTAGCGTCTGTAAAACGTTTGTAACAAATATTTTGTGCGTATAGCTTTTTCTGCTAACAAATAAACTTAATGTCCCATTTTAAATGATGGTACTCTTGTTCTACAAAATAATGCACCCCTGAATCAAAGCCTAAACTTCTTTTGAGATATAGCCTATGATTAGTAGCACCCTATTATCTCAGGTAAGGCTAATATTTCTGCCTTCCTTTTCTTTCATGTGCAAGGGGACCCAAGTTGCTTTTGTCAACAGCCTTGAAGATCTTTGTCCCTCTATATTAATAGCTTGACAATCCTGCGTACTCCATTTTGAGAGAGACTAGCTAGAGAGTAGAGCCTACAATATGGCTACAGTACAGAATTGCAAGCCAATGTGCGCTGGAATTTCCTCATCTTTTGTTGGTGCTTATCAGCCTAGCTATTGGCTATTGTTTGGTTCAGTGGTCCACAGGCCAATCTAGGCCACTGGTTGGTTTAGTTAAGTCCTAAGAGCAAGTTTAATAGTATAGCCCACTACTAACTCCAAATCATCTATAGTCAATGTAATAGCCAATTCATACAATAGTTGCTTACTATACTATTAATATCTGGTCCCACCTATCATACACATATTACGTCTTGGAGTCCGTGCTGCAACTGGCTATAGATCTGTAGCCCGTTGCTCTTTTCTCTCTTTCTTTATCTGTCTAAAATATGTTTATAGCCTGCTATTGTACCTGCTCTAAGAGCAAGATCAATAGTGCCGCCCGCTAAGGGCTGCAAAAATGACCACATCAGCCTCTTACAGATATTGCTAAGAGCTAATGTATACAATAAGCATGTTCACATCGACTATTATCTATTTGTTTAATCTTTAGCTAGCTTCCCCATCCAATTTTTTAATCTTGTTGCTGTTGTTTCATCCTGCATCGAGTCAGCTCACGTGGGCCCACAATCGCTTGTCCCAATTAAAGCTAGCCTGGTGCTGCTGCACTTGCGTTGGGTTGTGTGTGTAGCCAGCGACAATTTAGTCGCCCACTCGTCCTCTCTCTCTTGTCCAACTCATGGACAAATCTGATATGGCAGTTTTATCGCCAGCTAAACTAGCTTATTGTACCTGCTCTAATGCAGCAGTTATGATCTATGCATATGCATTGCCAAAGGCCAAATCCCCAACTGCTCTGTCTAGGGATCACAACATCAACTGCTTTGTGTCGTCGTGTGCCCATGCTTGATTTTATGTCGTTTGTGTGCCCTCAATTATCAGATGATTTAGACACGTCCATCTCATGTCCAGTGGCATCATCTGAAGGACCAATTAAGTTGGCAAGATGAACAATTAGGATGCCATTTTGCTCTCTGGGTTTGTAACGATCTACTACTAGCAAACAACCAAGACGACTCTTCTTATCTGATCATTAGATAGCTTCTTGATGCTGCTGTTGCGTGGTGGCCCTTTCTTCAAGTGATGGTTCATTGCATATGTGTCTTCTACTACTAACGATTTTTAAGTGCGTCCTCATCTTATTGATGAAGTACATTTCTTCAGAGAGAGGGAGGGGTCCGGACTTGATTAAGATTTGTGGTCCAAAAATGTGTTTCGTTTTGATTTATCCATCTGAAATGATTTTGTCCGAGACGCATCTGGTGCAATTTTGTCATTCTTTGCCTCGCGCAAGTTGGTTCTCCTGACAAGTGACAATTTTACTTTTTGAAAATTAAAGGAGCAAAGTTTCTGAAGATTACAGGTATACCCCCTCCACATGCAGCAATCTACACGTCAGATTCTCTCTTCTGCCTCGATGAGAGAAAAGAAACGGAGCATGAAAAGCATAAACAGAGTAATATATGAGCAATGGTAGTACTGATGTACTGGTATTTTTCATTTCCTAGTGTCAAGCCATGCTCCAAAAGTATTGGAATCGATTGATGGAACGATATGATCGAGACTTAAAAAACAAAACTGATTCTAATGAGATGGCTTACGATTGACACCGTCGCAAGAGGCTTTAACTCTCCTCTTTTGGACTGATGACGGCTCGCTAATAAAGCTCTGGGAAAAAAGTTAAAGAAATTTGCAGAGAAAAATATTGCAGGAATGAAGCACGCATTTTGCTTTCCACTGTCCAGATTAGTTCATAGAAAAGCCCAGGATAAAAAGTAAGATTTCGTGCATAATTTAAAAGGATACACATGATCCATGGCTGCGACATCACACCACGCTTCTTGGTGAGGGACCCAAAAGAAGGCAAGAGATTTTGATTGCATTTTAAGTTATTGCATGAATCACATCAATCTACTCGAGCAATAACCATATCTTTTAAACTCATTTATGCAGTACTTTTTTCTGCATTTGCTACATAATTAAGATCACGCAGCAGTGGCCAGTAATGGTGAAAAAAAAATCAATGTACGTGCCAGTTAACAGTACAAAAATGAATGATGGTACGAACGGTACAAACATAGGAAGGACAGTGATGCTACCTGATTGAGAAGCAACGCTACCAAAAAACATATATAAGGTGGCATGCATCTATCGAAGGAACACGGATAGTATAGTGAAGACATGAACAAATAAATGGTTCCGGGCAAAACATTGAACTACACAAAAGAACCTGCAGAAATGAGCAGTCAGAAAAGAAAGGTGCATATGATCTTCCCCTGTAGCCGAAATAATTGACTCTCATGTTGATTATGATCAACCGGCCGATGAATTTGGGGGTTTTCTAGCTGCCAAAATGTTCTTCATGAATAATTTAAGTGCCAGAATGATCTAAACCTGATCTCTGTATCAGGCAAGTGCCACCTCACTGAACAAGTTCAGTACTCGCTTCCATGCCAAGTCATGGACTTGCCAAATTAGCACATTTCTGGGGGAAATGTCGTACGGTTTAACGGGATAGAGGCCTTGTTTCCTGGATTAATTCGCATGTGAAACTTACTGCCCAAAAAGATTATCACAAGCTAGATAGTATAGATGAGCTGATTGATCTGACTCACCAAATGGAACAAATAATCAATCCCTAATCCCTTGTTAGATACTAATCAATCCCAAACCCCTTGTTCACCACACAGCTGATGCTGACAGTTTTTCTTTTTAGGTGCCATTCACAAGCTGCGGCCTGCGGCAACCGGCAATAGAAATATGTGAAGTGAACCCTGAAAATGATCGCGGTAATGATTAGTGGTTCGCATGTTCCAGCAGCAGACAGAGCGTGTGCATCCCGTCAAATCTCTCACCCTCTAGCCCATCCCTCTCCTACCGTCCAATCTGCCTTTGATCTGTTAATTTGCCTATGGATCATATTCATGTTGCCATTATTGTTACCGTGATATCTGCCGGTACTAGTAGAAATGCTAGTACTACTCTGCATAGTAGATTGTACTAGCACACATGCTTGAGTAGAAGTATGTGGTTTAAAACTTTATGTTTGAAACGATGACATACCAGATGATGTACAAATGTGTAATTATTCTGAAACTTTTTGTATCCTTATGTAACAAGGCGAAGAGGTTAAATTGTCATCTTACTAATAGGTTGCACGATGAGTTTCTTTGTAAACACACTTTGTGTTAGCACTTGACAGTGCGCTTGCCATCGATGAGATGGCAACGTCGTCAAGTCTTCAAATATCCAACTGATCCTTTCAATATCCATATCAATTGATTCCACGGTCGGATCGCTTTTTAATACTTCACGAAAAAAGCGGTTTCGATAACTATGACTCTTCTGACTCTCTGGGTACACTGGCTCTCGCAGAGAAGAAAAACTACTCCTGTTGAACAGCTGCGATCGTACTCCCTCCGTTATAGGATTTTGAGTTTTTCATGCAACATTTGACCACTCGTCTTATTCAAATTTTTTTAAAATTATTATTTATTTTATTTGTGATTTACTTTATTATCTACAGTATTTTAAGCATAACTTTTTGTTTTTTATATTTAGTTTTTTATATTTATAAAGAAAATTGAATAAGACGAGTGGTCAAATGTTATAAGTAAAAACTTATAATCCCTTATATTATAATACGGAGGGAGTACTAGTAAAAGTGAACACACACATGTTCCCATTAGGTTTAGAAAGCTTTAGATCCATCATGTTAATCCATTAGTCGAGGATAAGCACAGTAGTATCTTGACAATTTTTGCCAGTTTAACTGAGCATTTGCTTCATCACCCATAAAAAAAAGGCACAGTATAAAGACCTAACGATGTTACTGAATTACCACGGTTAAAAACAACCTACTACTCCACATCTAAGAACACAAATCACCTCCAAAGAGACAGGAAATCTCTTTAGGGTGTGTTTGAGAAGGAGGGGATTAAAAAGATTGGAAAGATACATAAAACGAGATGAGCCATTAGCACATAATTAATTAAGTATTAATTATTTTAAATTTCAAAAATGGATTAATATGATTATTTAAAGCAACTTTACTATAGAAATTTTTTTTAAAAAACACACCGTTTAGTAGTTCAAGAAACGTGCGAACGGAAAACAAAATTATCTCTCTCTTTCTCCTGCGCTCGAACGCAGCCTTAGAAAACACCAGAGATCAAAAAAGAAAGGGAAGAACACTTATCCCAAACTAATTGCATTTTACAGTAACTACACCGCCATTTTACAGTTACCCCTCTCGCCCGGTTGATTCCAACTAAGATATTCAGACAACTCTGGCGCTCCGTCCATGGCCATACCCATGGCCAATGGCGCGGTTCAGCGCCACTCTGGTCGTCTCGTACACCGGCAGCTCGTCCCGGTACGCGGCCCCGGCGGGAGCAATGGCGGCGAAGTTCTCGAGCTCGAACAGGTCGGAGCTCGCGTCGCTGCTCTCGTCGTCGTCCTCGTCGCTCTCCATCTCCATCCGCTGGAGCAGCATCTGCTGCACCGCCTCCACGGGCACCCTGCGGCGGTCGACCACCGTCGACGACGCCAGGGACTCCGTGTCGCTGTCCAAGAACCGCACGGTCCGCTTCGCCTGCCCGCGCGTCGACGGCGTCTTGCTCAGGCAGGAGCGGGAGTAGGACGACGCCGTCGAGCACGCGGACTCCGCCCCGGCCGTCGCCGAGGGCGGCGTGGCCGGCGCGCGCTTGCCGGCGAAGATGGAGTTGAGGAAGCCCGCGAGGCGCGCGCCGGGGGAAGCCGGCTTGCGGAGGTCCCTGAGCTTGGCGCGTATGGAGGCCCCGGGCTTCTTGGCCTTCTTCTCCGGCGCGGGCCCCGGCGCACCACCGGGGACAGTCGTGCGGATGGGGCGGAGGCGTCGGTGGTGCGACGACTCCGCCTCGGACGACGAGAACCCGCCGTAGCTAGAACACTCCGACGAGCTCGACGTCGTGGCGTGCGGACCCGGCGCGCGCGCCCGGTAGCTCCCCGCGAGCGACGGCTTGTAGTAGTTCCCATAGTGCAGGGCCGCCTCGTGCTGCTTCTTGGCCGCCGCAGCCACCGCCTCCACCCCGGTGGCGCCGCCGCCGTGACCCGGCTGCTCGTCCATCGACTTGTATATCGCGTCGAGCAGCGTGGATGAGAAAGACGGCTGGTCGGCGACGTACCGCCTCGCCGAACCAGCCGTCACCTTGGGCGCCGCCCACCTCTCCATAGGAAACAAACGCCAAGAAGAGAGAGCAGCAACCAATGCCTCTGTGAAATGGCAGCTGCTGCTGCTGAGCCGGTGGCTTGGTACGCGGTGAGTTGGTGGTACGTGTTGGGGAAAGGTGGAGGAGAGAAGGGTGAGAGGGGAAGGGATCGGGCGGAAGATATAGCGGTGGAAGGGGAAGCTTGGGTGGTGGAAACGGGGGTGTGGCGCCCGGCTAATTCGGTTTGGGCGTGCGGGTGACGGTGATGGGGGTCATGGGGCCATCCCGTCTCTCTCCCTGTCTCTCCTTATTTCTCGTCCCCTCACCGCCGGTGAACTTATCATTTCTTCACAATTGACACTGCCACGACCTCTGCTAATCAGTCCATATACCTGAGTGAATTTCAGCTTCTTTTTTTTTTCAGACCGAGGTGAATGGGAATGTGTCGTCCTATACCATACATTACGATGGTTCAGACGTTCCTCTATTCCGCCCATCAAAGATCGAAGGGTACGCAAACGCAACTATACTACCGCGCGCTGCTGCTGCTCCCCCTGTAGAGTACGACGTCGCAAGATTTAACTCTGGCGATCGAGACGCATGTAGTACTGTCGCCTCTGCCTCTGTCCCTCACCCACCCAAAACGTGAGCACGCATGCATTGCAGCAGCGGCAATAACTTCTGGGAGTAGTAGTACTAGTGCTAATTATAGCGCAGTAATCTAGTGCGAGTATTCCGTTTCGTTTCGTACCATTTTGGGCTTCATTCTGCATACACACACCGTATTGCGTCGTTTTGCAGCAGTGACGGTGACGGGAGTTCACCGCTCTGATCCACAGACACCGACCTGCTGCTATGGGCCTGCCTATGGCACAGAAAACGGATGGACGTGGCGAACGGTGCAGTGAGCCGATCTCGAGCCACTTCGTGCTCCATCGACCAAATAAAAAACGGGAAAAGAAAACACTAATCTCCATTGCTAGTTGCTACTACTGGTAATGAAGAGAAACAAACATAAACAGTGGGAGAATGTAGCCGCCTGCAGGGGCCGCAGCCAAGCCGGTGCGGCGTTTCGCTGCGAAAAGCTGCTTGCTTGCTAATACTAGTTGCTGCTAGTACTGCACTGCATATATATGTATCTATCTGCTTAATCTAATCGCCTCCAAATGCACTGCACCGTACGTACTCGCTCACAACTAATTAAAAGGGAGTGCATGCAAGCTGCAAAGCATGAGATTCCCATACTTCCTATAATCAATTTTAATCTTTACCACGGATTATACATATCTTTGTGCTTGGTAGGACACGCATTGCTGGCCCCCGTAGTATAACGCACACTGAGCTGAGCTGTGTTATACTGTTATCCTATCTCGCCAGCTTGTCACTATTACTTCCTCTCCCATTTAACCAGTTCATAGCGTGTGGCCGCCTAGGCGGGCGCCTAGCTAGATCAACGAAAGGGATTTTGATTGCACGTCACCGGGAGAATGTTTTCTGGCATGTTCTCGCTGTTCATCTACATGTGTGTTGTTTTCAAATTTAGTGATCGATTGCCAGTTTTTGTTGGTGTGTTTCGTGTGGGGTTACGTACTGTTAATTTGGACGCACGACTCACTTGTCGCGTGATTAGCGGGCACAGCCGCATCGGCGATAGCAACCCGGCCCTGAAACAAAATTAACACGTTCACGCGGGGGTTGAGTGCGATGGCAGCGTGCGTGTGTGCTACGGTGGATCGAAGCACGCACGCACGCACGACAACGCCGCCGCCGTAACGATATTGTAAGACCGAGACACTACTCTAGTTTGTCAAAAAAAAAAGTGCGGAATTTTTTCCAAGCGTCGACTTGGGCCATCTGACTATATCTCACAGTGCGGGCACGCTTATACCTGTGCCAATATGACAATATGAGCATGGCCACCGGTCGCCGGGGACAGCGACGAGAATAGACCAGACGGCGAGGCTGCCTCCGCGGCACAGCCGCCGTCCTTTTCAGGCACAGGGCGCCCGGGCTCCTAGCGCGGCGGCAGCACAGCATGTACAGCAATGACAAGCACACCGAGCTGTGGTTTGCCCCGGACGTGTCGCGCGACAAGCTAGACCCGTTCCATCATCCGTCGCCATGGCAGGATGTTGGTTGGGCTGACAAAATCCGGGCGATTGATAGGGATACTGCTCATCCCCTGCTTCTCGCCTTCCCTAGCGGAGGTGATGGCCAACGGTGGCGAGGCCACCACCACCGGCCGGGTTCGGTTGGGCTATCTACCCATCACCTTTGTTGATGAGTTGATGTGTTCCGGCTTGGCACTTTGGCAATGTAAGTGGTCTACCTCGCCACACGTAGGAGTATGGTGCTCTGAGATGTACCGCTGGTTCAGGTTCAGTGTAGTGGGAAATGCTGGGGATGTTGGTGTGCGCTGGCCACTGGGGGTGATTGGACGTGATGGTCCGACTCGAGGGAGGGGGCGCTATGATGTTCTCGTAGGATTTTGGTCTCATGGGTTGTTAATTTGTTAGTATGTTGGATGTGATGCATGGTGCTTAACGGGCGCGCGTGTGTCGACTCTTTATTGGCGATCGTCTGGGCCAAAGCTCACAAAATGGATGCTCTGCTATGGAGTACTACTCCTATAGCTCTACTCCTGGCTCGCTGTTCTTTTGCTCGATTTGCAGTGTCGCACCAGCGCACGGCTTTTCATACTGCGACTTCTCTCATTTTGTTCTTTCATGAACGAAAAAAATTAAAAAAAAGAGAGAGAAAAACTCACGTTTTGTTCGTATGCTGTTTCTGTTTGGTTCTTGATGGCTAGTATTACTCCTACCACCAAACCAATGCGATGGCAGCAGCTTGGACAGATCCTAGAGCAGACAGACAGAACACACAGTACAAAAACCACTCCCGTGGATTCTTAAAGGTCGAGAGGCATGAACAGTGGAAAACCCTGTGATGAGTAACCAACCTATCTACGAGCAACCTTAATAAAGTGGGACATGCTGATTAAGCGAGATGTTAGTGGCATGCAGGAGTACAAGCCTACAGGGTTGTGGGGGTCCGTCCGTCTCTCGGCCAAAGCTAAAGCGGCTGCTGCGACGTCACGTTCTGCCGCCTCGCGCGGCAACCGCATGTTGCCGCAAGGCCCCAAGGGATCTCTCTCTCTCTCGTTCGCTCCATGCCTCCATCCACTGATCCACTCATCCACCCATCGATCCATCGACCGATCGCGCGCCCTGCCGAGGCAGCCTTTGCCTCCACCCGCGGTCGGCCGCGGCGCGGACACGTTACAAGCGCAGCAGCGCGCACACGACCGGGCAGCGGTGCAGGCGGCATATCCGTGTGCCTCTGCCTCCTCCTCCTACCGCTGCCAACCTGGCGTCGCACGTACGGGTGCGTGCAGGATCGCGCGGGTCGTACCACGTACCACGTTGTCTCCGCTTTTTCCCTATCCGATATCTCGTCTGCACGAGACTCCCACGTACGGGTGCTTGCTTGTTAGCCTCGCTGGCTCTTAACAGATTAATTAACCAAGGCGTTGGGGATCGGAGGACGCACGCACGCAGGCATGTGGTTGTAGGAGTAATCTGCTACTCGCTCTGGGAGAATATGAGCACGTCCCTGTCGCCAGATTGATCCATCCACAGCTGATTAATCATATGACCTCGAGGCTTAATTCGCTTTTGTTTTTAGGGCTCTCTTTCGAGACCTTATAGGGTGGTCCGCCCTATCGGTGCAGTGGCTCCCTTTGGGTCAGTTGTTCGGGCACGTACTAAATATTTTCGGTTGCTTTTGTCCAAAGTTGTTCGAACTTACGTGGTGGTTGGAACTTTGGAAATCTTTGATCTGTGAAGATTGTCAGTAGGATTCTAATTTCTATCCTGGAGTTGTTGCTCGGTTTCAGTTGTTTGAAACCTTACCCAGATTAATCTCTTCAAATAGCACTAGCTAGCTACGACAAGCAAGAACGCGTGCGTTGCGCATTGCAGTTTTCACTTTTCAGTGCCGATTCGCCTGAAGCCTGAAGGATCGATTTGTCATGTCTGCAGATACGATCAGATATTCCAATGCATCGGCACGTCGAGCAGATGGCCAGGTAGTAGTGCAGGTACTAGTGTGGCCGATAGCAACAAGCTAGTTCAATTCGATCGTGCAGTGGGGCGGCTAGAGAAGATTGCTCGATACATCCATCGATCTCGTCGCGATCGCTTTGCTCCCTAGTGGACACTAAGTTTGGCTATTTTCTTGTCGCCGATCAGCTCAGGATGGACGACATGCAGACATGCAGTACGTACTCCACTCTCTTTTTCTCTTGATTCGATGGATCATCGCAAGGATATATTCGATATATAGTTAGGATGCAACATATATATTTAGTATCTGGAATTATATTGCGGCTGTGATGATTTTTGTCAAGAAAATGCCGTAGTTTAAGATACTAGTAAGATCTTCCATTAGTTACCAAGCTGCTATCAGCAAACTTGCAAAAACTATAGTGGTATGCAATAATGCAATGTCCGGTTTTAAGAAAAAAAAAAGGTGCCATGGAGTCATTGACTACCTTGCAGGCTAGTAGTCTTGTGGAGTAGTACTGTAGATGCTGGACCATCCTTGGAATGATTCTCCTTCGTGCGTTTTGTCTACTGCTCACGAACAAGCTATGGTGAAAAAAAGCAGGGGCCAACTAATAATCAAACAAATCCCTTGCTTGCGTGCTAATCTGAACCCTGTTATTTTAGTAGAGACTAAGAGACACAAGTGCAAAAAAGGGGCCATGATTAAATCTATATGACCATCATATGGTCCCTGAAACCATGTACCGAAACACGATCAAACAGACAGGACAGTTTCAGTTAGCTGTAAAACATGGGCATGAGCTTTAAGGTTAACAGGCAACGTGAAGGGAGAATTGCAAAGCAACTGAAAGCCACCTGGCTCTGAGATGAATGCATGGCCTGCATCCTGGTTCCTGCTTGCATGTGACTAGCGTGTAAATCTTTGATGCAAAAGGGAAGTTTTCCCGTGAAGTACATCATACGCATCGATGAAAAAAGAGAAGGATTATGTGCACTATGGCATGGCATTGTGCGGTTTCTGTCATCATTCCGCAGTCATTTTCATCGACGACTAAATATGGTAGAGCACATCGGCGATGTCGAAAAACCACTAGATTTGACACCCCTGCAATGCAGAGCGATCCGTTTACTGCACGAAATTTCGAAGAAGCGGGCTGTCCTCGCACGCACTCAACGGAACCAACACAGATTGCACTAGCTGCACAGGTTTCTTCAGAAGTTCAGAGTTCAGCCACTCGTGCGTGCATTGCTGCTGCATGTGTTGGTCCCATGTGACTTGCCAATTGCCATAGGATAGAGCCAGCCAAGACTTGAGATTAGATGATTAATTCCTCCCGTTCCATAAACTAGGAGGAGCATGTACACGGTTTCGAGATCAGAGAAAGCGAAAAGATGAGCAAAGCTAAAGAAAGAACGAAGTCCTAGAGAGAGAGAGAGGCAAGCAAGCAGGATACAGACAGCGGCAGAGACATGGGAGCAGAACAGAGCAGACAGCTGGTACAGCCGATCGAGCCGAGGCCTGTGTAGCCGTGTGTGGTTGGATCGGATTGGATAGCCAAGACGACGAGCGGTTGCGAGGCCGCGGCGGTGGTGATCCCGAGAGAAGAACACGATCCATCATGAGAAAACACGAGACATGAGAGAGCGCGCAAAGCGAGCATCCCGCGCGCGCGGTTGCACGCCGCCCGCGGACGGACACGGCCTCTCACCCTTTCGCTTCTTTCGATCGATCTCTCTTTTGCTTTTCGGTGGGCAGCCACGCACGCATCATCTGCGTTCTGACGCTAAGCCATGCTCACACCTCACCTGCTACTGTAGTACACGTAGTAGTAGGAGTGACTGAATGACAGAATGAGAGATGCTCCTTCAGGTGTCTGTCCGTCTTTGGCTGCTTGCCTTTGCCTGCCTGACCATCTACAGTGCCTGATCTCTTGATGAACCAAGCACAACCGGCTCCACAGATGGACATTATTCTGAAGATCCAGACATCACCATGCTAGTGTGTTTATTAGCTTCGAGAACTGATCAAAGGTGACCAAAAGCAAAACAAAAACAATAATAATGTTTAGCTTGAAACTGTGTAATAGTACTATGTATAGCTACTTATACTTGACTGAACATTTTAGTGTGAATCTTGCATTCAAAGTCAGACATGCTCATCCTTACAGATCTCTGTCGATGATCGCGGCATGTTCATCGGTTGCCAATGTTGGCCCCTTGGGCTGATCGTACGAATCCCAAGAAACGGAAAGAAGCTTAGGAAGCAACAGATCCAAGAAAACCAGAGCAGGGCAGCATCATTCGCATCAAAATACGTGCGATGCGTGGTAGGATTTCATGTAGTATATGCACTATTTCCGCTTTCTCTTTTCTTCACTCCTTTTACTGCAGTTGGACGGCGCGCGGCCGGATTTGTTCAGAACAGACCATATATAGTTTCAGCTCTCTGAAGCATACTACTACTCGGTTGATTGATTCGTTTCAAAATCAAAGACGATTACAACTAGGCAATTTGTTGCTGACTGTCTTACTTGTTGCACACTGCACATCCGCTGCATATCGAGCAAACTAAAAGGCATTACATCATGTGCCATCGTAATAATTTCAGATGTTTAGCTGTAACAAAGCAGTCCATCATGCGTTTTGTTGCAGCGTTGGCCCGCGAGTTTCGTCTGACACTGTCGCCCACGCTCGCATCAACAACCACTCCCACGTGCGGCACTTCCTTTTCCTATTATCCTCGGCTCCTCATTATCTTCTTGCCTTTCGGTTAAACCTTACACAAACTTAGATATATATGAACAACCTCTGGTCTACTTTTATTGTATGGGTTAGGTACTCTCCGTCTTAAAAAAACTCAATCTAGAAGAGATCATCACAACGAATCTAAACATCCTTTTATCCATATCTATCTATCTATCTATTATATTATATTATTAAAGTAATAGAAAAAGGAGCCTCCACGTTCGCTCTTATGGCCTATAAATTCTCACATTAATCAGAAAAAAAGAAAAGGCAGAGTCCATATAGAAATACAATTTAGAAATAGCTGAAATTCGGAATTAAAAAATAAGGAATATTATAATAGAAGACTAGAGTCCATATAGAAATACAATTAGGAAATAACTAAAATTCGGAATTAAAAAATAAGGAATATTAGAAGAGGAGATTAGAGTCCATATAGAAGTAGAGTATAGAGTCCATATAGGATTTTTAAAACTAACTAAAATTTGGAATAAACACAATAAAATTAAAAATTAAAAGTAGAGTTTAGAGTTCGTATAGAAATACATTTTACAAATAACGAAAATTCGAAATTAAGAAAAACATGGGAAGAATAGTTTAAAGTCAATATAGGAATACAATTTAGAAGTAACTGAAATTCGAAATTAAAAATTAAAGAATATTGAAAGATAAATTTAGAGTCCACATAGAAATACAATTTGAAAAAATAAAAATTTAGAAATAAAAATAAATAAAATTGGAAGAAGAGCATAGATTCTATATAGAAATACAATTTACAGAAAATTCGGAATTAAAAACAATATTAAAAGACGAGTCTAGAGTCCATATAGGAATATATATAATTTACAAATAACTAAAATTTGATATTAAAAATAATTAATAACTAAACGTATATAAAATACAATATGAATATTACACATTAGTAGTTTTGTAAAGTTATTGCAAAATTTAAAATTATGTTGTCATTTTAATATATTTGAATAATATAATGATAAAACATATATGCTATTATATGAGAGAGAATATAATGATGCTAGGCGTGTAATCTGCGCGGGCCACCATGCTAGTTTGTTGTAATAGGAGGGGTCATATTAGTAGGGTTTTTTTTGGACGGAGGGATTAGCGGCCAGCGTAGGAATTTTTATGTACGTTTATAGAGGATTCAATAGCTAGATTCTACAAAATGGGATGCGCTCGACATGATAGCGCAAAATTTGACAGCATTGTCCATTTCCATCAAGGCCCATTCTAAACTGGAGTAGGAATTTTCCGTCCAGTAATAGACGAGGCCCATACAAACAGCCATCAAGGCCCAAAGGCCCAGAAATATCACCGACATAGCATTGAGTTCCAAAGCCCACTCCGATTTGGGTTGCCTCTCCAAAGGCCAAACCGACTTGGATTGCCTCCCGAGTCACGCAGCCTATATAGCTTGGACCCGGGCGTGAGATGAGACCAAAAAATTTTGGCGAGGGCGAATCGTACGTCGGTTTCGCCCCCCACCGCTCGCCGATCAAATCCTAGGCTTGCGTGAGAATCGCCGCCGGCGAGGCCTCCGCGGCCGAGAGGGGAGGCCCCACCCTTCCGCTCCGCCGCCGGCATCTTGCCGAAGGAAGCGTCCGTGCAGCCGGGTCTGCTCCGCCGTCGCGGATACAGTAGGGGCTCTCTCCTCTCATTGACTGATTTGACCTGAATTGGTTAATTTCTTTCAATGGAATTGGGTCGCCTAGAACTGAGCTGCGATTGGTACGGTGAAATTTTTGGCGGGTTTTGATTTGATCAAATATGGTCGAATCTTATTCGAACGAGGGGATCGCTCAGATTTGTTTGGGCATGGGCGATTTTGCTCTTTTACCTCGTTGGTTATGGAGGTGGGTTAGGGGGATGCACATACCTAGTTAAAAAATTTAACTCGTTTATCAAGGTAAATGTTGATGATCAAATGCCAACCTTTGAATTGCCGCTTCTGAATTCCTGAATCTGAAACCCTTTTGTGGGATATCTGATGAATCCCTCCCTGAATCTCCCAAAATTTTGTGTATCTACTGAATCTGAAATCCTTTTGGGTTTGATGTTTGATGCTTTGTACAGGATGATTCACCATCCGTCATCGGTTGTTGATCTTTTAATTGACTCTGTAAAACACAAATTTGACTACAATGTGCCTTGGAACTCAGAATGTGGCTTCATTAAGGACACATACTTTGCACCAAATGTATTTTATAATGGTTATCAGGAAACCGTCGGGATAATGATTCTTTGCACCAACTGGAACTTATTTTTGCCAGTCAAATGGACTTGATGTATTGGGTTTGGATACACATTGAAACAAATGTTATATTGTGATATGTCTACCTGCTGCTTCAACATGCTTGTGTGCGTGTTACTTTTCGCTAGTGTCTGCAGATGTACAATATTCAGTGCTTGTAATCTTGGTTTTATTCAGATAATGCGGGCATTTCTGTTTTCTATTTCATGCTTATATATGTATGGTTGCAATGTTCTAAACTAAATCGTGCTAAATTTCTTTATAGATGGCTCTTCATGAGCGGCTGAACAAATTTAGACAGCAGCAGGAGAGGTGCCAGACAACTCTATCCAGTATTGCTGCAAACCAAGCTTCAACTCCAAGATCAAATATCACTCGATGGGTTCAACCAACAAATGGTCCATCCACTCCAGCAAAACCACCACAGCGTAAATTCTCAGATGATACAGAGAGGTTGCAGCGCATCAATTCAGTTAGGAAGTCTCCTGCTGCAGCACAGATCAAAATAGTAATTGAATTGCTTGAAAAGGTAATTTAGCAAAAAGTTGATCGTGAGAGTTGAACTTTTGGCCTTATGACATTTTACCTGAACTGATTTCCCTGTTTTTCTTAAACCTGCAGACAAGACAGGCTTTAACTGCAGATCAAATAAATGAAGCAACTTATGTTCATATTCATGGCAACAAGGAGGTCTTTGACAGGTTGAAGAATAATCCGAAAGTACACTTTGTCGGCAACCTTTTCTCTTACAAGGTAAGTGCATCATTTTGCTAGCCATGTCAATGAGTCCAACACATTTCATGAATCAACCTCATGTTAACCTACTGTTGGCATCTTTGCAGTCCAAGTATGGTGTGAACGGAAAAGATAAACTATTATCGTTGATTAGAAAGTTTCCTGACGGTCTTGCTGTCGCGGAGATCAAGGATGCTTATCTAGCTGTATTGGAAGATCTTAAGGTGAGTAATGTGTTGTTATTTAATCTTTGAAACCTGATATAAAGCTCTGTCTACTAGTATTTTACTCCCTTGTAAGTCATTCTAGCATTTCTCACATTCATATTATGTCTAGATTCATTAACATTAATATGAATGTGAGAAATGCTAGAATGACTTACATTGTGAAACGGAGGAAGTAGTTCAACTATTTTTGCATGCTGTGATGATGTCTGAACTCAGAGTAGTAGTAGTTGAAAATCCAGCAGACCTAGTGTAGCAAAGACTCGAGATTTTCAAACAAGTTATAAATTGAAACTATCCTTCCTTATGTGCGCATTCAAGTGCTGTTACCCTGTTCTATATTAATCCCTGTACTCATTCCCCTGACATTGATTTTAATGATTTATTATATGGATAGAAGATTATTTTCATACTGTTTGCATGTGATCAACTGATCATCTGTAGTGAATTCAACAAATGTGCGCTCCCTATGATATTAACTTGTTTTTTTGTTCTTTTTCAGGCTCTCAAAGCCTCAGGCGTCGTCTGCTTGGTGGCGTCCACCACAAAATCCGACGAAGGCGTCGTGTACCCCGAAATTGATCCAATGTCGAAAATCAAGTTCGACGATGACTTGAAGGAGCTGGCCCGTTCGATATTGCTGCCACGGGACATGCTGGACATTGAGAAGGAGCTCCAGAAGAATGGCCAACCAACAAGGACTAACGCAGCCAAGAGGCGAGCAGATGCCCAGATCCTTTTATATCCACCAAAGCCCAACAAGTCCAAGAAAAAGCCGCGTGGGCTCACGAGCAGGACGAAGCTCACTAACGCACATCTGCCTGGACTTTTTTTGGGTTTTAGATTTTTTTTTTAATATTTACAGAAATAATCTATCGACCAAAAAAAATTGCAGAAATAGCCCCTGCCGCCCACCTCTGGGGCGGCAAGCAGACGTGGCAAACGGGGGAGGAACGGGCGGTGACGGAGGGAGGGTTTTTTTGCAGGAAAACCCTTGCCGCCCTCTGGTGGGGCGGCAAGGGGCCCGAATGTAAAAAAGCCAGTCGGGGCCGGCTATTTTGCAGGCGGCCCCTTGCCGCCCTCTGGCCGGGCGGCAGGCCTCGTGTCACGCCCCCGAAGTAGCCCCGACCGGAACTAGCCCGTGACGCTCCAAATTAACCTGTTAATCGATACCAGTCCCAGGAAACAGTGTTGGTATCACAGGGAGACAGAGTATCACAGCAACAGAGGTCTCTTTATTATAGAGTAGAAGTACAGTCATGTTGGGCTGCGGACAGATCCCGAGCTCACAACTGCAATACAAAAGGAAAGCGGAAACCAGGACTTGGACCAATCATCACAGGCGCGACTTGGGAACTAGGCCGAAACCCTAAAACTCATCGTAGCCGACTTGCTCCTGGAAGAACTCCTCGTCAGCAGGATCCACTTCATCTTCTTCAGCAACTGGGGGGGAATTATTTATATAGAGCAAGGGTGAGTACGGGAGTACTCAGCAAGCCAGGGGAAATAAGTGTTTAATGCAGGCTTCAAGGAAAGGCTGTTGTTTTCGTAATTGATTTTGTTTGAACTCTTTTCTAAAAGGTCTAAGTGAGTGCTTCTCAAACGACACGGTTGAGACAGTGCGTCTCGTCCGGTCGGAGTATGTGCAATGTATCAATCTTTAGGAATTGCAACACGGTTGGCACCCGGCCAACAACTTTTCAAACGGCCACCCGGGCCAACAACTTTTCAAACGGCCACCCGGGCCTAGCTGATCCCATCAGCTGCAGATTTTTCAAACATCGAACCCCTTTTCACAACAGCAATTTCACAAGCAGTAGTCAAACAAAACTACGCTAGGAATCACCTCACATCCGCCCATGACCGTGGGCACGGCTGTTCGAACAGTTTGTTAACCTCTGCAGAGGGGGTACACTTTACCCACACGACATTACTAACCTGGGTCACCCAGCCCGTGGGGATCAACCACGTCGGGAGACCTCCAAGCTTTCATGACAAGGCATTTCGAAAGCCGACACAGGTTTACCATATGCCGACGAGAGGGGTCCCAGACCAACAACAGGTTAGGTCCCAGACCATACTGTGCCAGGAAGCCCAGGGGTCCTCCCCGACACCACCCCGGCGAATCCACATGTCTCTCGGCATCAAGGCTCCCCTGATAAGCTAGTTACTCAGCCAGGGGTGTCCCATTCCACCCATGTGGTCGTACTTGTCTTATGTTTGGATGAAATTCCAAGGAATCGGTCCTTAAGTGCGAGAGCGGGAAACCGTACACCCGGTACGTTCCCCGGTCCGCGGTTTTGGAAATTCATTTAGTTCGCAAGCACCGACCCAGGTGTCGGGTTTTCCAAGTCTTTTGTAAAACTCCAGTTTTACCCAAGTTGTTACTCAGATTTTAAGTTTGAAGGCGACCGTCGATACTTGCACAGAGTGCACGAGTATCGAGGCGCAACTGGGTGGCTACAAGGGGACATGGTATAGCAATTAACAAAGGAAGGATCAAATGCGACAAATTAGGTAGGTCCGCCAATCTGCCTTGCAGACGGGACAAAACAGATTAAGTGTGATCCTATCAATGCATAATATTTCGCAAGCAATATAATTAAATTTCAAATATAGGCTCAAGATGTTCAAAGGTGGCTTGCCTTGCTCGAGATCTGGAGCTTGATCCTCGAAATCCTCGCACTGCGGGTCTTCGGGCTCCGAAACTACATGCGAAACGGGACAACTCAACAAACGGCGAAAATAAAGCCCTATTAATGACCTCTAAGCGTGCCACTAGATAGATCTCGAGATTTGGGAAATTTTGGAAGTTGAACGGGGTCAAACGGATTTACGGTTGGGAAGATTTTGAATTTCTAAGATTATTGGATTTTTGGTCTAAAGGAAAAGGATTTAATTAAATCCTTTTTGGAAAAGAAAAAGAAAAGGAAGGAGGGAGGGAATATAGACTTTTCTCGGACAGCTAGGGCGCGGCCCAAGAGAAATGGAGCGGAGCGGCCGATCTTAACGGGCCGGCCGGCCCAAGAAGGCGGCCCAAGACGGTCGCGCGCGCGGGAGGGAGGAGAGAGAGCCGGTGGACCGGGCTCACCGCGCGCGGTCCCGGGTGGGACCCGCTTGTCAGCGGCTCGGCTCACCGTGCGGAGGGAGCATGCAACGCACGCGCGCGGGCGGGGACGGGACGCGGTGCATGCGCGCGGTCCGCGGTGGACGCAGGTGCGGCGGGCCCACGCGCAGCCTCACGGCTCGCGGTGGATCGCGCGCACGCGGAGGGACCGACCGGGGTCGGCCCGACCCGGTCTAGGCTGAGCTGGCGCCGACGTGGCGCCTACGTGGCGGCCACGCGGGCCGGCGGGAGGTAGACGACGACCCGGCCGCGAATGGACGGCGGGCGACAGCGGCGAGCGGCGGAGCGAGCCACGGCGATACCGGCGAAAGCGCGCACACCGGGTGGCTGCACAGGACGAGGGGAGACGAGCCAACGGCTCGGATTCGCCGGAGGTTGCTCGACGGCGGCGGATTGCGGCGGCGGCAACAGGCGGCGGGAGAAGAGGAAAACGGCGACGAAGCTACGAGGGGTCGATTCCCGGCGGTGAGAGCATCTACGCGGCTTCGGGCGGAACTACGCCGAGCGAGGCCGGCGACGGGCGGGTGCTACGGAGCTCGGGCGGCGACGGCGGCGAGCACACGGCGAGCGACGGCAACGGTCGGGGCGGCGCCGGCTAACTACGGGGAGTCTACTCAAGCTACTACCGAAAGCTAGGGGGAGGAGATGGAGCGAGGAGGAAGAACGGAGAGAGGCATCACCGAGAAGAGGAGGGGCGCTGTGACGAGAGGCCGACGGCGCGGGAGTAATCTCTCCGGCCTCGGGCCGGGGAAGAGGAAGGAGACGAGCGCCCGGAGTCCCCTTCCGCGTCCACGAACGCACCGGCTCTCCCGGCGCTTGGCGATGGACGGCGGAGGCGAGACAGAGCACGGGAGCGGCGGCAATGGCGAGGGGGTGAATAGGAGAGGAGGGGAAAGGGGAGGCTGGGGTTTATAGGGGGGGCGGCAATGTCGGTTTGGGAACCGACTTGCGCGGTCAAGGGCGCGAGCTGGCGCTCCAGCTAGCGGCCAAAACGGCGACAGGAGGATGACGCCGGCGAGAAGGGAAAAAGGGGGGGAAAGAGGAAAAGGAGGGAGAGAAAGGGGGCTCGCCCCTTTGCCGATTCGGGAAAAGGAGGAGGGGGCGGGGCGACGCGGCAGAGGGAAGGGAGAGCTCGGCCTCCGCCTCTTGGCGGCTTGCGCGCGGAGTGGCGGGGCCGGGGGATGACGACGGCGATGACGGTGAGGTGGTTTGGAGCAGCGCGACGACACGGGCGACAGGCGCGCGAAGACGCTGACGACGGTGGCGACCGGGCGGTCGGCCACCATGGCACGCGCGCGCGGGAAGCAACGGGCGGCGTCCGCGCGGGCGCGCACACGCTGGCTCGCGGGGACGAGTGGCTGCGCGGCTGCAGGCGCGGCAGAGCGAGGGGAAAGGGAGGGGGCGCTCGGCGCGGCGGCTCACGCGCACGCGCGCGCGGCGGGCGGGCGAGGCTGAGCGGGGGAGCGGGGAGAGAGGCGCTCGGGGCGGCTCTCGCACGCGCGAGCAGAGAGCGGGGGAGGGAAAAGGAGCGCGCCGGGGAGAGGGGGGGCGAGGGAGAGAGATGGGCCGAGCGGAAATCGGCCCATCGAACCCGGGGGAGGCAAACTAGACTTTTGCGGAGGAATTTGATTTGGAGGGATTTGGATTCGGAAATGAACTCGACGATAGATCGGGGATTGAGATCTTGAGATGGCACGGACACTAGACAACAATCGAAGAAACAAATTTCGCAATTAGGGTTTTTAAGAGATAATTTTCCCGCTAGGCGCCACGACGGAACGGGCGCTACACCTCGCTGCCTATAAAAGGCCTGCTGTCCAGCCCCCAGCCCTCATTCTTCTCTCCTCAATTCCAGTGAAAAAAAAAAGAAGAGGGGGAAGGAGAAGAGAAGAAGGGGCGAAGCCCTGCCGGATTCAGACGCCGATTTCAGGTAATATTCATAGATCCTATATGTGACTATTGAGTTAAATAGTGTGTATTCTTTAAAAATTTGTTTGAATAAATGCATTATATTTTTAAGGTTTTAGTTGTACTAATCTAGAAGTGCGTATTGTAGATATCGGTAACTACGTAGATCTGCTAGTTTGGAATTAATACATTACCGTTGCTAGTTGTATCATGTTCAAATTGTACTACTATTTCTTCATGTTACATAATTCTCCTTATTTAAGTCCATATAATGTTTCTACGACCCAGACTGCGATAGGCCTATATAAATTATCCGAGTACTAATACGTCGAATAAGGTACAAAATAATACCTCACTTAACATATGAAATTGCGCAACAACCAACTTCAATACATTTTTATAACAATATTAACAAGTTTTACCAATAAATACTTCTTTATTTATTATTAACATAACATAGAAAAATCTTTTGGCCGTACTTTTTTCATCTGGGTCCCTTGCCGCCCCAATAGAGGGCGGCAAGGGACCCAGATGAAAAAGTACGGCCGTAAGCTCTTTATGGGCGGCCAAAATTGCGATTAGGCCCTTGCCGCCCTCTGTACGGGCGGCAAGGGCCTAATCGCAATTTTGGCCGACGGCGGCAGACGGCGCGGTCAACCCACCGTCTGCCACGTCAGCTTGCCGCCCACCATTAGGGCGGCAGGGGCTATTTCTGCAATTTTTTTAGTCGATAGATTATTTCTGTAAATATTAAAAAAAATCTAAAAACGAAAAAAATTCCATCTGCCTGAGCTGTTCATGGACCTGAAAACTTGAAGCTTGCAGATTCTAATCGAGCATGCAAAATTCCTACTCCAATACGAACTTCCTTTTTTGGTAGCGAATCCTGAATGGGAAATGACCATTCAAGATAGTTAGCCGCTTCTTAGAATCCCATGTAGTAACATTGAGAAGTAAAATTGCTTCTGGCGAATTAATCTCCATCCAAAACTCAACCGGAAAAAAGTGTCAGCTAAACCAAACAGACGTGTGATTCTTATTCGTTTTGGCGTTTTGCCACTGTTGCCACGGTATCACATCATAACTTAAGAACTACATCATCTGTTTTATGGTATCATGAACTAAAAAGAATCACCCATGGCAAACCAAAAACTGAAAGAATTTTACGGTACATTTATCGGATACAAATAAAGGTCCTGTTTGGTTACTCAGGGCTATTAAATAGCCCTTCGAAATTTTACTATTTAGAAGTATTAAGCCTGTGTTTAGATCCAAAGTTTGAATCCAAACTTCAGTCATTTTCCATCACATCAACCTGTCATACATATACAACTTTTCAATCACATCATCTCCAATTTCAACCAAAATCTAAACTTTGCGCTGAACTAAACACAGCCTAAACGTAGATTACTGACAAAACACGTTCCATAACCCCTGGGTTATTTTACGAGACGAATCTAAAGAGGTATAATAATCCATGATTTTGCTACATTGATGCTACAGTAATCATCCGCTAATCATAGATTATTATACATCTTTAGATGCTACAGTAAAATTCTTTCGATGCGTTGGAAAAGGTTAGAGATAACTCTGCTGGTGTACTTACTGATCCAATCGGAGGACCAGGAGAGAATCTTGTCCTGGAGATTTCTTGTCTGCAACGGACACGATTGAAAGTTGACGCTGCAGCAATGCGTGGGACTTTTGATCTGCACCGTCCCCTCTCGATTAGATCCCCCCCGGTCAATTCCTTGCAGACAAAAGAAGAAAAAAACACACAGGATCGCCTTTTCTTTTTGGCATCTTTCAGGTGCAAAGGCCCAAGTCTCCTGCAGGCAGGCAGGTACTCCAGCAGCATCGGCTGCAGCGACGACACGGCAGTGCCCGGGCCGGACCGGCCGCAGGCGCTAGCTGCTGCTGTGCAGCTGCACTGTGCGACAACAGTGAACTTATTTTTGTGGATTGGACGAGGTGCTGCGTGATGCCACTTTTGGCACGCACATTTAAAACCCGATTCCCGCATACGAGTCCCTCGCTTTACCTGCTGCGTTTTGTTGGGGTTCTTCAGGGTCTCCCTCTGGGTACGTTACGAGTAGTACGACACTGCATGCCAACACACGTAGTACGAGCTACAGTACTGCTTGAACGACTGTGTGCTCATACGTACGAAACGTACGAGCAAACTAGTCACCGTTACTCGATGGCACGACGTGGTCTCGCCGTTTGCCAACATATTCTGAAGTACTCCAGTAGTAACGAGCTACTACTAGTAGTATGTCAAATTGCAGGTGTTTTACTTGGAGGAAATGATCGAGACAAGATTTTACTACTAGTACTACTCAGTTTCGCCATCATAAAATACAGTAAAAATCCGGAGAAATCGTATGCTTCCGGTGGAGCTAGCGCATATATAGAGCATGCATGTTAAAACCGTTACAAAATGCGGCAAAATTGTCGCCACCTTCGGGGGGAGAAGATGCCAACCGTGAGACACGCATGCATCACGCCCTGCACAGCTTTGGGCTCACATCAATATATATGCGCGCACCGCACGCGCCCCCGGGTCCGGTCGTCACATGCGTAGCAGTCTCCCGCCGCTAGTGCACAAAAGCACTAGTACCACGCATGGCAGTATGGCGCTAACCACGTACTACTACGTGCGACGACGACGCGCGTGCGGCACAGTAGAAAAAAAATATTGTACTAGCAGAGATCGCGGGAATGGAATTAAAAATCAGTCGTTCCACAGCGCGAACACCGGGAGCTGGTGGTGCACGGTGGTCGGGATGCCGGCGACCGGGCGCGCCGCGGCGGCGGCGGCGGCCATCCAGTTGGTGGTGGCGCCGTCTCCGCCGCCGCCGCCGCTGCTCTCGCCGGCCTCGAACTTCATGGCGTGCGCGTACTGCAGGCCGTGCAGCAGGTGCGCGCCGCGGTGGCCGTCGGAGGCGGTGTCCGAGTTGTCGGACGCGCCGCCGCCACCGGCGCTGATCTGCTGGTGGTCGCCCGGCGCCACGACGACGTCGACGCCGGCGGCGCCGGCCGGAGCGTCCGGTGGTAGCATGCGCGTCGGGGAGCGGCGGCACGCGAGGTCGCCGCCGATGAGGTGGGTGCTGGAGCAGATGCGCTTCACGTCGTACTTGCTGATGTCGAAGTTGGTCACGGCGTTCAGGCCGCGGAACTTGATCGCCGCTATGTCGTACGCCTCCGCCGCTTCCTCCTGCGTGCCTGCGCGGTGTCACCGCGTTTTCAATTCACCAAACCATATCCAGAAAACGATAGGCAAAAATATCCAAAAGTAATTTGGTCTGACACAATATATTCACTTTCGCGTTTTGAACATCAAGATATGGCCCTGTTCAGTTTCAAAGTTTTTTTTTTCCAAACGTCCAACTTTTCATCACATCAAACCTTTCATACACACACAATTTTTCTATCACATCGTACCAATTTCAACCAAACTTCAATGTTAACTAAACATCTCTCCGTTCCATTTTAAGTGCAGCTATGATTTTCTGCGTTCAACTTTAATCGTCCGTCTTATTTAAAATTTATTTTAAAAAAATTAAAAACATAAGTCACGAGTAAAGTAATATTCAAATATATTCACTTTCACGTTTTGAACATCAAGAATATGTAATACTTCATCCGTCCCATTTTTAAGTGCAAACATGATTTTCCGCGTTCAATTTTGATCGTCATCTTATTTGAAAAGAAAATTTAAAAAATTTAAAAACATAAGTCACGAGTAAAATACTGTTCATGTTTTATCATCTAATAAAAAAATTACTACAAAGTTAGACGCGAAAACTTATGGTTGCACTTAAAATAGGACGAAGAAAGTACTACAAATACTGACATGATCACATGATTACAGTTAGATTAGCAATAGTGGCATGAGTATTACGTAGTACTAGTATGCATGTGAACAAAAGTATACTGAAACAAAACTTACTGAAGGTGCCGAGATACAGGTCCTTGTTCCCTGCGACCCTTCCAATCCTTGCCTGCCATCTCCCGTGCTGGTGATGCCTGCATGCATGGGGAAAGCAAGTGCAACAGGAGAGATTACAAAACATGCAATTGCAAGCAGATCGATCGATGCGATGCAGCGATGCGTGTGTGTGCGTTTGTTTGTGAGATCAGAGCTTCAGAACTCCCAGAAGTTCTTGGTTGATGAAAAAGTCTGCAGATATGGGGTAGCGGCACGGCACCTCGTCACCCCTCTGTACATGGATGCTCCCCTCGAGAAGCCACTGCTGTTCCTGCAAGAATAAATTTGGCAGAGAAAACTTGTGTAAGTTATCGCAGCGTTGGCAAGTGTGCACGGATGTTTGATAATTTTGGATGCATTTGTGAGTGAAATCATGCTGTCAGATTAGGTGGTACTACAAATTTTGTTTCTGTACTAGTAGCAGTGAACTTCAGGTTCAGATTACTTCAAACAAAAAAGATCAAGTTCAGGATTCTGAAAAGAATTCAGAGTAACAAATCATGGATTATTGTAGTAGGATCTTGATTATTAAATATTGTAACGAATCACAAATTTGTTGCACTCTTGCATCTCTGTCATTCAGTGGTGCTATTGATATGAAGAGAAGGGTAGAAAGACCTACAGTACCTTCTTAAGTGGGCAATGAACTCCTGCCTTGTCATGTGCTTCATCTCCTCCAGCTCCTTCTCATAAGTGCTCAACTGAATGCCACACAGCCCAGTGTTTCAGAGAACAGAGAAAAAGCATGAAACATCTACTGGACACTTGTACTAACATTTCATCAGAATCAAATTAAAGAACGCAGGAACGAAACGAACCGGCCCCTACTGGATCCTTTATTTCCATTGTCTTGAATTGAAAAGAGGAATGGAGTGAATGCGATGTGTTATCCAACTGTACTTACTGGAAAATTTATGTGAGTTGTTGGACCCCAGTACTTGAGTGCTGCCAAATCATAAGCCCTTGCAGCCTTCTCCTCCTTGTCATAGCCACCTTCAAACAGCCATGGCACAACCAGGAAGCAGTAAGCAGGAAAGAACAATGTTCACAATTCTACTAGTGGAAACTCCTAAGTTGCATGCGAACTTTTAGAACCAATGAGAGTAGTGATATCTTACCTAAGTAAACTGCTCGTTGGTGAGTTGCAGAAACAAGAGCATGCAAAGGTTGATGTCAGTAACATGTCCAAGTAGAAGTTGCAATCATTCAGTTTATCATTGTGGATAGTAATAGTAGCAAAGGTGATAAATTTGCTCATGATATGGCTCACCTTGCCTTCCTTTCCTGGTCTGGCCTTCCTTCCTGCAAGTGTTGTCCCACAAGTGAGCCTCGTATCTTCCAGTCCATCTATGTCTGAAAAAAATGATGAGCACGTAGACATGGATCAGTGAGACACGCCGGAAGCAATGGAGAAGCAGCAATGTCGTCACCAACCTGGTGACGCCACGGAACTGTGACGTCCTCTGCCCGAACGTCTGAGCGGGCTTGCGGACCACCGGCATCGCCGCCGGCGGCAGCGGCGCCTCGCTCGGGGGAGCGGCCGGCACGGAGAGCGACAGCGCCGCCGCTGACCGTTCCGGCACGTACATTGCCTGCCGGAGCCACGACTTGATGCCGGAGATCGACATGGATCCGTCGACGACGCCGCCGCCGCCGCCGCCGGCGTTGTACATCGGCGCCGGCGCCATTGGGTTCGGTGGGCCCAGGAAGTACTGGCCATGGGGAGGCAGGAAGATATGGTCTTGCTGCGGCGGAGGTGGTCGGTGGTCCGGCAGGACGCCTGTGCAGCCTGCCGGTGGCGCATTCATGTTGATGTCGATGCCAACGCCGCTGCCGCCATGGCCGTAGAAGTACGGCGTCGAGAAAGCTTGGACGTCATGGACATGATGGTATTTGATCTGGTCGGCGTGGCCGCAGCTGCTGCTGCTGCTGCTGCCGTACAGGTTGCTGCTGCTTTTGTTGCTGTAGCTGACGCTCATGAAGTCCTCAAGCTTGGGGTCTTTGGCCTCTGCATGCCTCCAATCTGCACAGTGCCGGTACAAACAAGAGACAAAAACAAACGGAAATCATTCTGCATGCATGCTGCCCTTTCTTTAGCAAATACTGTACAGATCAAAGGGCTGGTGATTTGAAGACATAAAATGCGATGGACCAGGAGGTCTTGCATGCAGACCTACGTTCGATACCACTTTCAGGACCAGTTGAGAAGTACAGTGCAAAATAAAGTGAACAAAGTGAAGTGCCTTTGGAAGAGCAAGTTCTAGTAGGTACAGGACATATCTGAAGATTCTGAACTTTTAATTAGAGATCATCCGTATCTCTCCAAATGACATAGATGAACTCTCATTTGCGGCATTTCATGTACCAGTACTAGTTTAACTAAGAAAGATATATATGCACCACAACAACACCAGCGAGTCAGCAAGCTGGAGGAGGACAAGATGAACATGCAAACATTCTTTCTAGAACAACAAATTCACAATATGACATAGGAGTACTTATCTTTAAAAAAAACAATATGACATACTTACAAAAAAAAAAGGGGAAAGGAGCATTGAACACAAACTCATCTTTGCTGAAAACATGATTGAAAAAAGCCTAGGTTTTCCTCGAGGTAAAATCATAAGGAACAAATCACAAAATTTCCTGAACTTTTATCAAACACACTTGTATACACCTACTCAACTATCATACTCGATCATACCTGGAGCATCATAGTGCACAGATCCATCAGAGTGCAACGGCATAGCCACGAGAGGTGAAGCTGCAACAGGCGACGAGCACGAGCCATCTCCATCTCCACCTCCATTTCCCTCACCACAGCCGTCTCCATAACCCCTCGCCGAGGAAGAAGACAAGGAGAAGCCAAGCCAACCACTGTTCATGTCCATCTCGATCTCTCTCCCCAAGACACCGAAAGCAAGATGAAGCTCGGAGACACACACACACCAAAAGGAAAGGTTCTTTGATCTTTCCCGGAGTCTGTAGCTTGCAAGCAAGAAAGCAAAAGCTCTAGCTATAGCTAGGAGATTGGTGCTCGAACTACGAAAAGAGCCACCCTTTTTGACGTTTATATACGTGCGAGCTATATATGGCCATATGCGTGTGTGTGTGTTTTGGTTGGAATGGTATGAATGCAAAGAGAGAGCTACGAGTAGTGTAGGTGATGAGAGAGGGATAGAGATGGAACGAGAGAGGCCATACAAAACAAAGTTTTGGTGTGCGACTATGCAATGCATTTGCATGGACGCATCTGCGAGAGTGTGTGGTCCAGCGTTTTCTTTTTGTGTTGGGGTCTGTGCCACCATAGATACGTCTTGCAGTGTGGCAGCTGGGGTCTGGCATGGCGAGACGCCTGACGTCTATCTCTGGACATCTTTGGGCTCAGCCATCAGCTAGCTTGGGCTTTTTTGGGTCCTTGTGTTTTGCGAGTCTCCCTCTCTCTCTCACGTGCCAAACTCAGGGATCTGGGATCACATGCATGCAAAGAGAAATGCGTCGAATCTTCTCAGGTGATTTGGTGATCCAAAGGCAAGGAGAGTTAAATTTAGAGGCCTCGTTTTCTTCGAGTGTGTTTAGGTAGTTGTTGGTCACATATCCGTGGGGTTAACGCGTCGCCCGTGCATGTTCCATTGGAAATCGATGTTTGGCAGATCGTTTTTTTCAATACCGGTTGTGATTTCGTATCCCGAGAAAGAAAAAAACGAGTGTTATATACCTTTAAAAATTGTCATGTGGCTTGAGTTTTTGAGTTGACATCTTCTCCAAGCCAAATAACGACGGATAGTTTCACTTGAATCGAGCCAGAAAGTGCGTGATTTCCCGTGGTACGTATGCTCATGCCCACCTGAAGAACTCACGTAGAGACACGATCGGAGTAATGCTTATCTTTTGACTCAGAGTCGCAATGCATAGCCGACGACGAGTAAGGTGAGACAACTCTCAACTTATAGCCCTTGTTCTTTTCTAGGTCATGTTTTAGATTTTCATTTGCATGTTTTTTTTAGGTTTTCTAAAAATGATGTGTTTTGTACAAAAGCTTTTTATATAAAATAATCTAAATAACCTTTAAAATCATATATACTTCGTATTGTTTTTAATCATTTTATAGCTATTTCAGATGGAGTCTTAACACGAGTGCTACCATAAGCTAGCAGCAAGACCAACAGTGAGGGAGGCTCGGAAGGGGCTGGTTTTGTCAACTCGAGCGTGTTTGTGCACGGTTGCAGAGCCAACGCGCACGCATAGGTGCGTCTTGTTCATCACAGCCCCCGTTCGTTCGTTCTGTTGCGCAAAAACTCTCCGCGCGCGACATGCCGCAGTTGAACTCACAAAAGAGGAGACACATCGATGGCCGTGATAGGCCCGGACGGCGCGCGCCCCCCCGTTTGGGCATCTGTACCGCGCAGCGTCCGGCCGGACGAGGACACGCACGGCACGGGCACGGCAGCCGACGCGGTGGCCGTATGGAATTTCCCTCTGCTCTTCTTTTTTTCCACTGTGCGCGGCGAGCGCGCGCACAGTGACGCGCACCTGGATTTCCCACCTTTCGCGGCTCCCGACGACGCGACGCCGCTCGCAAGCGGCACGGTTTTCTTTCTTTCACGCCGCGCCGCGCGGAAAACCACGGCGGTGCGAGCCGCGAGCCGCGAGCGGCAGGGGAGCGCAACTGTTATAGCCAGTGCAGTGCAAACGTGCAGTGCTCAGGACGAATTCTCCTCTCCCCGGCCATACACGCCGCGTTTCTGCTAGTACGAGAATTGTAGTGTCCCCACTTACCACTTGTAGTAGTCGTCGGAGGAGTAAAATAGAGGGAGTGCGGAAAACTCTTGGCTCGAGTCGAGTCCTCTCTTTTTTCTAAATAATAGAATATAATATCTCGGCCTTTACTCAAAAGAGCTGCAGCCAATTATTACATAGTAGTAGTTGAGTCCTCTCTGTACTCCATTGCCTCTATATTGTACGCTAGTACACTACCCGTACGCAACTACTCATACTCGTTATGCATTGCTAGATATGGGACGAGAAGAGGGAGGGAGGGGAGGTGAAATTGCTAATGAGCCATCGGTCGTTGGAATTTTGGCGTCGTGATCGGTTTCCTTTCCCTTTTTACTGGGCTCGTGCGCCGGAGATCAACTCCTCTTTCTTTTCACCACTTTTTGTGGTTGTTTATCCTTTTTTTTACGGATTTTGATGGTACCAATAAGATATGCATTTGTTCATATCAAAATCTATATACGGGTATCTACATGGATTGCTTTTCTGCCAATAGAAAAGCTTATAGCATAGCGGGCATGATAGTATAATCCTATCACGCTAGTAAAAGCGGTGTGACCAAATAAAACTAACGTTGCCACACCAACGAGACCAGTGTGGCAGTCAGGGGCGAAGTTACATAGGCCGTGAGGGGTGCACATGAACTCCTGCATTTCTGTTTACAACTTAATATCTTGTTTTTGCCACATGTGCACCAGTGGCGGAGCCAGGATTTCAAAGTTTGGTATTCCCGTCTAAGCGCTGAGTCGCTGGCCGCCCCTGCCCCTCGCGGCCGCCGACCACACAACCGCCCTGACCGCCTGAGCTTGGTGGAGTGGCGGGTGCCGCCCGCCGCCCGCCACGGCAATGGCCTCCTCCTCCGTGGTAGCACGGTTCAGCTCCCGCCGCCGGTTGCCGCCTCGCTGCGCCGCCGCCTAAGGTTTGGAAATGGGGAGCGGCACGAGGGAGCCGAGCTAGGGAGGGATGGGTCACGGAGGGAGAGTGAGAGGGGGCCGTCTGAAAGAGTTGTGGCTAAGTGGGTCAACTGATGTCTGATAGGTCATGACAGAGTGGGTCAGGTTGGTAGGAGGCGTCACAAGAGGCCGGTTGGGCTGTGTTTGGATCAAAGAATTGAGGATTTAGGTGCACTAATATGTGTACATGTGTATATACTAGAAGCATACTTGTTTTTTTTTTATAAAAATGTTGGGTATTCCCGAGAATATCCAGGAATCATGGTAGCTCCGCCCCTTACGTGTACCCCCCGCTCAGCTCCCTTACGTGTACCCCCGACGGCTAGCCAAAGCGTGGCGGGACGGGCGCACAGCCGCGAGGTCACTTGGTCGCACATGTTCAATTGGTGCCCAATTTGCTGCATGAGCGTACTGCTTTGTTCTTTTGTTTTTTTTTCGTTTCACTGATCATGTGTATCTCCCGTATGTGCTTATGTTGATGGCATAGATCTTCCTCATCGTATTTCCTCAATCTGTCTTATATCGTATTTCCTCCCGCTATGCTATGTGCATGAGAGTTAAAGCTTAAATATATACTCCCTCCGTCCCATAATATAAGGGATTTTGAGTTTTTATTTGCTTTGTTTGACCACTCGTCTTATTCAAAAAAAATTGTGCAAATATAAAAAAGGAAAAGTTATGCTTAAAGTACTTTGGATAATAAAGTAAGTAAAAAAAATAAATAATAATTCAAAAATTTTTTGAATAAGACGAATGGTCAAACAGTACAAGAAAAAATCAAAATCCCTTATATTATGAGACGGAGGGAGTAGTTCAATTTCAGTTATTATTTTAATGTTTCTACATAGTAGTTTAGGATTTAAATAATTATACTTTTACATTGTGATTTAGGAAAGTGGAGTAATTGTATATTGATCCTAAGTACTAATATTTCAATTTGAAAAGTTATGGCACTAGCTCTCTGATTTTTTAATTTCATCACGTTCTAATATCTAGTACTCCTACTTCACCAGTTTTAGGGTGCGTTGGTTTGAAGCATGGAGAAAAATCCCTCGTTTTTCGTACACATACTTCCCGAACCATCGTGTGTTTTTGCAAAGATCTTCTATAGAAAAGGTTCTTTAAAAAATCATCTTAATTTATTTTCTAAGTTTAAAATAATTAATATTTAATTAATCATATGCTTTCTTCTACTTTCCTCTCCTCACAAAAATACACCGTTATTCAATGGTTCGATGTGTCTTACAATTCTGAGTATCTTTTTTATTGTGGCTCCCTTGATTTTACATTTTTAAGTAGGAATTTTTAATCACATCTCCATCATACACTTAGCCATCATCCTATAATGTTCACCGATCGATAGCCTCTCATTAGGTTGTATACCATGGCTTTAAATTCTACTCCTTCCGTCCCAAAAAGAACCAATTCCTGGCTATGAATCTGGACAAAGACTTATCCAGATTCATAGCCAGGAATTAGTTCTTTTTGGGACTGAGGAGTATGTGTCACTACACGTACGGTTGAGTGGTGCACCTCCTTCAATTTGTTCTAGCTTCGTCACTAGTAGCAGTATTGTTTTGCCATGTTAGTTCGACAGACATAGTCAAAATATTCAGATCTAGAAAATAAGTTTAAAAAAAGTTTATTTTAAAATTAAAAATTGTAAAGGTTTTAGAAAAATCGAGCGTATCAGGGGTACCCGAGGGGAGGCAGCCGTTTATCTCCCTCGGGAGACGTGCCACGTCGCTGTGTCTATCACCCGGCGACGACTGTACGTAGTACTTCACCTCGTTTGTCCTCTTGCATAGCGATTTCTTTGGAGCCAGCCACCTCGATCGCATGCGTCGTACTAGTGTACTACTACTCTCCTTTCTTTACGTGGTAGCTGGGCTGGGCTGGCTGCGTCTGCCTCTGCCGGCCGCGGCGTGGTTGCGCATCCCGCAGCAGGTAGCTACTAGCTCTCCAACAACTTCACTATTTCACTCTCCAAACCATATTTCAACAATTCCAGCTTAAAAAAAAAATCCTCCAACAGCCTCTCCAATCGAATGGCTAAGCCATTCAATTGGTCAAAACCCTCTCTTCACTGGCCAAATTTGGCCCACTAAAAGGCACTAGCCTACTGTGGGCCCCACACAAATTCCTCCTCACATCTCCTCTTTGGCTCATCGCATCGGCTCGCTTGCTATGTCCTGATGTCGACGACAGCACAGAGGAGAGAGGCGTCGGAGCTGCGACCGTCCCTGTCCTCTGTGCCATCGCCCGCCGCCGCCACCAACGAGAAGCAGAAATGCAACATAAAGGAGGGGAGCGTGGAGCGGACGAGGCTAACGAGGAGTGAATCCGGCACCAACACAGAGGAGCGCCATCACCACTGTCGTCGTCAAGGTCGCCGTCGCCATCCACCGCTACTGCCGAGGTCTTTGTCGCCAGCCGTCGTTGCCGTCGTTTGTGCCGTCGCCATTCGCTGCCATCATCACCGAGGTCGCCGTGTCTAAAGGCCTCTAGCCAAGCACGGCGTCCGCCCCCGCCGTATTCGTCCGACTCCGCCCCCCGCTGGATTCGGGGTGTGGGGGCGCGACCTCTGCCGCCTCCGTGCGGCCTCCGGCCCCGCGCGGCCTACGCCTCGGCTCCATAGGACGTCGTTGCCAAGGTCGCCGTCACCATCCTCTGTGCGGTCGCCGTCACGCACTTGCACGGGAAGAAGGCCAAGAGAAGAGGAAGAGGGAGAGAAAGAGGAGGAAGAAGGGGTAGTAGAGGCTGACGTGTGGGTCCCAGTGTCATAGGCTTATAATGGAGAGTGTTGATGGAGAGGCTGTTGGAGTGAGGAATAAGTTTGGCTTGCCAAATTAATTGGAGAGCTGGCTATATAAGTGTTTGGAGAGTCCGATTTGAAGAGACTGTTGGAGATACTCTCACTCACACTCCTTATTTTTACGCTTTCCTTCCTCCATCCTATAAAAGTAAAATAGAATATAATATTTTTTTTATATTATAAATCTAAATATATCTCTAATTATATTAAAAGTATCACATGACATTATAAGATATTTTTTCTTGAGAGAAAGGAGATATGTCGCGCCATGACATGGTGTTTAGATTTAGGGGTGTAAAGTTTTGTCATGTCACATCGGGTATTATATAGGATGTTGTATGGAGTGTTCGGACACTAGTAAAAAAACTAATTACAGAATTCGTAAGTAAACAACGAGACGAATTTATTAAGACTAATTAATCCATCATTAGCAAATATTTACTGTAGCACCATGTTGTCAAATCATGAAGCAATTAAGTTTAAAAGTTACAATATATGTAGTTATTTATTTTTTTAAGTCTATATTTAATATTTTATATAGGTGTTTAAATATTCGATGTGATAGTATGAGGGCGAAAAAGTTTTTGTGTGGGATAAGGTAGGCCGAAAAGGGTGCGGGTGCGGCCGATTGTTTTTGGAGATGGGTTCACGATCGACTGCTCGCCTTGATGGATTTGATTGATGGATAGATGGATTGATATAGATATCTCTGCAACTTGGGGTTTTGGTTCCCGAGGCTGCAGCTCGCTAGGAGTGAAGTATAGCGTGGCTGAGGCGCTGAGCAACTTCGTTCGTTCATGAAATTGCCTCCTGTTCCCTCAAGGCAATTGAGGCCCTTGACGTTAGCTGGGCTCCAAGACTGTCTCCCATGCTGATGCCTGCCATTGATCAGAATACAACGTATACTACCCATTGATCAAGATACAACGTACGGACTACTTGTATACTCCAATACTGCTAGTACTAGAGAATTCAAGGGAGGGCCTAGCTTGGTGGTGGCTTGGTTGGTGTTCAGCGCGCGTTTGACCAGTTGGGCTGGTACTGGTAGTACTTCTCGAGGAGAGGCTGACGTTAGTGACGTGAACTCGTAGCGATAGGATTAGGAGCTAATATGGCTATGCAAGAGTAGGATTAGGAGCTAATATGGCTATGCAAGAGTAGCTGGTCGATGGGAGTATAGGCGTACGTATAGCTGAGCAGAATTGATGTACTCGCATTCATGTGAGCAAGCAAATGTGGCAGATGTTTCAAGACCACACCGCAATACTGTATTGACTGATCTGCGTACGTCACTTGATCTCGTGTGGAGATAGTAGTAGTACGCTACTCTATCTGATAGTACTACCTCCGTCCTAAAATAAGTGGAATATCCGTACCAAACGTTTGACCGTCCGTCTTATTTGAAAAATTTGTGAAAATTTTAAAAATATTTAGTCACACATAAAGTATTATTCATGTTTTATCATCTAATAACAATAAAAATACTAATCATAAAAATTTTTCAAATAAGACAAACGGTCAAACGTTGAATGTGAATAGTATAAAACTACACTTATTTTGGGACGGAGGGAGTACTATCTTGGCTGTGTTTAGATCCAAAGTTTGGATCCAAATTTCAGTTCTTTTCCATCACATCAACCTGTCATACACATACAACTTTTCAGTCACATTATCTTCAATTTTAACCAAAATCTAAACTTTACGCTCAAGTAAAAACAGCCCTAGTGCACTCTACAGAGATGAATTCCACAGAAATCAATTTGATCAATTTTATATCGTCTATGTTCAGTATCCGGATTTGTATCTAAAGACGGAAACAATTGTTTGTATACGATCGAGCTCTCGCGCTGAGCCTCGCGATATGGTCTTTCTACGTCGGAGCCTTGTCACTAACAGTTACAGAATTGCGACAGAAAATATTTCAGATTTTACTGATGATCCCCTGTTGCTTCGACGGCATTCTCAGCAACAAAATCTTGAAAGGTAATTACCCTTGTAAGCGAGAAGGTGATCAAGATATATTTTGTGTATGATGTTTCAGGATTTAGTGGGCCGGTAATCTTGAAGGCTTAGGCCTTTTCTCGATCACTCAGCCCACGTAGAAGAGTAACGAGGCCTAACCGCTAACAAACGCAGAGCCCAAAACAAAGGCGAGACCCTGATTTGTTAGCGGTTAGCTAGGCACGATTTGTCATTATGGGTTGATTTGGTTTGTGGCCTAAATAGGCCTTATCAATTTTTGTCAATATTAAATTTTGGTAAGTTTTGACATGTCTAATTTTGGCAAGGTAAAATTGTGTTTGGATTGAAGCCAAATTAGCCTAAGTTCACTATTGAAATGACCTATTTTCTTAGGCATGCTAAAATTTGGCTTCAAACTAAATAGACACTAAACACTATTAAAAATATCAAATATTGGTAAGCCTAATTTAGGCCTCAAACCAAACCAACCCTATGTGTTAACAAATACTACCTTCATTTCAGGTTATAAGACATTTTAGGATTGCCCACATTCATATATATCTAGATTCGTTAACATCTATATGAATGTGGGTAATGTTAGAAAGTCTTATAATATGAAACGGAGGAAGTACCTGATTTGTTAGCGGTTAGGCACGATTTGCAAGAAGTACAAACTATGTTTAACTTCACATATTGTACAGTCACATTGACAAAACTTTCTGTATGTGTTAACAAATTCAGCATCAAAGAATATCCTGTAGTTGTTTCGATCTTGGATCCAACTCTGTTGCATCACCCATTTCATAATCATCCGCAGGAGTCCGGTATGCATCGGCAATGGCAAGAAGTACAAACTATACTTCACTTCACAATTCACATATAGTACAGTCACATTGACAAAACTTTCAGTATGTGTTAACAAATTCAGCATCAAAGAATATCCTGTAGTTGTTTCAATCTTGGATCCAACTCTGTTGCATCGCCCATTTCATAATCATCCGTAGGAGTCCGGTATGCATCGGCAATGGCCTTCCCTTTGTCCAGCACTGCTGATGGCACAGTCTGAAGGAGGCTGAAAAGACAAAATAACGCAGATTTCAGCTATGATTATGTTCGAATTGAAGACAGAGAAAGGATGTCAATTGATATGGACACTGATTTTACTTGTCTAAAGCTCCAAGGGCTACACTGATTTTGCTCCTCATGACATCGACAGACGCTGATGGGTTGTTCCGTGATGCTTGTAGTAGCAGTGAGTCAAGATCTTCCAATGCTCTAGGATAAAATGAATTTGCTATCACTTATCAGTACTTACAAGATACTACGATGGTACTACATATCATTTTCATTCAGCAAGCAAGTATATTTTGAAATAAATCAACCATTTTTGTTTACCGTAAGCATTCGTCCACTGCATCAGAGGCAGCTTTGCCTTGACCACTGCTAGAAGCATACTGCGCCACCTGCATTTTGTTTTCTTCTTCAGGTGAATTCAATGCATATCTAGTGGGCTTAGTTTGTTTTAAGCACACATAATCTGACATCATTAGATCGAATACACATTCTCTGGATGTTTGAACCAGTTATGGCAATGGGCATAATCTGAACAAGTAAAATATCTTGATGTTTAAGGAAAAAAAAGGGCAGTTGAAACTTGCTGATTAATCTCAACTCCTGAATGTTTAAAACAGACAGTCTATAGGAATATTAATGCCATATCTAAAGTAGTGAAAACAAAATGTTTTCAAAGCACCTCATTGGACCACGTATGCAACAAGACAAACTAGAGAAGGGCAAAATAAGGAGAACAAATGTGAACCGTATGATCAAACATTAGTCAGGAGATAAAGCACAGGTAGCAGAAATGTGCCTACAGTTTACCCCCATACCAACATTATCGTTTGGACTGGAATTTAATTTCATGCACAAATGAACCTCTATTGTTTAGGCTACAGTTTTATTCAGGACTCTCATTTATAATGTGTTCTTTGTTACATATGGACCAGCTAAAACTTGGCATAAATTTATTTTAGTTGTGCGATTAGTGCATACTGTAAATGGGCTCATATACTACTGGTTTTGACATACAGGTCATGGTTGCGCGAATGCGCGACTCCACTAGCTAGTTTCAATTGAGAGTATCAAAGTGGGCCACACCACCAATATAATGGAGCCAAACGCCCATATTTATTGCCTTGGTATCTCGTTAACTTGAGAACCAGAATCACATTCACCATACGATCAGTATCTTACTGCTCGAATATTGATACGCAGAGAAGATGCTGGACCAGAACGAAGTAATGATCTGCTCTCATCATATCTTGGCTTCTCAAATTCTAATGACTTCTCTGCAATTGAACATACATATACATGAATCTCCTAGGTACAGGTTGTATCACACATCACATATAGCATTGCATCATAGCTCTAAAACATTTAATCGGAAATCTGACCAAGGTTGGATTAAACATATTTAGTCAAGATATACTGGTGCCTCTATAAAATTCAAGATGCATGATAGCACTTCTCTAGCATTAAAGTAGAACGGCTTTGCTTATTTCAACACATCATTTGCTCCATGATAAGAAGGCAATGAAATCGGAGGGGAAGACTGCAGAAATATACTAAGGACAGTACACTTCACAATCTGAAATATGGCCGAAAAGAAGACACATTATGTCTCGTTATGTTTATTTTTCGCCGGGCGTCTCTTTATGTTTAAGGTCCTGTGAACAATGAAATGTCTAAGGTTCCTGTAAACAACGACCTGATTCAGGCTTATATTTGTACACTAACAATCAAGGTTTCCAAAGGGCAATAGAAAAGGAAAAAAAAAACAAGAATACAGCAGTATATGTTTTAGGTGGCAAGCTTATGGATTAATCTTACCTAGATCCCTGAATTGGTCCTGAGTCAACAGTACTGCCGGAACGTAGGTCTCCAATGGCTCCAGCTTCTTCCTAAGCATTACAAATTTAAGAAGCAACAAGGCTTTCAGTGGAAATCAAAAGCTGCAACCTGCGGAAATGCAATGTACTAGTAGGAGTACTAAATTTATGAAGGGAGAGCAAGGTACGGATAAGTACTTCTTGACGTATTTGTCAAACGGGCTCGCGTCTGCCCCTGCAACATCAAAAGTTGGGAAGCAGATCAGAAACAAATTTACTCGCACACCCGAAACACTGAGCTCCGATCCCGACACGAACACGCGCGCGCGAGAGAGAGAGACGAACAGCATGCTGCATGCAGCTGGACTTACGGCCGGCAGCAGTGGCGGTGAGCCAGGAGGCGACGCCGGCGAGGGAGACGGCGCGGCGGCCGATTCCACCCGCCGCGGCGGCGACCTGGCAGAATCGTCGGCGGCGAGACGGAGGCGGTGAGGGGCAGAGGTGCCCGCCGCCGGAGGTGGTGGGGAGGAGCGAGGTGGGCATTCTGGCTGCCTGCTGCGACGCGACGGCGGGCGAGGCGGCCTCCGGCTACGGTTAGTTGAGTGTAGAGGGCTGGGCCCCTTTTGCACGACAGCCACTCGTGTCCAAGTTGTTTTTTTCTTTCCTCGCAACACGGCGAAAGCTATGCGCGCGCTCGGTGCAGATGCACGCTACGTGGGCTCGGGGTTGCCAGGAGAAACACTCTACGGAGTACGTGGGAGAGGATAGCAAACGTAGCATCTCAGTTTCAGGTGCAACCGTGCAACGGTGCAAGCCTGCAAGGCATGTGTAAAGTTTGTCACATGGGCTTGTTTAGGTTGCGTTTGGTTCGTGGTGTCCATCCATCCATGTGTTTGAGGGTGCGCTCTTTTCAGCTTATAGGATTAGATTCTCCTCGCTTTTTCGTTAGCACGCTTTTCAAACTGCTAAACGGTATATTTCGTGCGAAAACTTCCTATAAAGAAGTTGTTAAAAAAATCCAACAAATTTATTCATAAAAAAATATATATTAATATTTAATTAATCATATGCTAATCGTATTTCTCGTTTGCGTGCGGCTAAACAGTCCACCGCCACTGCTAAACGATCACACCCTGAGTTTGTCATATGGTGATTCTGTTTTCTTTTAGCAAGGTGGATATGGTCATCCAATTCTTATTTGATTGGATGAATGAGAAGGGATGGGATGAAACCAATAAGATATTAATATGTTAATTATCGTTAATATAGCATAATCTATACTAATTAACAATAAATAGACTAATTATGTCTAATTAACATTAATTCTGACAAGATAATTGCTAATTAACAACAAAAATATATTAATTATTGCTAATCAATCACTAATGATCAACGAAGTTGGATATCCTCATCTGGCCAATTTGGCTGGATACGGTCATCCAGCATCTTTGTGGAATATTCTCTTTCTGGTTGTCCTATCCACCCTCACCTACCAACCAAACATACTAACAAACTGGATAGGCATATCCCTCAAACTAAACACACCCTTGGTTGCTTGCCAAATTTTTACAGTAGGATTGTTCGACTCAATTGAATGAATTGGCTTTCCAGAGAGCTATTAGCGTGTATTACAATTTAAAAAGATGGGGGTTTTTTTTTGGAAAGAAACTATGTAAAGAATTTATTTTAAAAATTGAAAATTTAGCATTTTGGAAAATATGTTTACAGAAAACAAGTAATAATCAACTCAAGAAGCTGATTCAAACTCAGACAAGTTTAAATTTTTAGTGTGAGGGTTTGAGTGAAGCTAAAGATATGGCATATGATACACTTTCCTACTCTTATGGTCCATATGTTATGCACTCGTTAGTATAAAAGCTTGTCACAAGTATGGGCGTATGGCTCTTTTTTGGTTGCCAAGAAACTATGGTGTACCACATGCAAATAAGTATGGCAAAGTGGGTAAGCTATCCAAACAGCCCCATACTTACGCCACGTGGGGCCTGTGTAGTGTGTTACCACTATCCAGTTTATGGTTCGTGAGAGTTGTTTTTCTCTTCTTCGCTATAAATCTTCGAAACGCCGTGGGAATCAGCAACCGTCGTCATTCTTGGTTGCACTGGCACAGTTTGCACGAGGCTGAAAAGATGAAAGAAAACAAAATACCCAAATAATCAGTAATGTTTTCATTGCAAATAAAGTAGAGTTTTCTTTTTTCTAATACCTGCCTATGGCTCTAAGGACAACATTGATTTTGCTCCTGATGGCTTCAGCATGTGCTGACGGATAACTGGTTGACTCTTGTAATACCTGATTCAGGTCTTCCGAAGCTCTAAGAGATAGAAAGACATTGCCACTCACAAGCTGAGCTAAAGTTCTTTCAAGAAAAAAGACAAAAAGATGTGCATTTGGAATATTTTTCATGTATATACCGTAAGCAAATATTCACAGCTTTGGAGGCCGCTTTCTCAATATCATTAGAAGCATAATATCCAGCAACCTGCGTCACGAATTTTGTAGGGTCAGCTAAGTTCAGGTGTGGATAATTCGGAATCAAGAAATCCAATTATGGAATGAAAGTATGCTAGCAATTGCCAGTTTGACAAGGCAAATAAGATCTTGAAGCTTGTGGAAACAAATACACTTGCATGGTTTGAAGAAACATATAGGAACACAAAGCTTGAAAGCAGATTAGCAAAACAAGGGTGTGTTTAGTTCATGCCAAGATTGGAAGTTTGGTTGAAATTGAAACGATGTGACGGAAAAGTTGGAAGTTTGTGTGTGTAGGAAAGTTTTGATGTGATGGAAAAGTTGGAAGTTTGAAGAAAAAGTTTGGATCTAAACTCGGCCCAATAAGACATATAATCAGAACAGAACTTACATTCTGAATATTGGAATGCAGAGATGATACTGGACTGGACTGAACGAGTGACCTGTACTCCTCGAAGTTTGACCTCTCAAATTCTGAGCAATCGTCTGCATCGAACCATATATATAGAAACCTCAGGTAGGCTATATCACACAAAATGTATATGCAAAATATAGCCACAATTTCAAGATGCTTAGTACAGATGTTTGCGGAGGCAAACAAATACTTGGGAAAAGGGGTGAACTTAAACTTAAAATGAACGCTTCCATCAAAAGGTAAGACAACACACAAATGAAAAATGGGGAGACTGCAATTTTCCGAACATACTCCTCGTCACAAAATAATGTCTTTTTTTTAAGAATCCGTTACTAGAAAAGCTTTCATAGTATTACACTTGTCTAACTATTTTACAATTTATGCAAAAGAATTAGGTGATCAGAGTTATGTCTTATATTGGCTTTGACGAGTCCAAAACGACATTATTTTGTGACTAGAGGGAGTACTATATTTTACTTGAATGTGCATTTAGTACTGTAGAGCAATTTATGTATTCTTTTTGTATATGGCAAGGAAATTAGAGGTAGACATGTGACAACCATTGGTATATGTTGGATGCACATCAACACATATGGGGTTGCAGTGCTATACAATAATAAAATCAAATTCAAAGGAAAAACGGTGTTTTAGTTAAAGGACTTCTCATTACCAAGTTCATTCAACGAGTCTTGAGTCCGTAGCGCTTCCAGAACACGGTCCTGAAGATGATTTCTGACCATGCATTCAGTAGCAGCAGAGGGAGAAATCAATCGGACATCATGCAAAATGAAAAACTAAAGCTGGCAGCAAGTATGGTGTCAACTGCAAATGTTCTATACTTGTCACAACATATTGGATTACCTCTTGGTGTACTCGCCCACAGGATTGGGAATGACAACCCCTACAAAAAATTGGATACAACATAACAGTTACACACCATATATGGGAAAAGAACATCATATAACTTCTCACTTATCAGCAAAACAATCTTCGGCTTCAATCCGAGGTCCCATCTCACAAGCTCAGGATTGTAATCCAAGTCACAAAGTGTTTTGGGCTAGTATCATATAGTCACTGCAAGGTTATACAAGTTGTCTTCGTCGAATTTCTTTATCATACCATAAACAGTATGTACAAACGCACAATTAACATTTACAGCAGTGAGCCACAGGGTCCTGCTGGAGATGAAGGTTGCACAAGATGCCAACGGCCAAGCCAATCCATGGTGATAATATGGTTGCTGGGGATTGACAGTGCCACCAGACCTCATCAAGGAAAGTGGAGGTGTCAAAAAGTGGGGAAAGGCCACAACCTCTAGCTGGCTACTGTGACACAAGGCCTAGACCTCTAGCTATGTGGATTTTGATCGCACGTTGTTTTGAGCATGAGGTACAGCTTCACGCATGTTTGTAAGACATCAAAATGTATGGATCAATGCATGAGTAACCTAGTTGAGTGCAAGGAAACAGCCGAAAACAACTAAAACTACTGAAATGAACAGTCTCAACGACAATTCTGCCAGTGCAGAGACATTCTGAGACAAACCCATTACGCAACCAAGATTTAAGTTCCTGGGGAACATAAGCTTCTGAAAACAAAAAATTTGGCGGTCACCTGAGGTAATCTTGAGGTACTTGGAGAATGCACAGGGACGACAATCTGAACAGAGAACGGAGAACCTTTCAGCAGAAATTGGGGCCACAGCTTGCAGAGTGTTCTGTTTCATGTCAACAGAGATGATCCAGGCATTTTTGTCTTCTTCAGTCATCGTGGACATCATGTAAACAAAATCGTCGTCATACATGCTCAGAGTGGGGATAGTACAAATCAGTTTCTTCAATTGCATCATTTTGGTATTATCGTCCCATAGATCGGGCAAAACAGTGGAGTAACTGGGATCAACCAAGATGTCAAATTTGTCAACTGAGAAACGCTTGCGCCAATCTTTCCAAGAAAGCATCCTATTCCATATCGTGGCTTTCCAACCATTACCATTGACGTCGTCACTGTAGCAGTATTCTATGTCCACAAACTTGATCAAACCATCGCAGCAGGCGACATCCCGAGCACACTCTGGGGCTATTTCACCGCATACAGTTGCACCGTACGCATCTATGGTGTACACCACTGGCTTAGGGAATGTCATATATCTCATAACCGGGTAGTCGTCGAACAGCTTTTCGAGCAGAATAATACCACGCCAGAGATCGACCAAACCCAACGAATCGTGTCCAATGGTGATCAGCTTGTCGGTCTCATGCTCGATCGCTACCTTGTGAATCTCAGACGGGGACAAGTCCAGCAAGACTGGTTTGCTGCTCCACCTTCCGGTCTTGGATGAGAAGGTGCATAGCTCGAACTGGCAAGCCTCATCAGAGGCCACCCATTCAGAATTGAGGAAGGCCACATCATAGTGCTCACTGACGCCGCTGCGGCAAGGGAAGAGGCCAAATTGCTGGGAGTTGAAGGGCATGGCATTGGGGTCAGGAAGCAGGTCGAGCCATGGACGCCCGGGGCCAGCGGTGTAGACGAAGTAGTTGCACGGGCTCATGTAGGTGCCAGACCTCCTGGGACGCGGGGACAAATTGACGCGGAAGAGAACGAGGGATCCTTCCGCGGCGAGAACGGAGGGCTCGTCGGAGAAGCCGTCCCCCCCTTCAGTCCCGGGCAATGGACGGTGAAGTAGGAATAACCCGGCGGATCGACGAGTCAGAAGGACACCTGGACGATCTGGCCCTCGCTCGTCTGGGATTCAGCCGTGGACGCGTTCCGGCGGTCGGAGATGTACGCTGTTTTATCCAGCATGACCCAGTCGGGAGAGCCAGAGCGTCGGGAGGCGGCGCCGGGGCCAGCGGCGTATGGATTCACCAGCGTGGGTGTACGGTACGAAACGGGGCAAATCGTCATGAGATGATGAAGGCGGGTTGGGGGATGGGCGGTGCCGGAGGCAGAGGCGGAGGCGGAAGAGGCGCACCGGGTTAGATGAGGAGCGGCGCCCGGTCGTGCAGGGCAGAGGAGGCAGCCGCTCGGGTCAGGTGGAGGAAGCACCGGGATGGAGATTGGACTTTGGAGGAGGGCGTCGGGTCGGGTGGCGGCCCAGATCTGAAGAATGTCACGGTGGACCGAGCAGGATTGCCATCAACGTACGTCCGGCCTATCGATGGAGTCCGGAAGGGAGGGGAGAGGGGGCCTGCGGGCCTGTTACGGTAACTGGGCTCTGCCTTTCTGCTGCGTAAGTGCGAGCCCGCCACGATGACCCGCTATGGAGCTCGGCCCGGCTGTTGGGTCCTTTCGGTTTTGCACAACCACTTACGTAGGGGCATTGCTAGGCTACATTAGCGTTGCTAAATTACGTTGACCAACCTGTTGTGCTACATTAAATCATGACACGTAGCTAAATATGTAATTTACAAGATAATGGATGGTTCAAGTTTAAGGGCATGCTCGGTATTTCACACATCTTGAAACTTAGGGGCGCGTAGATATTGCTCTATCGGTAGAAGGGTGGTCCGACATGTAGTTCACTCAACATCTTGACCACTACTTCATCCATTTCACAATATAAGTCATTCTAGCATTTTCCACATTCGTATTGATGTTGACGAATCTACATAGATATATGTCTAGATTCATTAACATCAATATGAATGTGAAAAATGCTAAAATGACTTACATTATGAAACGGATGGAGTACTTTGTTTAAGTGCTTGTGGAAAATTAGCGGAGAAAACGTCCATAATATGGCAATAGACACGAATAAAGGTTCGCTAAAAAAATGTAAACAAGTCTATATTGTATGGTTGTTACTTCGTACTCCCTCCGTCCAACAGATATAAGATTGGACGTGACACATTATTGTATGGTTGTTTTCTTATGAAACAAAGGGAGTAGTTGTTACCCCATGTTGTGAGCCGTGATGTACGTTTGCGTTGGGACGTGTCTTTAAATTGATGTACGAGATTGAGGTTATTGGGGCACGGGCCTTGACTTATAATGGATTATTACGAGCGCTTATATAAGCACCGGGTAAGGGATTTATAGAGTATTTATTCTCTAATATCTTAAAAGCAGAATCGTCCTCCTTTCATCTTCTCCTCCCACTTCACCTAGTGTGTCCGTACACCGAAAGTAATTACTACATTCAATATTTTATTCTCAATCACCTTCCTAACTTCTCTATTTACATGGACCTGGAACTGGTTGATTGCTTCATGTAATCACCTCGTTTCTTCAATGGAAACAGGAGAAGATCTTACCTCTATTTCTAAAAAAACGCTATTTATATGAGTTTAGTCTGTTATAAAGTACAAGTATGCTAATATGTTATTAATGGAAGAAATTAAGAACAAAACCCAAATCGAATACTGCTCCTCTGCTTTTCTTCCTGTTGTTCTTCCCCTGCTCGGCAAGCAAAATCTACCCAAACTCCTATGTTTTGGCGAGACGCCAACGATTTGTCACCAATCGTGATAGAGAACCGCACAAGCCAACATACAAAATGGCAACGGTAGCACAAAGAGCTCAGTTGCGCAGATTACGGGAAAAGCTTGAACTGGACCTAAAAAATTTATAGGCGTAGCGTATTACTATAAGTCTTAAGTTTTAACAGGTGATCGACAGCCCAAACTGCCAGTATATCAAGGTAAACCAGTCAGAGACAATAGCTGCTTCCACATTTCCACATGAGATCCTCACTTCCCAGCACATAGAGGCATTGTTTGGATAATGTGATAGGGAAATGATTTCCCACCCATCAAAAGGTATCTTTAAATCCTAGCCATTTATTCTCTCTCTTCCATTTAATCCAATCCCTTCGTTCATTTTCCAATCCCAATCCCACCCTCTTTCCCATTATCCAAACACACCCAGAGGTGTGGCTAGCTCTAGCTCTAGAGAGACGCCTTACACTTGAGCACGAAGCCGAGCAGCAGCAGCGTGGCCATGAGGCCGCAGGATGAGCCCCCGACGCGGTGTATCCAGTAGGGGTCGAACCTGACCACCCTCCGGTCCACGAAGCACGTAACGTTGATGGCCAGGATCAGCACGATCAGCAGCGCCGGCAGCAGCAGCGCCGACACGCCGCCGCCCTCCTCGTCGTCGTCGCTGTCCCACGCCGCCGGCCGCCGCCGGTCGATGTACAGCGGCGAGAGCACGGCGAGCACCGCCAGGACGACGCACACCAGCCTCTCCGTCGACGACGGCCTCCCCATGGCGGCAGCTCTCCTCTCTACCGCTCTCTGAAAGTCTGAAGAGGCTAGCTATGCGAGAATGCTGCCTTGGCTGTTCAGAATATAACTTGTTTATGCTGTCTCAACCAATCTTCAGAAACTAGGAGAGAACCTAACGACATTTTCTTATCGCCAAGGCTTTTGACTATTGATGATTGATTCCTATCATGCAAAAGGAACATATTCAGACTGTCCATGATTATCCACGGATCTGTGGCGAGAATTGGACTGCGATGTAAAGGCGAGATTCTTCCTAGCTAGTGAGCTCGGAATCGGATTCCGGGACAGGCAGCTCAAGATTTGGGGTATCCTAGAACAGCGTGGCTGATGGACGTAGGATCAAAATTGACGGTCCTGATCGTTTTGATGGGAGGAAGAGTAAAGCTGAGCTCTTCCCCCTGATCATACTGAACTTTGTTCGTGAAGCACCAGCCTGATGTCATTGCCTGTTCGATACTAGTACGAATGATTTTAGAATCGGTACGGCACGATTACTCTGCTTACACCTGTTCTTGGAACGAGAAAAATAGCATGAATCCTGCACTTTATTTGCCTGTGTATTGTACTAATATATTGTGAGACAGAGCATCTTTCTATCTGTTTATTATTAGCTGTTAGGCAAGTAAGCAGAAGTGTGAGCATCAAGGTTGGCATCAGGTTGAAGCGGTTTGGTCTGAAACGGTAGGCCAAAGCAGATGAGAAAAGGCGAGATGAATGTATCCAAACAAGGTCCTTCAAGCTAGAGTTTCAGTCTTCCAAAGAGAAAGGCTAAGCTATAGCATTTCGTAGATGATGCCATTGGAAGGTTCATGATATGAAAACAAAGTGACTTGAAGGAATGTTAGGCTGGTGGATTTCCCCAAACAAGTGTCCACAACTCATAAATACTCCTTGTATCTGAACAATTTATTTCCGAATAAAGTAAAAGTTCTCCGGGAAACAAGTAAATTATGAATAAAAAATACACACACTAAACTAACCTTCACGATACTATTAGTCCCCGCCATTATCTAGCCCATGCGAATCTTGCTTATATTCTCTTAAACAGGTATACCCACTGTTTTGAGTTTTTGGCTTAACCTCAAACCAATGTGCCATCATGTCCTGTTTAGATGTAGTGACAATTCAATAGCCTATGCATCCAAAAAATAAACAGATTCGCGAATGCCCATCAACCAATCATAGATTGATATCCATCCATAAACAGCAACACATAGAGCCCCATCGATTGGTCACACAAGTCAAAGCAAAAGAGAAAATTTGAATTTTCGAACTTGATAAAATATTTTCAACATAATTTTTTTAGTGTTGACTTTTAAATTAATAAACTGTTTTGGTTTATTAGAGAATATGATCAACTAACGAGGCTGTTATACTACTCCTATCACCACCCTGGAGCTTTCCTGAAATCCATGTGTACAGCCATCAGGATAGCAAAGCACCATGAACACGAACGCGACGCTTCTTCTGTCACGTACGCCCGTCCCTCATATGGCCAATCGCGTCGTCAAATGGTCCAGAGTTCAGACAGCCATGGGCCATGGAACCATGGAAGGGAGCCGACCGGACCACCTCACCACCGCGTGACTGGACGCGGCTGTAAAAGTGGGTCCCACCCCACCCACCCGGACCCACTCTCCAGGCCCACAGAAACAAGCGAAACGGATAGCGGAAAAAAGAGAGAAGAAAAGAGAAGGGAGGGGAAGGCAAGGCATAGGTAGACCTCACCGGACGCCGACGCGGAGGAGCTCATCACTGGCCAGCTGCCGCCGCCGCCGCCACCACTGCTCCGCCTCCGATTGCTGCCGTCTCTCCTCGCGGGGTGGGTGGGGGGGGGGTGTATGGCGACCGGCTCCGTCGTGGCGCCGCCGCCGTCGCTGGCCGGCGGGGGGCGAGGGCTCCGTCGGCGGGGAGTCCTCCACCGGCGTCTCGCGGCCTCGCCTATGTGAGCGCTCTGGTTCGATTTTTTTGCCTTGTTTTGCGTCGGGTTCGTCTGGTGCTATGCCCCCCCGGTCCCGGGTCCTAGTTCTTTACAAAGAATTGCGTTCATTTCTTGCTGATTGTGAAGTAGGGGAAACTGGGGAAATGAGGAAATTACTTGAGTGGTGAAAAAAGAAATTAAGGAGGTTTAGGGGTGTTATTGATTAGTGACTTGCTGGATTTCCTTTTGCAAGTTATATTGATGGCAAGAAAGGCTGATCAATTAGTTCAATGTAGGATCACGCTCTTGCTATGTCGGATTGGTGGGTGTATTTATATGGTTACTGATTGTATTACAGTTTTACACCACACAAATATTTTTTTTGTGCTACAAATTTAGACATGAACTGCAATAAACTCCTCTCTTTGTAAGACGTAGCAGCGAGCAGTGATGACTCCTAGTACTTTGTATTTTGTGATAGTTATGAGTTGCTGTGTGGAAATTTGGAAAGTTTGGTCCAAGTAGACACCTTCATAGATGCACAATTTGGAGCTAGTACTTTGTATTTTGTGATGGTTATGACTTGCTGTGTGGAAATTTGGAAAGTTTGGTCCAAGTAGACACCTTCATTGATGCACAATTTGGAGCATTTGGTTTGATAGGCAAGAATTGAGATAGCATTGGGCACTCAGAAAAGTGCGGAGTAACTCTTACACAGCATTTATGCACTGTCGATGCATCTTGCCGTCTTCCTCATTATTTTCATACAAAATCAGCATTTTTTCCCAGGAAAGATGAACCTGTGGCTTCGACGAATGGCGGCAAAGATGAAATGGTCACCGACAGCCTCAGTGTTGCTAGAAGAGCCTCTCACCCTGGGCTTTCATCAAGCTTATCTAATCCAATGTCAGAAGTCACCACACCTTTCCATCCAGCTGCGCCATCTGATCTTCGTTTCAATCGTCTTCGACCCTCAGTTGAGGAAAGTGATTGCAAATACAAAAGATTTTTTGGCTGCTATGTTGCTCGGGAGGCTATAATTGATGAGGAATACTGGGTATATTTCTTGTCACCTGTAGAAAACATTAGATTGTTAACTCTGGGAAATACACTACTACAATTTTCGCTGACATAGCCTGTACAGGTATTTTGGAGTATTCTGATGTTTACTGTTATATGCTAATACCGTTGTCGTCAACACGCCTTTCGTTTTGCATGCTAATATTGCTCCTAAGATGAGACCACTAGCTAACACTTATGTTCCTAGTCTTTTAAGCTCACCTTTTAGTTTGTATTATGAAATTGTAATATTCACTTTAACATAAATGTGTAACTTTCCTTGTACCATCATCTTGATAGATTGCTGCATGGTTGAGAGCAGAGAATCGATATGAAGATCAGTCAAGCGATCGGTTAGTGTTTGATTTGCAAGCAAATTTTATGCAGCCTCCTCTGTTGTTTGTACTGCTTTTAACATATGATCAGTGCTATCCTCATGGTTGACATTTATTTACCATCATTTTTACTGCAGCTATGTTGAAAGCTTCAAAAGGAAGTTTGCATCGCAGGTACACGGGTAATCAATTGGTTACTAGTTTATGTCTGTTTGAAGGCAATTGGGATGCCTCCTGCTCAAATAGCTCTGCTTAAATTGACAATGTGTCAAAACGTTCCATTAATTTGCCGCCTAATGTCATTCAATACTTCATGTTGCGGTTTGTGTGTATCATTGTTGGCTATCTTTCTGCAGGAATTTCATGCATTAAAGAGGCGATGTAGCAAGCTGCAAGGAGAGAAGTATATCTGTTTTGTTGCGGTATGAGACAAAAGCTCCACGTATTTGGTCTATCAAATTTGGTATTAAATCTTGGATCCAGCATGTTAGTTCATAGGAAATACTTGCAAGGGATGAACACATGGCAAAATGACTACCACAAATCACCGTGGGGGCTTCCTCCACTGTTTCCCGGTCAAAAAAGTAAAAAGGCTACCACAACCAACAAGTGAAAAGTTGACAGTTTTTTTGTCTAATACTACAATACTTGCTATATATTCTGGTTTATAGAGTTGAACTGACTTGCAGTTGCTTTACCGACATTTTGCTTATATTTCACAATTGAAAAATGTCTGTCTCTGGTGTAATATTTCAGGTAAAAAATGATGATCTCAAGCGAACTGTTTTGAATAGCGTCGTTGGCACCCTGGATGTTTGTATAAGGCATCCTCTGCATGGGGAGACATTTCCTGCGGTATGGAAAAATAGCAGTATAGCACCCATGTTTTTTATATAACTTCTACAATTTTTTTATGGTGGAAAATTACATCTCAAAGTTCTTCCCAGGAGCCTGGAAAGTCATCATTTCATTGTAGAATATACCAGCCAGATCAGCCAAAGTTTGGGTATCTGACAAATGTTTGTGTTGCTAAATATGCACGGCGTCAAGGGATCGCCAGCAATATGTTGTTACTGGCCATAGATGCTGCAAGACTCAATGGTAAAGCAAGAAGTTGTTTTTAATTAAAAAATGAAACAATGTTATTGTGTACTAGTTAGTACATATACCAGATAATACTGATCCATCTACTGTTATCTTCAACCCTGCTTTAGGTGCTGAAGAAGTTTATATTCATGTGCATAAGGATAATCTACCAGCTCGGAGGCTCTATGATCAGATAGGATTCAGGGTATATATACTATCTTGTTTTGCTATAGTTCTAAAAAAAATCATTTGGTTATATAGGCCTAAATATAAATTACACTTCTTCTATGCGTTTGTAGATGGTTGACTTCGATGGTGCTCGTCAGTCGTCAGATCTATGCTTACTCTCCTTCAGTTCCTAGGACTTGGATTTTTAATACGATGGAGTTTTGATCCCATCTCCCTGTGCAGATGAAATGCCACTGGTCCTTGTGATTTGGAAAGCAGGACGGTGTCACGAATACATTTACAATCTTGTACATCAGGATAGTGTGAAATGTTTGTAACTTTGGAATTGACGATGGGTTAACCTATCTTGTTCTGATGCCCTGGAATGCTGTGGCATCTGAATGCTTACCAGGTTTCTTTTACAGTTTTATTGTACAGTTTGTGAAGACTGCTAAAAGTTGTTGGTCCGTTCTGTCGTTCTGTAAGGAGATAACCAATGCAAAACACCAAAGCTTGTGTTGCATTGTCGTGTGAAGTTTACCACATACGAGTACCATACTCACACTGCCAAACACAAAACCATACTCACACTGCCACACACAAAAAATGTGCAAATACCTTTCATATAATTGACTATAACTATTCACGAACTCGTTCCAAACAATGTAAGTTCATCACCAGTTAACCACTCAGCAGTTTCAGCTTCAGTACTAAAAGCACCATTGTTTGGCATATTTTTATTACATATGCCGTATCAGCGATAAATTACAATTTAATCCTTAACAATTTATGAGTAAACCACGATGAAAAAAAAAAAACCAAAACCAGCTTCGAAATTAAGTTTTAAATTTTAAGATTTGGTAAAGAAACTATGGGATACAAAATAGCCATCTGCAACCAATAACAACGGGTGAAAATTGAAACACAGCCCTATGATACAGGGTCTCCGAGAATTGGAAAACAATCGCAAGGTCCGTGCTTGGACCCTCCTCCGAGCACGATACTTGTAGAGTGACCTTTGGGTCCAATCAAAGATGATCAAATAAGGTTATTTTTCATATGAATATATCTACTATAGCACAATAAAACTTAAGTCTTCGAAGATACTCATAGGATAGTGTTTGCGTGCGTTCATGTAGGATAGGGTTTACGTGCGTGCGTTCATATGGGTGAGTGTGCGTTCATGTAGGATAGGGTTTACGTGCGTGCGTTCATATGGGTGAGTGTGCGTGTGTTGTGAATGTCTACCGTTGTACTATATAACTTTTTTTAAAAAAAAACTTATAAACCACTTCGTATTCTATCTACCACTAGTAATATGCCCGTGCTAAACGCTACGGTACTACTTTATTTGTCTTTAATAATTTTTAAAATTTTCATGTTAGCAAAAAAAAAAACTATTATATGAACTGTGCATTTGAGTTTTAATTCAATTTATGTCATAGATCAAATATATTTCATGTAAAGTATAATAATATGATATACCAATTCATGCAGATATATAATGCATATATCTGTGTTTTAAGTCATATGATATTAAAGATATATGATAATGCGTATATTTATGCCTTAAGTCATAATAATGCATAATAATATGATATATTATGCATATATCCGTGACACACAAAAAAATTAGGAATATCAAGTGAATCAGGAATGGAGTATGTGTGCTGTCAAAAAATAATATCATTACAAAGGAACAACTAAATCTTTGATGTGGTAGTAGTACAGGTCTTAGACCCTGTTTAGATGGGACTAAAACTTTAAAGTCCCTATTACATCGTATGTTTGGACACTAATTATAAATATTAAACGTAGACTATTAATAAAATCCATCCATAATCTTGGACTAATTCGCGAGGCGAATCTATTGAGCTTAATTAATTCATGATTAGCCTATATGATGCTAGAGTAAACATTCTCTAATTATGGATTAATTAGGCTTAAAAATTTTGTCTCGCAAATTAGTTTTCATTTATGTAATTAGTTTTGTAAGTAGTCTATATGTAATACTCTAAATTAGTGTCTAAATACAGAGACTAAATTTAAGTCCCTGGATCCAAACACCACCTTACTTTGAATATTTCCAAGGCTCAAATGAACAAAAACTTCTGCAATGTATTGATTATTTTGCCTCAGATTGGGCGACTAAGGATAGCAGATCTGTTGACAAACAATATGGTTCTGATTTCAGGAGACCATACCACCAATATATTGCCCAAAATTGGATATTTTTGCAATTATACGGTTTTCAGATAGCAAATAGTGCATGTGGCATTAATCACAACCTATGCATGTGCTGATAATTTCCCTTTTCTTGAGAGGGAGAGAAATTCTGTTACATGCTTGGTGATTTGATAATATAAAACTGTTTTTTGTTATATAAATTTCAGTATATACCCCTATAGGAAATAAAGCAGCATATATCCTCTCTATAGAAAAATGCAGTATATATGCTCGTAATGGTGAAAAAAAATGGCACATAGGAGACATTGCAGTATATACTTTTGTATATAAAAAAAATCAGTATATGCATTTACAGGAAACATTCAGCATATGCATCTACAGGAAAATTTAGCATACAAATCTGAAAGCATGCAAGGACTGAAGTACACAATATCCATCTATTTCTATAAAGATATTCAATCTAATTGTCTCCTAATCAACCACTGGCAATAATTTTTGGGGCATACTTTTGACTATGGTGATAAAATGATTATCCTCACCTGCAAACGAGTAGAAAATTTTAGACACTGAATGATCTTGCAGTAGAAAAATACATGTACTAACCTGCTGCTTTGCCACATGTACGTGAATACTCTGCTGCTCTCCTTCAGATGTGTTCATCACATCAGGGCAAAAGAAACCAGATGGCGGCCAGGCTGATGTGGCGACGATGGCGGTATTCAACAAGTCAATATATCCTGCAACGAGGAGAACAATGGTGTCAACTGTACATCATTGAGCAGACAGACAAACAAATCAACATGTTGTTGATGAATGAATTATCAATTGAGCATCATCCATGTCTTGTTTCAAAATCCATCTCTTTCTTCTTTGGTTGTAGTGGTTCCACTCCGGTTATGTTTCAAGGTTCGTTTTCTCTTTCTCGTTGCCACGACAATATGAGGCTTCTTCTACCAGTACCAGCAAACCAATGCCCACATAAGCAACACCTAGCTAGTAACAAAATTCATGGCTTGAATCTTAGGAACTATTAGGCTTGTTTGCCGGCAGTCAGATCTAACCTTCATCTTGCATCTAAAAATATAGTTCTATTCCTAATAAGCACTAAAGAATTAAAAGATCTGCCATCACAAAAGAGTAACCCATCTGAACTACATGGAGCTATTTACTCAAAGATCAAGATTCACAATTATTAGCTAGTCCTCTGTACTATAATGCATCAGAACAGAGCAGTATCCATCACTTAATCTGATCGAGCTTGACAATGTAATTAGCCATGTACAAATGAATAAGTGCGATTTAGATTGCACAGAAACATGTATCTTCAATGACACGGCCAGGCCGATGACATACTATTCCTTTAGCAAACAAGGACATGCCGATGACCATATAAAAACAATATATTTGTACAATTAATTGGAAATGGAGAAAAAAATTCATAAACCCCTAACATCAGTTGTTATGCATATGGATATATATAACTAATTATGGGATGAAATAGGATGGTTTCCTTCAGGACACATCCCCAGTACTTTTGAGTCTTTCACCGCTTAGTACTATCATATAATCCAATATGCTGTTATACTATACTCCACCGTTTTGTGTCGACCTACTAATACTATATCCATCCTATAGCTAGTTAATGAGAATCAATTAAGCTTCAGAAGGAGGTGTCAATTTAAAAGCAATCGAAATAATAAGCACTTGGTTAACTACAGTCACAGGTTCACAGTGCACTTGGATGCCTTCTCAAATGCCGAGATATCACTAATAGGTAAGAAATTATTATAAATACCAACTGAGAATAACATATTCCAGCGGTACAAAATGGTTTTTTCCAAGTACATGTAATACCGTGTTAATTGGTAATTTGATTACAGTTCACAGGAACCCCATTATAAAAACATTGAAAATTGGCAACACACAGTAAAGGAAATTAAGCGAATTAATTGGATATACCTTCAATGCAGGGAAGGAGGTTATGTGGGTGGGAAGCTACTGTTCGAACTGATCTGGTAACACATGATCTCATATATATGTCAGTACATTCATTTATACGCCTACCGAAATCATCCGTCAAAAGTATATACCAATAATATATACACAAGAATGATTGCAACGCTGCCCTTCTCCAATCATCATGTCATTAGCAAAATAGTGCGGTGGGTTGGAGAAAAAAAAGGAAGTTCTGCATTTGTAAACTAATGATTTTTGAGCCTTCATATCTTTCATCTAAAAATATTGTTCTATTCCTAAGCACTCAAGCATGCTACTCTTGACATCAGTTGTTACTAAGCACTCAAGCATGCTACTCTTGACACCATAGTTTTTCAATAATTAAGCAGAACTGAGAGTCATCATGATAAAAATAACATTACATGCATTGAGGGGCAGTAATATTATATAGAACAACACGCAGAGCATGAATCAGATAAGTCTCAATTCAAAACTAATTTATGAACATTTCAATTGAATTCCCAACCTGAAGTCGCAAATCCTTGTTGTTGGTGGCTCGCCTCCAGGGACTGCAGTGTGGATGTGGTTCGGCTGTCCTCGCTGTGGATCGGCGGTCGGCAGCGACCGCGGAGGAGATAGTCGGCGTGGAGTAGATCGGCGATGCGGGCGGCGGAGGCTGTCGGCAGCGCCCGCAGAGGAGGTTGTCGCTGGCTTCCTTGGCTGTCCTCGATGTGGATGTGGATCGGCGGTCAGCAGCGCCCGCGGAGGAGAAAGCCGGCGGTCGTAGATGTGGATCGACGATTGGCGTGAGGGACGAGGCAGCGTAGCCGGTTGGCGTGGGGTCGGGGCGTCGGCGTGAGTCGCGGCGGCGTCCGGGATCGGGCGAGGCGAGGCGACGGCGGCGGCGTCCGGGAGCGGCGGCGTCGATCTGGAGGCGGTCGGCGGGGAGGGGCGCCGGCGGCAAAGGCAGGGCGTCGGAATCGACGGCGCCGGTGGCTGCGCTGCAGTTGGCGTGAGAGGGACGGAGCGAGGAGGTTGGGCGAGGGGAGGCGGAGCGATCTGGGCGAGCGGCGTGATTTTCGGCTGAGGTGCGGTGGTTTCTGCTCGCGGAGGTTGAGGGGGTACGTGGGATGATAGGAGCCATTGGATTGGATGATTCTGGACCGTCGGATTTGATGAATGAGGTTTGTATAGGAGTGTAGTTGGTGAATTATATGGTAGATAGATGATCGGACGGCTCACGGCTGGGAGGAGGAGTAGCGCAACCAATCTCGAAGGTTCGTATAGGTCCACGAGGGCGGGACCAGCTGTAACCGTGAAATACCCAGGCTGTCCACGGCTCGGCCCCAAATCGGCAAAATCGCCACCGCACACAGGAGAGGACACAGCGACGAAAGCAGCGAAGTCGGCGGCGCGTCGCGCCCCCACCGCATCGATCGCCTCGCCCCGGTGAGCCATGTCGGCGCGCGACAGGGAGACGGCCGTGGCGCTGGCCCGCCTCGCCGCCGCGCTGGACGGGGCGGTGCTCGGCCTCGGCACGGCGGCGCTCGCCGTCGCCTCGTGGGTCAAGTACCTCGCCGCGTCCGGGCAGCTGCGGCGCATCGCCTCCGCGCCGGCGGCCGCCATACCCGACCTCCGCTCGCTCCTCGCGGAGTACGGCGGCGGCGGCGGCGACGGCGACCAGCCGATCCTCGCGGTGGTGCGGGGCCACGTCCGCGCCGCCCCCCGAGGCAAGTACCTCGTCCCCCCAGGCTCCGGCGAGCACTGCGTCGTCGCAAAGCATACCCAGCTGGTGAGTCGCTCGCTGAGAAGTATCTTGCGCCCGGCGCTTAGAGCTAGGGTTTACGCTTAGGTGGTACGGATGCTTAGCAAGGGTGTGGTTTCCAAATCCAATCATAAATTCTCAAGGGTTCTGTGCGTGCTTAATGACTGTTCTCGTGATGATGAGATTATATGGGAACGCTGAAGATTCCGATTAAACTGTAGAGATAAGCATGTTTAGGCATTGGAGTACGAAGTAGTCGTGGAGCTTTTGTTTGGTTTCATGTGCTGTATTGCAAATCTAGATAGAGGCCTTAAATTGTAGAAATCTTTGAGAATTTCAGTGCATAAGGCTATAATGTCTGTTTGTTTTCATTACTCTCTGTGTGTAGCTTCTAGGAGTAGTCGAGTAGGAAGGTACGTGGTTGGTATTCCCTTGTGCATAATAATTAGATAGTTTGGGGAAAGGGTAGATGCTTGTGGTTTCCTTGTCAGGCTATTCTTGTGCTCAATTCTGAGGTTTGACAACTAATTCGGAAAGTTTGGCAATATTGATTATTAATATGCAAAATAGCATTTGGCTTCTGTTGCATTGGGAATCAGATGGTTAGTACCGTATATGAGTTATCTGGTTGCAAGATGCCTACTAGCTGCAAAATCAATCTCCTGTAACCCTGTTATGCTTCCATGGATTTGGGTCTTAGGAGAGTGTTGTTGTTAAAGCCCGGAAGTAATGGTAAAATGCAGCAGTTTTGACTTTTGATGTTATCAGTTGATTCAAATTCTAGTGTGATGTTGTAATCATAGTAGATGGTTTTAGAATGAAAAAGGACTAGGAATAAATTGAAGAAAAGTTTATGATTTTGTTTTTTGTTGCTACAGTGGCATAGAAGACTTGGGTTAATGTTCTGGATTGCTTCTGGATTTCTGTGGAAACAGTATCCTGAAGCAAAGTTCCAGTTATTGATTTTGTTGTAAACTTCAGAAAAAGCAAAGGTTTATATGCCGTGGTAATGTGGCGCAAACTGCTAAGCTACTTCTGAACACATTATGGGTATGTTCAGCTGCCGGGGCTGCGGCTGCACTGCAGCCAACCGGAACATTCCGGTAAGCACAAACACAGCAGCAGCCGCAGCTGCAGTCCTGGCCTGCCAAGTTAAGGATCCTCATGGATTAAAATATACATTGACTTGCAATTAATTTGCCATTTCCCTTCTTTTGTTACCAAAGTAGTATATATGAGTACAAATATACAATGGCATTTACTTTATCGCTATACGCCTAAACTTTGCCTTTATTTTTTCCTTTCTGCTTTTACAGCTGTTTACCTGTTATTCTTTCCCTGTATGGATTTCTCTAACTAGTGCTATGTGATGATGTACTTATGCAGTGCTTGTTCAATGAATGGAGAGGCATCTTTGGGTGGACCTTTGATCTGCATGCTCTCTTTTTCAAATCAATTAAGGAGCAGATTATAACATCATTTAGATGGGTATACCATCTGTACTTTGTAAGCTGGTTATTGTTTGAATAATCTTGGCCTCAAATGTTAACCATACCTTTCCTTTTGCAAGGTTCCATTTGTTCTTGTAGATCCTGAAAACATGACTGGAATGGTCCATGTGAAGTTAGACAGGGCAATGCAACCATTACCTCTTACAACTGTGTATCATAAACTTACCCCAGTCGACTCAACTCCTTACACATTGTTTCAGACTATTATTGGCAATGGTTACCCAGTAAGTTCCTGGCTGTATATTGGACCTTTTTTTTGTATGGAATATCAGCACAGGGATATATATCTTGAGCTATGCAATTGTTCCTTCCATAGATTGCGTTGTTGGATGAGGAAAAGATACTTCCTGTTGGAAAGGAGATTACAGCAATAGGCTATATTCGACCTCATAAAGCAAGTGTTGAGATCAGCTCATGCTCAGAAATACCTTTTTTCTTGTAAGGGTTCTTTTGTTTGGCATGTGTTTTCATATCTTATCTTTCTTTTACTGATACTCCAGGATTCCCAGAACATTGGTAGTTTATAATTTATATGGCTAAGATATCTCTTGTGGTTAACCGAAGTAGGACATGCATATGAAGATATTCTTTTGGTTGAGTTTTATTGCTTTTTTTAACTCTTTACCTTCAGGTCTGACCTTACCAAGGATGAGATGGAAGCCGAGTTGTCTTCTCGTGCTAAAACACTCTTTTGGGCTAGTGTTGTTCTTGGAACAATGTCAGTTTGCTTGCTGGGCTTTGCGACTTACAGGTATCAAACTGTGACATTTTTGCAATTGTTAATGATTTTATTGGTTAGTATTCAATTAGTATTTAGTTCTGAGGATAATCTACAGCTTGATACTTCAATCTTACTCTCTTTGTTAGTTATTTCGTACATCTTGTGAGTTCCAGATGACTTGATGTTGTACTGATGCAGGAGCTGGAAGAAGATCAAAGAGCGGAGGGAGGCAAGGCAAGCCCAAGAGGTATTTCGACAAACTACTGATGAAGTTACAGACGATCAGTCTAGCGATGAAGAGGCTGGTGAAATGGGAGACGGGCAACTATGTGTTATATGCTTAAGGAAAAGAAGGAAGGCAGCTTTTATTCCTTGTGGTCACCTTGTCTGCTGCTGCAAATGTGCACTGATTGTGGAACGTCAGTTCGACCCATTGTGCCCTATGTGTCGGCAAGACATCCGATACATGATAAGGATCTACGACAATTGAGGTACGTGACAAGTTTTCTTTTAGCCTTTTGGAGAGGGACTACTCATGATGTTTGACTCACTTAAATTGCAACATATTACTTGGGTTACACTAAGGAAAATCTGCAAGTGTATCCTTTTTTGGCTGTTCTGTCACAAGGAAATGAAATTCTTGCCGATGTGAAAATTATTTTTTTGGCAGACAACTCCTGGTTAAGCTTTAAGCTAAACAGTAAGTAGATGAACAGCACTGTAGATACATGTTTAAGTGAATTTAGTTTCCTGCAATAGGCATAAAATGTTAACTCTTCTATGGAGGAGCATTAACTGTTAGCCGCATTAGCCTGACTTATTTGATTTTTAGCATCTGAAATAGTGGAATTTGGAGATGACTTATTTGATATTTGTTGCAGGCTTCTTGATGTTTTGCTGATAACCCTTCGACACTGTATGGTCACCCAGATTGTCTGCGAGCCTGAAGACCTCAACTGATCATCCTGCGTGCACTAGTCTAAGCTACTTGGCTAACAAAACTATGTTACCCTGAATTTTGTGTATATATATGACGTGTTAGTCACTCCCAGGAGAACTCATATGGGCAGAGATCACCGGATACTTTTCATAGTCGCATAGAATCCTGTAGCTAGCCAAACTGCCAGAGTCATGAGCTGACGCCTATAGTTGCAATTACAGTACTACCAAGTTTTTGTTGGCTCTCCCTTCTCATGTCTGTGCATTCTGTAAAGATGGTTTTGCCGCTAGCAAAAGTATGATGGTTCGGATTTTTATTCTTGTTCTGCTGATCCATGAATTTCCAGTTCCTGGTACGAGTTTCAGGTTGTCGTGTTTGCAAATTTGTTTCAGGACTCGGGAGTACGCAGGAGATTACCGAGTGATAGAATTTCGCCACTTAAAGAGAAAGACAGCTGTGCTGGGAATCTGGGACATGAATAAAATGAAATTGTAAATAAAGTATCTGCTATACAATCCGCACTATGAGAGCTTATTCATATGTGTTTATATAGTTGAGTGCACACGTATATTTGAGAGTTTATGTGCTTATACAGATGAGTGCACATGTTATTTGAGAGTTTGCGTTTGTAGTGTATTTCGATTTTTTTAAAAAAAAGAAATCAATAAGGGAGTCTACCGGTAGAGAGGCGAAAACATTGATTTTTCACCAGCGAGGAGATAAACCTTGTAAACCTTTTTCTCTAATCCAAAAACAAACTTGAATTATGTGTACTTACTTGCGCCCTGCGAAACCTCCCGAGACTTAAACGTAACGCAAACGTTTGAACAGGCTGACCGCAGGATTAACATCGAACGATCAATACTGCAACGCAACAACAACCATCAGACAAAGATCGGACGGCTAGGAAGGAACCCTAGCACCCGTGAGTGCCTATATAAGAGACAATCCTCTCGCCCTAATCCCTCCCCTCTCCCATCTCACCCCGCCGCCGCCGCCGCCGCAGCCTCCTCAAGGCTGCTCCCATCCTCTCCTTCGAGGTCAGCTGCAGATCTTCTCTCTTCTCCTTGTTTGCGCCGGTTCATGGTAGTTCGTAGCCGTAGATCTGATTCGATGGAGCGAGGTTTGGGTGATTTGATGCCTGGGCATGTTGTTTTTGTCCATTATTAGTAACTTTTTCTGTGTATTCGTCTCACTGCTATGATCTTAGTTTGCTGTTCGTTGACGCGATGATTTATTGACTTGTCGGTGAATCATTTATGTACGTTGAAAATTATCGGTAGAATCGGACTATTAACTTGATGTGCTGCAGAATCATGTACATAAGTTGAAAATCATCGGTAGAATCAGTAGAAGTATTTCTATCTAGAATCCGTTCGAATATCTCTGTTTTTATGTTCGAATAGATGGTGTTATCGTCTATGCCTGGTTCGGTTTGGTCGATTACTGCGCGTTAGCACTTATAATTGATGTCGAAGTTCATCTGATCTGTGAGCTTGCCTGTAATATTATTTGGAGTTAGAAATTATGCACGCCTGTTGTTTCTAATCTTTGTTTCGTTCTGTTTTGCAGTTAGCTTCCTCCTTATTCAACCATGGGTAAGGAGAAGACGCACATCAACATTGTGGTCATTGGCCACGTCGACTCCGGCAAGTCGACCACCACGGGCCATCTGATCTACAAGCTTGGAGGTATCGACAAGCGTGTGATTGAGAGGTTCGAGAAGGAAGCCGCTGAGATGAACAAGAGGTCCTTCAAGTACGCGTGGGTGCTTGACAAGCTCAAGGCCGAGCGTGAGAGAGGTATCACCATCGATATCGCCCTGTGGAAGTTCGAGACCACCAAGTACTACTGCACGGTCATCGATGCCCCTGGTCACCGTGACTTCATCAAGAACATGATCACGGGTACCTCCCAGGCTGACTGTGCCGTGCTCATCATTGACTCCACCACTGGTGGTTTTGAGGCTGGTATCTCCAAGGATGGCCAGACCCGTGAGCACGCTCTTCTTGCTTTCACTCTTGGAGTGAAGCAGATGATCTGCTGCTGCAACAAGGTATATATCTGTAGTGTTTGGTCTTTTGTTATGATTGATGAGCCTAGCACTTGTTTATACATATTTGTGATGCTATTGCAGAAACTTTTGGTTACATAAATGATTTACTGCTATATTCAGTTGGAAATTGGAAATGAACATATTCGTGATGCTATTCCAGATATTCTTGTTTTCTGTTATGATTGATGAGCAACTTCTGTGAATATTCATGATGCTAGTCCTGAATACTGTTGATTACATCAATGAAGTAGCATTTTCTTTTATTGATTTATCCCTCTGTGCTAGTTTTTCTGACTGTCTACCTTCTATGCATCTAAGACTGCAATTTACCATGCATCTAAGGCTGCTACTGTTGATTGTTGCTTTTGTTATGACTGTCTGTCTTTATGATGCATCTAAGATTGCAATTGTTGTTGGTTGCTTTCCTGCTACTACTAGCTTTAGTAATTTACTGCTGCAAGAAACTATACATATCTTCTGTTAGATTTGGTTAAGTTCATTTAGATATCGTGCTGTATGTTACTTTATACTAGACTTGTATTGATGTTGCTGTCCACCTGTATTTCATTACATATTGGTTGCTATTATTTCATTTTTTGTATCTTATATGGTGTTTATAATATGTTTCATACCATTTGTAGTTAGTAATGTATTTGTATGCTGGTGCCTGCCCCTGATTTGTTTTCCTTTGTTCTGTTACAGATGGATGCCACCACTCCCAAGTACTCCAAGGCCCGTTACGATGAAATCGTGAAGGAAGTCTCATCCTACCTGAAGAAGGTCGGCTACAACCCTGACAAGATTCCCTTCGTTCCCATCTCTGGGTTTGAGGGTGACAACATGATTGAGAGGTCCACCAACCTTGACTGGTACAAGGGCCCCACCTTGCTTGAGGCTCTTGACCAGATCAACGAGCCCAAGAGGCCATCAGACAAGCCCCTGCGTCTTCCCCTTCAGGACGTGTACAAGATCGGTGGTATTGGCACCGTGCCTGTGGGTCGTGTTGAGACTGGAGTCCTCAAGCCTGGTATGGTGGTGACCTTTGGTCCCAGCGGCCTGACCACTGAGGTCAAGTCGGTTGAGATGCACCACGAGGCTCTCCAGGAGGCTCTTCCTGGTGACAACGTCGGGTTCAACGTGAAGAACGTTGCGGTGAAGGATCTGAAGCGTGGGTACGTGGCCTCCAACTCCAAGGATGACCCTGCCAAGGAGGCTGCCAGCTTCACCTCCCAGGTGATCATCATGAACCACCCTGGCCAGATCGGCAACGGCTACGCCCCAGTGCTGGACTGCCACACCTCCCACATTGCCGTCAAGTTTGCTGAGCTGGTGACCAAGATCGACAGACGATCTGGTAAGGAGCTGGAGAAGGAGCCCAAGTTCCTCAAGAACGGTGATGCTGGTATGGTTAAGATGATTCCCACCAAGCCCATGGTTGTGGAGACCTTCTCTGAGTACCCTCCTCTTGGTCGTTTTGCCGTGCGGGACATGAGGCAAACGGTGGCTGTTGGCGTCATCAAGAACGTGGAGAAGAAGGACCCAACCGGTGCCAAGGTGACCAAGGCTGCCGCCAAGAAGAAATGAGCCTCGTTCAAGTGGTGCTTTCCATATCTGCATTTGAGATATCTAGCTCTTTTAGTACTCGTTAAGTTTTGTCGACGGTCATTTCAGTTGTTGCATTGACCGTTAATATCTGCTCGCTTTGTGCACTATGTCAGTCATTTAAAACTCTATTTTCTGTTCGGTTTAAACTTGGATGTTAAGACTTATTATTGCCCTTCGACTGTTGTGGAATGCGAGTATACATTGCTAATTCCTTTGTCTTTATTTTCGCTTGTGCTATTCGCTGTTTCTGCTGCTATTGGATACTGGATCGTCTTCCTGTTAATGAAAAGTGAACTTTTTGAAAGGTATTGAAAACTGAAAACCGAGTGGGTGTCGGTTTAGCATATTGTTTTGTTTAGTTCTTTCTGTCCCATAATTGTTTGGGTTGAATTATGAATTGATTGGGATTTAAATTTTTGAGATTTTGTTTACCGGCCAAGCTACCGAAGTACTACAGGATGAGGTGACACATCTGACTGTTTACCGCTGAAATTATTCTCATGGGTCGTGTGATTTCTCCCGGATGCCTATATAGGAAATTGAGTTCAATAAAAAACGATATTTAATCATTAGCGAATGACTAATTAATTGTTAATAATTGTGACTTAAAATATAAATTGGAGTATGATTTAAAATAACTTTCTTTTTTAAAAAAAAAAACGAGCGAAAGGTTGCTTACAAACCTTCTTCCTCCTTTGTACCGGGCTATACAGGCATGGGAGAGGAACTATGGACGAGGGCATGACTCTAGTTGTGTGCTACCTCGGCGTCAGCAACACGAGAGGGAGAGCTCGTCATCTTTATAGGCCGAGGAGGTCGGTTACTGGGAATGGATAGAGGAAGAGGACGACTATGCCGCGACGGGTCTAGTGATGATGAACCGATGGCAACACCGGACATCGGCCTTCAACTGGCCAACGACATTTGTTTGTGCGGCGGCAATGGCTTGCAGGTAACACGCAACTAGTGAGGTGTAGAAGGGAGTTGGATTGGTGGAGGGAAGGAAAAAAGAATGCATGGGCCAAATATAAGGGATTTCTGCCCATATTAATAGGGACTTTGTAATTTTTGAAGGGATGGTTTGAATATGATTTAAAAGAAATGGGATTTGGGATAAATTGTTTAGGGACTATATGAGTTTGGAGGATGAATTTAAATAAGGTTTCATGGGCTCTAGGGGTGTTTATATTATTTTTGGAATAGGGATTCAAAGGAATTTAACTTTATGGCAATGATTGGAGGACTAGGACAATAGGATTAAAAATAAACTAAGGGTTTTATAAAAAAAAATGAAAGAAATTTAGATGAGAGGCTTTAAATATTGAAATAAAACATTAAATATTTAGGTCAAAGATAATAAAAGAAGATAAAAAGAAAACAAGATGGCTCCAATTTAAATGAAAATCAAGGAGGGTGAAATAAAAACTTTTTCGCATAATTTTTTCTTAAAATTTTGAGTACGTTACAGAGTAGGCCACACATTCAGCTAGGTGTGGTAAAACTAAACCAATTCACTATGTGCGTGATTGGATTGAGCGGCATGTGTGGCAAGCTACTTTATGCCCCATTCTTGATGGGTCCTCACTTATGCTTGCCCCAAGGCTTAACGGTTTCGGAGGCTTAGCATGGCAAGCTCTCAAACATACTCAGGCCCGGTTTAGTTTCAAACTTTGAACCCCAAAAACGTCACATCGAACTTTTCTACACACACAAACTTTCAACTTTTTCGTCACATCGTTCCAATTTCAATTAAACTTCTAATTTTAGCGTGTAACTAAACACACCCTCAGCTCATGGCGGGCCTTGCTAAGGGGTCGGCCCATGGGCCGACGAAACTAGCAGATAAAGGAGCTGCTAACAAAAGTTATAATATCTAATAGTGATACGAATCAAATCTTCCCTTGGGCTTGGGTCATCTGGTGTTTCATGGAGCAAGTATAATAGGAGAACCGAGACTAAGGAAAGGGGGTTAGATCATAGGTGTTACACATCCAGATAACCATAAAGCTTTATAATCCCGTGCGTTCACTTGATCTAGCGATTTAGGGGGGTTCCCTAACCTCATACTTATTCCTAACTACTCCCTCCGTTTCAGGTTATAAAATATTTTGACTTTGTTCAAAGTCAAAATGCTTTAAGTTTAAAAGTTTGTAGAAAAAAAGTAGTAACATTTTCAACACAAGACAAATTTATTATGAAAATATATTCAATTATTGATATGATGATACTAATTTAGTATTATAAATATTACTATATTTATCTATAAACTTAGTTAACCTTGAAATAGTTTGACTTTAACCAAAGTTAAAATGTCTTATAACCTGAAACGAAGTAAGTAATAACTGTCCGCTTAAACTCACTGAATGGGGCCTTGGATACTCCACAATCCAGATCATTTTGCCCGACACCTTGGTCTCAAAACAACTATATAGACCGGTGCAAAGTGACTATTTGCAACTAAACGCCCATCTACTTGTTGCAAATCTACTTCTCCCAAACATCCTCCTCTAAAAAAAATTTAAATATACTTATCACTTGAGCGCTGCGAAACCTACAGAGACTTGAACGTAACGCAAACGTTTGAACAGGTCGACCGCAGGATTAAAATCGAACGGTCAATACTGCCACGCAACAATAACCACCAGACAAAGATCGGACGGCCAGGAAGGAACCCTAGCACCCGTGGCTGCCTATATAAGAGGCAATCCTCTCGCCCTAACCCCCTCCTCTCTCCCATCTCATCCCAGCCGCCGCCGCCGCAGCCTCCTCCTCTCGCCATCTCCCGTCCTCTCCTTCAAGGTCAGCTTCAGATCTTCTCACTTATCCTTGTTTGCGCCTGTTCATGATCGTTCGTAGCTGCAGATCTGGTTTGGTATCGCGAGGTTTGGGTGATTTGGTGCTTGGGCATGTTGTTTTCGTTCATTTTTTATTGTGTATTCGTCTCACTGCTGTGATCTTAGTTTGATGTCCGTTGACGCGAAGATAAACTTGATTTGTCCGCGAATCATGTGCGTATGTTGGAAATTATCGGTAGAATCGAACGATAAACTTGAGTTACTGCATAATCATCTACATAAGTGGAAAACTACTGGTAGAATCGGTAGAAAATCTGTATCTAGAATCCATAATTTGTTGTTAAACTACTGCTGAGTAGATGTTGTTATTGTCCGTGCCCTGTTCAGTTGGGTACTGAAATTCTGTATCTAAAATCCAATCCGTAAATTTGTTTCTGTAAATTTGTTATTGTGCTACTGCTGAGTAGATGGTGTTATTGTCTGTACCCTGTTCGGTTGTGTCGATTACTGCGCGTCTGTGTAAATCTCATGCTGATTTTGATGGCTATTAACGTTCTGTGGATGTCCAAGTGATCTGATCTGAGATCTTGCCTGTGATATTTATTTGGAGTTAAAAATTATACAGAAAATTGTTTCTAATCTTTGTTTTATTACGTAGAACAGTCAGCTACCTGCTTAATCAACCATGGGTAAGGAGAAGACGCACATCAACATTGTGGTCATTGGCCACGTCGACTCTGGCAAGTCGACCACCACGGGCCATCTGATCTACAAGCTTGGAGGTATCGACAAGCGTGTGATTGAGAGGTTCGAGAAGGAAGCCGCTGAGATGAACAAGAGGTCCTTCAAGTACGCGTGGGTGCTCGACAAGCTCAAGGCCGAGCGTGAGAGAGGTATCACCATCGATATTGCCCTGTGGAAGTTCGAGACCACCAAGTACTACTGCACGGTCATCGATGCCCCTGGTCACCGTGACTTCATCAAGAACATGATCACGGGTACCTCCCAGGCTGACTGTGCCGTGCTCATCATTGACTCCACCACTGGTGGTTTTGAGGCTGGTATCTCCAAGGATGGCCAGACCCGTGAGCACGCTCTTCTTGCTTTCACTCTTGGTGTGAAGCAGATGATCTGCTGCTGCAACAAGGTATATATCTCTAGTGTTTTTTCTTCTGTTATGATTGATGAGTCTAGCACTTGTTTGTTCACATTCGTGATGCTATTCTAGATACAATGAAGTAGCATAATATGTTTTATTCACTATGCATCTAATACTTCAATGTTTGATTCTTGCAAGCATATCTGTCTTTTATGATTGATCTGCACAGCACTTCTGTACATATTCATGACGCTTGTCCTGAATACTCTTGATTACATCAATGAAGTAGCTTTCATTTGAACGTCTAGTTGTTTGTTACTTTATACTAAACATCTATTTGATTGGTTTAAGTTATATTTTAAATTATCTGGTTGTGGTGTTGTACTTCATTTTGTCATTTTTATCCTGCTGGAAGTTGCAGCCCCTGTCCTGTTTCATTACATCTTATCTGGTCACTGTGTATCTTATATGCTGTTAAGTACCTTTTGATACTCCTACATCTGGTCCCTGCTCTTGTATATCTTATATGCTGTTTTAAGTATTGTTTCATATGATCATATCTTGTATGGTTATCTTTGTTTGGTTGCCAACCGACCCCCTGCTGAGGAAAGTTATTGATTTGTTTTCCTTTGTTCTGTTACAGATGGATGCCACCACTCCCAAGTACTCCAAGGCCCGTTACGATGAAATCGTGAAGGAAGTCTCATCCTACCTGAAGAAGGTCGGCTACAACCCTGACAAGATTCCCTTCGTTCCCATCTCTGGGTTTGAGGGTGACAACATGATTGAGAGGTCCACCAACCTTGACTGGTACAAGGGCCCCACCTTGCTTGAGGCTCTTGACCAGATCAACGAGCCCAAGAGGCCATCAGACAAGCCCCTGCGTCTTCCCCTTCAGGACGTGTACAAGATCGGTGGTATTGGCACCGTGCCTGTGGGTCGTGTTGAGACTGGAGTCCTCAAGCCTGGTATGGTGGTGACCTTTGGTCCCAGCGGCCTGACCACTGAGGTCAAGTCGGTTGAGATGCACCACGAGGCTCTCCAGGAGGCTCTTCCTGGTGACAACGTCGGGTTCAACGTGAAGAACGTTGCGGTGAAGGATCTGAAGCGTGGGTACGTGGCCTCCAACTCCAAGGATGACCCTGCCAAGGAGGCTGCCAGCTTCACCTCCCAGGTGATCATCATGAACCACCCTGGCCAGATCGGCAACGGCTACGCCCCAGTGCTGGACTGCCACACCTCCCACATTGCCGTCAAGTTTGCTGAGCTGGTGACCAAGATCGACAGACGATCTGGTAAGGAGCTGGAGAAGGAGCCCAAGTTCCTCAAGAACGGTGATGCTGGTATGGTTAAGATGATTCCCACCAAGCCCATGGTTGTGGAGACCTTCTCTGAGTACCCTCCTCTTGGTCGTTTTGCCGTGCGTGACATGAGGCAAACGGTGGCTGTTGGCGTCATCAAGAACGTGGAGAAGAAGGACCCAACCGGTGCCAAGGTGACCAAGGCTGCCGCCAAGAAGAAATGATCCTCGTTCAAGTGGTAGTTTTGTGCACGGCCATGGCACTCGTTGCATTGACCGTTATTATCATATGCTCGCTGTGTGCACTGTGTCGTTTAAAACTCTCTATTTTCTGTTCGGTTTAAACTTGTTCTGAGCCTGATTATTGCCCTTCGGCTGTTGTGGAATGCGGGTATTTACATTGCTAATTCCTATGTCTTTATTTTGGCTTGTGGCATTCGCTTGTTCTACTGCTATTGAAAACTGTAATCTGTTTCTGTTATTAAAAACTGAACCTTTTCTTCTGCTATTTGAAACTGAAGCGAGTGGGTTTCAATTTGCTGAAATCCTGCTACTTGCTATTTAAATTATTTATGTTCAATTTCGTTCAGTCCCATATTTGTTGGATTGAGTGAAAAACTGACTACTCTGGTTTCGCTTGAATTATGGAACTGATACGATAGCACACCGTTTCAATTTCTCCGGTTAAGTTCTTTCATTAACAGTTTAACTCTGAAATTAGTTCCGTTATTACAATGATAACTTTTGATGAAAACAAACTTTTGCTCCCTTCTTGGTAATGTTTCGGGACCGTGAGAATCCACTCAATACAACAAACTTTTGTTAAAGTAAAATGGTGGATTCGACTGATTTAATTTCATCTCTAAAATGGATGAATTCTTCAAGATAGGTTTGGAGTAGTTGGTATTGACCTTTGATGAATTTAGGTCAAGGAATTTCTATTTTTATCACTCTGTATTTGCGAGATATAAATTTACAAGATCTATATGAATGTCAAACTATTTAAGCTCTATTTAAATTTAGATATGGTTTATGTCCAAGTTCTGTTGAATTTCAACGATAACTGCATAGAGTATGATTTCCCTAAGGTGCCTAATTTTGTGATTCTAACAAGTTCTATTTCAGCTCATTTTGGAGCTGGCATCTATTTACTTTTAATTTTACAAGTTTTAGATAAAAATTAGGATATTTATATGCTACATAGTTTTTAGAGGTGTCCTATGTAGCATAAGTGCCAGATTCTAATCTACAGTTATAAAGAGTAGCCGTAACAAAATTTGGTTGTTCTTAATTAGAACTTAGGATGAATTCCTTGCGAGTATTACAAGGCTCTGTTCGCAAGAAAAGGTTTCCAACTCAAACATTACGTATGGAAAACGGAACAGTCTATTAGCACGTAATTAATTAAGTATTTACTATTTTTTTAAAAAAATAGATCAATATGATTTTTTTAAGCAACTTTCATAAAGAGACTTTTTTTTTATAAAAAAAACGCACCAATTTAACAGTTTGAAAAGCGTGCGCACGAAAAACGAGAGTAGGGAGTTGGGAAACAGCTCTTGCAAATAGAACCTAAGTCTCGGTACATATTATAGTAATTATTTACTACACAGTACTTAGAGGGATTTCCCATACCGAAAGTGCATAATTTTAGTTTACAATATTAACAAGCACAATTTGTTTAATCTACTGAGATTTGATTCATCCTATTTGGAGCTAAAATGAAATTTCTATCAATATATAGGCTGAACATATTTTTCAGCTGAACAATTAAAGCTTTAGCTACTTTCATTATATTTTCCAGATTTTAAAAACATCGGTCCACCTGTAAGTGAGAGCCAATATGCAAAAATGCCCCTGGTTTTCACGAGGAGTCAACTTTGCACTCCCTCACGTAGTCACGTATCTATGCCAGGTTTTAAAAGGAGTCCCTATCTTCTTTTTTATATCTAGGGGGTATTTAGATCCAGGGTGTAAATTTTTGGTGTGTCATATCGGTATTATATAGGGTGTCGCATGGGGTATTCGGGCACTAACAAGAAAAACTAATTACATAATCCGTCAGTAAACAACGAGACGAATTTATTAAACCTAATTAATCTGTCATTAGCAAATGTTTACCGTAGCACCACATTGTCAAATCATGAAGCAATAAGGCTTAAAATATTCGTCTCGCAATTTAGTCGCAATCTGTGCAATTAGTTGTTTTGTTAGCTTATATTTAATACTTCATGCAAGTGTTCAAACGTTCGATTTGACATAGTGTAAAATTTTGAGTTAATCAGATCCATGCTATTACAAATTTATCTATTCAGAAAAATACCACTACAATTCGTATATTTATAGCCGTGACACTGAAATTTTATAAAATTAGAACCGTGCCACTACCGTAACGTTTTCCTTCCATCTCCTTTGTTTTCCGTCTTTCTTCCTTCTTGTTCTCAACGACCTCAGCTGTTCTTGTGCTCATCATCCCAACCATTATTCCTTCTCCAAAATTGTGAGCCCAAATCCGACATGAAGACAAAGCCAAGGCCGCCATCCTCTGTCGGCACGACACGAAACCCACACACCTCAAAGGGGCGGAGGCGAAGCCGAGGCGACGCGGCGCGGTGGCGATGACGTTGGGGAGAGGGCTCCGGCGAGCTCGGTGCCTCGGTGGAGACCGAGATCTCTCTTCGCAACGGGGAGATGCTGAGGACGAAGACCCCACGGCCGCGTGGTGGCAAGTCCCATCGCGCCACGGCTGCGGCAGGGGTGCGCGGGGAAGGGGAGGTCATCATCAGGGGAGCTGTCGCTGCAGCATGAGCATGTCTCACTCTTCTCCTTCCTCGTCGATTCCCTCGCGAAGGCGCCGCTGCGGTGGGCGGCGCGCCCACCGGCATACTACCACGCACTCCGCACCTGCTTGTTATCATGTCGTCGACGTCCCAGAAGGCGGAGCGGCGACGGCGGCACGACAAAGAAGAACGTGAGTTAGTCAGTGGCGTGCGAGTGTGATAGGGGAGCGCCTGCATTGTGGTGCTGCCATGCCGCTGCAGGGGGGAGGTGCAGGTCCACGGGGGCCGCTGCCGTGCCGAGGACGACGCCCTGCCCACCACGCGGACGCCGTTGAGGAAGAAGAGCTCGCCCTCGCCGGCCATCTCCATGTCCTCCACGAGTAGCTCGTCATCCTTCACACCCTTCGAGGAGCTGCAACCGCCTTTGCCTCTACCTATGTTGCAGCCGCTGGCCACGCCAATGGACGCTGACAAGGTCGTGGAGGAGAAGGATTGTGGCATCCCTGGTGTTCTTGGTGCTGTGGATTTCGATCTGAACGAGCAGAGGCTAGTTGTGATTAATGTGCCCATGGCTGTAAGTGATGCCGAAGAGGTGCGCATCACGGCGGCGGTGGTGGTGGGCGCAAAAGCGACAGAGGAAGGCGCGGTCGGCAGTGACGAGGCGGCGCTAACGCGTGCAAACAGCCGCGGCAGGAGGCGGGGGAGTATCTCAGGAGAAGAAGACGGGAGAAAGAAGGAAGAAACGGAAAAGGAAGGGTAGGGGTGGGCGTTCGGTCAGACCGAAAAATTCGGTCTCAGTCTTCGGTCTTTTGGCCATTTCGGTCTTTGAAAACTCGAGACCGAATTTTATCCAAAAAAATCTCAGGACCGGCAAATTTGGTCTCGGTTTTTTCGGTCTTTCTCGGTCAGACCGATTCTTTTCCGGAGATGGATGCGGCCGACGGGATGGAGGCTGGCTAGAGGAGGCGGCCCGCGCGGCGCCGGCGTGGTGGAGGCTGGAGGCGGCCCGCGCGGCGCAGTGGAGGACTGGAGGGCGGAGGCGGCGAGGCGGCGCTGGCGCCGGCGCGGTGGACGGCGGAGGCGGGAGGCAGCGCCGGCGCGGTGGACGGCCGAGGCGGAGGCAGAAGGCGGAGGCGGCGAGGCGGCGCCGGCGCGGTGGAGAGGCGGCGCCGGCGCAGTCGAGGGCGGAGGTGGCGAGCGTGACACGATGGCCGATGGGGATGGGAGGCGGCGCCGCGTGAGGGAGTGGGAGGGAGTGGCTGTGTGGTATTGGTTGCCTCTAGGGTTTAGTTTGTTGGGCTTATTGGGCCTCCTAGGTCTATTGGGCCACAATTCGGTTTTCTCGGTTAATTCGGTTAACCGAGGGTAATGACCGAATTACCCGAATAAATTTCGGTCTTTCAATGGCTGAGATAGAACTACTAACCGAATTTCTCGGTCTCGGTCTTTTCGGTCTCGATCTCGGTCTTTTCGGTTCGGTTCTTCAGTTCGGTCTTATTTTGCCCACCCCTAAGGAAGGAGATAGATGGAAAACGTGACAGCGATGGCACGGTTTTAATTTTATAAAATTAGAGTGGCACGACTACAAATAAATAAATTGTATTGATATTTTTCTGAATAGGTAAATTTACAATGGCATAGATTGAATTAACCTAAAATTTTTATGTGAAAACTAAACAGGGCCTTACTACCCAAGTCCATGTCCCTTATTTTATATAACTCCAAGATGGCCGCGGGACCGCGGCACTGGAACAGCTTGGTGGTGGCGAACTTCAGCAAACGGTGACGACGGTGTTCGGCCCACGAGCTACCAAACCAATACGTGCAAGTGCTCCGTGGGATCCTATGGACGCTTACTGTTTGTACAGTGATTGACGCCTTGACAGCGACGTTTGACGACGGGAGCAGAGGATAGACAGACAAATGTGACACAACTTAGTACATAACTAGATTTATTATACAGTATATATCATGTCTGATACTAGTGGATCGGTTTTTTATGAGACGGAGGGAGTATGTGGTTTAGGAGGTGAGTCAGTTTTAGGATTAAATTACTTTTGGTTCCAACATGTAATAAGGATAAATAAGAGGCGGGTCAACTTCCAAGAGTTGAATAAGTAGTTTTTTCTTTTGTGTTACCAATTTGACACATTCGAAAATACGGAAACTAAGGTTAATGTTTGGAGTGCAATCGATAGTACTTTATCTACCGAGTTTTAATATGGAAATCCAAATTGTCGTTAGGGTTGACCTAACCGTTATTTTTGAGTTTGCAAATATTGGGATACGGTGTAACTTGCTATAATGTCTTGCTGAGAATAAATTCAACAATCACTCACTCTCATAATTGGGGCTCTCGCTCTCTCTAGAAAGCTCAAGAGCGTCTTCTCAAGCGAAAAGAAAAAAACTTCCCCTTCCGCCCAGCCCCTTTCCTTCCATTCCCGATGGCTTTTCGGTCGCCGGCGAGGGAGGGAGATGGTCTAGCTCCTTTCTTCGCTAGTAGGCTTAGATTTAGTCTTCTTTGATAGTCGGGTTAACCCCATTTTGTATAGCTTGAGGGGGTCATCGGCGTCCGACTCCTTCATTCTGGTTGCTTCTGCCATGGATGTCCTCGTCGACTTCTTCTCCGGTGAAGGTTCCCTGTCAATCGTTTTACAGGTTCACCATCAACGCCCGAAGCTAAGAGTGTGGTGGGTTTGCTCAAAAGAAGGTAGCGCCGACCACTTGCTTCTTCTTGGGCGAGCTTTCCGCAACTGCGTTGTTCTTCTTCCTAGTCTTCGGCGTCA